TTTCATATTTACCCTTTTTTTATCCATGTACTGACGAAATAATAAATCTTAAACAATTACTAATTCAAAATCATTTTTTTAATTATAATTTATCGACAAAAAATTTTTTATAAAAAGTCAATTTGATAAAACACAAATTTTATTTATTAAATCAAAAAAAAATTATTTTTTTTTTATTTTTTATTCACTCAAAAAACCCCAACAATTTATTTATTTAAGCTCCCCTCCCTCATTCTCAATATCAAATCGTTTCGATTTACAATTTTCCAAACCTGGAGGAGCTGTCATCTTTTTAAATTCCATTTTTAAAGTTTCATAATGTTTCTAAATTTAATTTAGAAATTTTAAAAATAAAATGTTTAAAAAAATACTTTAAGTCCAGCCAAATAATTAGGCAAAACTTTTCCACTACTCGCATGTGTTGTTATATAAGGTTGAATATCTTCAATCCAAGCTTCCACTTGAACACAAATTTCATCTCGTTTCATCCAAAAATGAGATTTGACAATTTCTGCAAAGGCTTTTGGAGGATTCTAAAAAATTATTATTATAATTATGAAAGTAAATTATTTAATTAGAGGGGCCCGCCCTAGTTAAGAGAGAAGATGTTGATGGTGATGCGTGTGGTGAATAGAATTGCCAGAAGGTAGCGCTAGCGAGCGGGGTGAATGATTGTTGGTTGGTATACCACTTGGTCACGGTAGGGGTCAGTTGAGCGTGGCCGGTTGAGCGTCAGCCGGCATTTGAACGGCTATAACTTTTTTAGCCTTGATCCAATACGAATGAATCATATATCATTCGAAAGTCCTCGATGAGTCCAATCTTTATCCCAACTGGATGGATCAAGTCTGATCGCCCATTAAAAAGTTACAAGTCGATAAGTGCAGAAAATCGTTGTTTTTCACTTATCGACTAGTAACTTTTTAAATAGCGATCAATCATGATCCATCCAATTGAAACAAATATAGCGCTTAACGAGGGCTTTCGAATGATATATAATTCATTAGTATTGAATCAAGCGAAAAAAAGTTATAGCCAATCAAAGTTGGCTGACGCTCAACCGGCCACGCTCAACGGGCCCGTTCCGCTTGGTCAGGCTCTAGGCCGGCCGAACACTAGGCCATTGATTGGTAGAGAACTAAGTTGGAATGAACATCAACTAAGCCGCTTTTCCTTATTTTCCTTTAGCTTATAAGCACCTTCTACCTAGGCGGGGTTTTCAATAGTTTCTAAAGGATTACAACTTTAACCCTTAAATGAATAATTATTGTTTACCTTCTCCATTCTTAATGGCCAATAAAAGGCGAGCGAGAACCGGCCGCCTAAGTAAGCTCCCGTTTTTTAATACCGACAAAAAGTGGGCGCCGGTTCTTCCTCCCTTTTATTTTATAAATTAATTGGTGGATTCGGCCCGCCCCAAAAGAGGGTTTTTTCCACCCTTGGGGCCCAGAACGCCGACAACGGCTTTTAAAAAGGGTTAGAATATAATAAAAAAATTTTTTAATTAAAAAAAAATTACCCGAATTTGTTCAACCATTGCCCATCTAACACACATTTGCATAATATTAGCATCATATTCCCGCGATGCCTGTTGACCAGCAGGGGAATTTCTCCATCTTTCATAACCAGGTTCATTGAAATACTTAAAAATTCAAATTTTTAGTTCAATAAAAACAAAAAAACCCCAACCGGTTCATTAACAAGAATTAAAGATTGAATGGAGACAAGTACTTGCAAAAGAGAGGAAGTGTCAGCATTCCAACGTTCTTCTGGCCGGCCACGCCAAGTATTCAAAATTGATAGACAAACTTTTCCATCATCGTAAAGATTTGGATCTTTAAAGAGAAAAAATTTTTTTCGGTACATTTCTGTTATCCTTACGGATTTTTGCGGACATTTTTTCTTCCTTTTGGGGAGAAAAAAAAGGCAACATTCATTTTCGGGAGCAGGCCAATGTACCGCGATCCCAACCAGGGATGGGACGGGTTACCCGAAACCCGATACCCGAAACCCGGACTTTTTTTCGACCCGAAACCCGACCCGAGAAATTTTCGAAAACCCGACCCGAAACCCGACATTTTCCTTGGAATTTTATTACAAAAAGGGAAGATTTTTGGCTCTTTGGCCTTCCAAAATAATCAAAATTTTCGCCTGCGGCGCTGGAAAATGAAGAAATCTAGTGGACTGGTGTTCCAAAATTCTCAAAATTTTCGCCTGCGGCGCTAAGAAATGTTGCCGAATTTGGACAGAATTTTTAAGGATCAAGATGGTTTGTGGAGGTATCTGTGAGAGGTATCTTCGGTGGAAGGAGGTATCTTCTGGGGGAAGATAGAAAAAAATCGAAAATTAAAAAGTGTGTGCGTGATATCGAGGGGGACGTTTTCCGTTGGGATTTTTACCATAAAAAGAAGAATTCTGGTCTCACGGCCTTCCGAAATTTGCAAAATTTTCGCCTGCGGCGCTAAAAAGGAAGAAAACTGTAACGAAATAAAGAGTAATTTTGCCGAGATGTCGAAGGAGCAAAGTGGATGAAGGGTGATATCGGGGGATTTATTTGGATTGAGGTGGATTCGGGGAGATATCGGAGGTTTTAGAGGTGTATCTGGGATTTCAAGGTGTTTGCAGAGGGTCTCGGAGGTATAAGGTATAAATCAGTGGATTAAACATCTTCACCAGATACTTTTAAATGCCTTTATATCCCTTTTAATCCCCAAATCCCCTGATATTACTCTTAATCCATCCAAATCCATTTAATCCCTGTCTCTTATTATATCACTCTTAAACATTAGCTTATTAATCCCATAAATCACTAATATCCCCAGCCTTTCTGAAAAATTTGGCTTCATGTTCAAATTTTTAACTGACCCGACCCGAAACCCGACCCGAGACCCGAAACCCGGACTTTTTTTCGACCCGAAACCCGATCCGAAGAAAATTTTGAAAACCCGACCCGACTTTTTTTTCAACCCGTCCCATCCCTGATCCCAACGTACCGCAGAGAACTTAGTTCAAAATAGTCGAATCCGGGACGCCTTGGTTATGGTTCGATGCATCTCGACGAGCTGAATATAACCATATCAGGGTGTCCCGGATGTGACCAGACTATTTTGAACGAAGTTATAGCTCTACGGTACGTTGGGGTGTACCCTTATTTTTTCTTCAAACAATTAATGATAGAGAAAAGGGAAGAGAAATTATTGAAGCACCTGTACGTGGTGAGCGAAAGCGCCTAGCAATAAATGCCAGGAGGTCGCAGAATCGAAGCCTCTATTAGACAAGCGACGACAGAAAAATCGAGTGAAATCCCGGGCAGACAGGCTTAGATCCTGCGACCTCCTGGCAGTTATTGCTATAGGCGCTTTCGCTCACCACGTACAGGTGCTCTACCAACTGAGCTACCGGGACGCTGCTTCACCTTCTCTTTTATTAGATCCTAAACCCGTGCCTAGTGAAAGTTTTAAATGCTAGCCAGCTGGATCTTTCTCTTCCTTACATGAGAAAGAAATCTTACCATTTTTACATCTTAAGGAAGACAACAAAAAGAGTTCGAAGAAAATCCGTAGGGATAAGGGAAAAGTATCAAATTTTCCCAAAAATTTAAAAACAAAAATTTAAATAAAAAAACCAACTAAATCGAACTGTCCGATTCCCTGTTGTCTCCAAATTCATTTGCATTGGAACATTTGGATAATCTGGAGGGAAGAAAACATCAAATTCAAAACATCCATTTGCATAAGGAGTATCTGATGGACCCGTTATTAAAACCTGAAAAAGATTTTTTGTTAAATAGTTTTTATAAGAAAAAAACCTTCATAGCATCCAATCTTTCTTCACAAGTTCGAACAAAAACCCCGCTACTAAATGAAAGTGGTAATGAACTGCTCAAAGAAACAATTTCTTGTGCTAATCGACGAGTTCTTTTGCCTAAAGCTGAACCTCCAGCACTAGCCATTGAATTTAAAGATGTTGCATAATGGAAAGGAATACACATAACTGGAGTTGTGTTGTTGTTGTTGTTGTTACCCATAGGTTCGTAGAAGGGAATTGTTTCTTTAAAAAATTAAATTAGAGTACTTTTTTAAATCAGTAACTACTGGGTGGAGAGAGACTTCTCTAAACGATTCCCAAATACCTCCCATTTTTGTATAAAATTTTCAAATTCCAAGGGAATTGTTTAAGTAAAATTCAAAAAATTATCCCTATGGTGCAAATGAAAGGGAGGTCGGTACTTTTCCGTTATGACGTAACCCCGTAAATTAATGTTCAAAATGTCATATATAGGGTAGAAAAAGGTGCTAAGTCGAACGGTACTACTCTTTTTTCACGGAGATGCCTGTGGACCGAGATATAGGGCTCGAAATGGTCAAAAACCATAGGGGGGAGTGCGCCTCGCCTACGACCCATAGGTTTATGTTGACCATTTTGAGCTTGTTAATCTAGTCTCAAAACCGAGCTGAGTTTGGTGTCATTCGACTCAGCTCGACGAGCTGAGTCGAATGAGCTATCAAATCAAAAAATGGAATTTTTCACCCCAGAATTAAGATTACTCCTTCCTATGGTTTTTGACCATTTCGAGCCCTATATCTCGGTCCACAGGCATCTTCGTGAAAAAAGAGTGGTACCTTTCGACTCAGCACCTTTTTCTACCCTATATGTGACATTTTGAACATTAATCTAAGGGGTTACGTCATAACGGAAAAGTACCGGGAGGTTTATGTTGACCATTTTGAGCTTGTTCATCTCGTTTCAAAATCAAGATTTCAAGCTGATTTTGGTGTCATTCGACTCAGCTCGAGGAGACTTTCGAATGAGCTATCAATCAAAAAATGGAATTTTCACCCCAGAATTAAGATTACTCCTTCCTATGGTTTTTGACCATTTCGAGCCCTATATCTCGGTCCACAGGTTTCGGGGAGGGGGGGGCTTTAGCCCCAGAAACTACCCTGACTGCGCCCTTGACCCCCTATACCCATAATATTTTCAAAAATTACTCAAAACCTTTACATGAAAAATAAGGTCATTTTTGAATGCTTAACACGAATGTCTAATAAATATTTTTGAAAAAAATAATTTAAAAAAACCCCCCAACCAAATTGCAATCCTCTAAGTTTATCGCAATAGAAACGTTCAACAGCATCAGACACTTTAGGCAAAGCATTCGACGAAGAAGCAACATTTTGATCAAGTTCAATATTATCGCTAATCATTACTTCCTCATTATTTTGTTCTTCTTCGACTTCATCAAAGTCCATTTCGATACAAGAATGAATTCGTTTCTCTTAAAAATAAATTTAAAAAAAAAATAAAAAATTTTCTAAAAGAAAATACTTTTATTAATAGCAGAACAAACACTGTGAACCAAATCTAAAAGTTTTCCAAGTTCTTCCTCTTCTTCCAAATCAGCCTGAGTTTTTGAAGAATTTATAGCTGTTGTTTTTCGTCTAAAAAATAAATTTTTATAAAAAAAATATAAATTTTCGGCGCTGTTCTAGTTTATGCGTCCAATGGACTTTTATGCGTCCGATTAAAAGAAAATTAGATTTTTCTTGATTTTGCAAAGTTTAGGTATGGTTCCAAAACATTCCTTCGTGTTCAGGACCTGCATCCGTGTCTGGGCCCGTCCCTTAACTATCCTTCGAAATTTCTGAAAGTTACAGCCAATTTTTAAAAATTACAGAAAAACTGTTTTCTTTCAGAAATAACGAAGAATAGGGCAAGGAATGGTCCCAGACCCAGTGGGCGTAGGTCCCAACCATGAAGAAATGTTTTGGAACCATACCCCAACTTTGCAACATCAAGAAAAATCCAATTTTCTTTTGATTGGACGCATAAAAGTCCATTGGACGCATAAAAGTCCATTGGACGCATAAAAGTCCAATGGACGCATAAACTAGACCAGCGCCAAAAATTTTCTTACAAAGCTTTTCTTTTGGCATTTCGTTGCCAAAGACTTTCCCCTGTTGCTGTATTTGTTGTACGATGTCCAGTTTGTAGTTTACTCAAATAAATTTCAATATTTTTACCCAATTTATTTAAACGATCAAGCAATTCAGATTCAGCAACAGTTATTTGTTGTAATTTCTTTTTATGGCCAATTTGTTTTTGGATTTGATTTTCTCCGCTCAAAAAAATAATATCAAAAATATCTTGATTTCCTTGTTGATCAAAAATGGCAGCATTTGGAAATTTAGATAAATTATTGATTGGGATTGGCAAAGCATTAGCGATTGTATCAACCAACAAAATAACAGACTCAAAGGCGTGTACACGTTTTGAAATGTCCAAAACTGAAAAATTTTTTTGTTGATTTTTAATTTTTAAAATAATATTATCACTTTTTAGTTGAACCTAGCTAAAAAAAGACTAGAGACTAGAGGTCGGCGCGGGACGGGATCCCGCGCGGGCTTTTGCGGGATCCGTCCCGCAATCCCGCACTTTATCGTTTTGCGGGAGTGAGGGAGTGCGGGATTTATCCCGCGGGATCCCGTCCAGCAAAGATTTTTAAAAAAGTTTTATCCCGCGGGATCCCGCAAACACGATTTTGTCGACCTCTATTAGAGAAATGACTAGGAGGTCGTACGAGAATCGATATCTCGAAAAATATCGGTGTCGATAACCGGAACTTTTGTTCAAGATCTTTTCTAGTTGTAAGTCTCTAAATAAGACACCCCTTTTGGGCCGAAAAATAGTGTCCTATGAAGAAAAGTATTTTAATTGAGGTGTATCTACCTATTTTAAAAAATCTTTCAAAATTACCAGAATCATTCATCAAATAAGAATTGAGCGTAGAAAAGAGACAGGAGCGGAAAAGAAGTTCAACAAACTCTTCAGAAAGCTTAATACTCGGAATATCCAATTCTTTTCTCTTTTCCTCTTCATTCTTATCGCTCCTTTTATTTGTCTTTTCATCTTCCTTTGAAGTTGTTAATTCCTCTATTGGCAAAACTAATTCTATTCCATCACCAGAATTTGTTGTTTCTTGTTTCTCTTCTTCCTTTTTATTTGAAAATGTTGATTGATTTTCTTGTAATCGTTGTGATTGAGGACTAATAAAGGCGATAAGAATCTTAAAAAAATATTTGTTTAATTTCAGATTCTAAACAAAAATTCATACATGTAACAATGCTGCAACATTATTTTCATCTTGCCTTCTTTTTGCAACATGCTGACTAAGACTCCATTGCTGTTGAGTAGTTCCACTACCAAAACCTGTGCCTTTTGCCCAATAATTTCCATCATTTTGGGTTTGTGTTGTTGCAGTAGTTGTCTGTTGAGGTATAGAAGTTGGAGGTGTTGCTGGAGTAAGAGCACTTGTTTGTGTCGGTGTTGTTTTGGTGGGTGGAATATTTGAAGGTCCTCCTCCTTCAGTAGTGGGTGTTTTTACAACTGGAGTTTTGCCTGTTTCAGTTGGTCCAGACAATTCAAAATCATCGCCCAAGGTGATAACAACTGGAGTTTTTTTATCCTCAGCTGTGGCTAACGAAGTACTAGATTGTGTTATTGATACTGGGACATGAGATTTCGTTGTTGTCGAATCTATTGTTGTTGAAGATAACGTTGTTGTAGGTATAGCACCGGTATGGAAGCTGCTAGTTGAATTAATTGATGGATTTGCAATATAATCAGTTTGTCCACCACCAACACCTCCACTGCCTCCAATTAGCTGTAAATCCATTGTCTGTTGTTGTAAAGTCCCAGCAAGTTGGAATAAACGTTCCATACGAAAGGCAGCATTCAAAACATAACTTATTAGTTCAACCTTTTAAAAAATATTTTTAAAAAGCCAAAAACATTTGAATAAACCATTGGTTGTTCCTCAGCAATAGCAGGATGTAAAGGCTCCAAACGATTTGGTTGTCTAGAAAAATGAGCCAAACTTGTCAACAAAACATCAACAATTCCCATTTTTAAAGCTTTATCACGAATTGCTTGAGCACGTTCAATACCAACATCAGCAGGATCAAAAGTGTTGAAAAGTCGAGCAAGTACAACAAAAGGGAATAAAAGAAGCTCTTCTTGATGAGCTTTGAAAAATTATAATTTTTTTGAATTATTAGAAAAAAACCTTGTTGTTCATGAGAAACATAACGACCCAAACGTTGTGATGAAGATTTAATATTTGTATTATAGGAAGCAGGAAGAGATGTTGGTAATAAATTTGTTGAAGAAGTTGGTGGCTTTTGAGTGTAATAATGGTAATTGTAGTATGAAGGGTTGATATTCTTTTGTTGTTGTTGTAATACATTTTTGGGAGTTACAGAGGTTGATTTAACATTACTACGAATTTTTGAGTCACCACCTGTACGAGGACGTAAAAAGGCAACTCTAGAGCTTGGAGCTAAAATAAATAGAAGTTGGATTATTCTTAATAAATTGGCCTATAATCGACTATTCACTTCACAAAAACTCAATTTATGGTCGATATTTAATGGTTTATTGAATGTCCGCAAATTTCTGTCCGCAAATGCCGATTATCAAAACATTATAAATCTGGCCTTTGGAACTCCGAAAATTTTTAAAACCCCCAAAACTAAAACGGAGACATGTAATCGGTGAATGTTTACATGTAATCGGTGAATGTATGTCCAAAATCATTCGAAGTAATTGTTTTGTCTTTTCCCGATCCATTTCAATAAGTAATTCTCCATATTGTTCTAAACGAAGAAATAGTCCAAGTAAAACAATAACATGAGCAGAATTATGGAAAAATTGATCAATTGGAGGCGAATTGGGCATTAAAGGTGGACGAGTATAGGTCTAACAATGGAAAGATTTTTTTTATTTAAAGTAGATAAAATTAAGTTTTACATTTTTTCCACTATTAATATTTCCAGAAACATTTGGAGTATTCCATCCTCCGCCTAAATTAGTTCCCAATCCAACAGGTTGAAGAGGAGGCCATTCATTATATGTGTTAAATAATTGAGTCATTGGAATATTAGAAATAAAACCAGGTGGTTGTGTTTGAGGAAATGGTAGCTAAAAATTATAAAAAAATATTTTTTGAAGTAGAAGTTAGGGTTTACAGTAGTGATGTTCGGGTATCTCGATCCTGACTCCCGAGGTCATTTCCCGAACCGACTCCCGTTTCCCGAGTTTTTTCTTCTCCCGAACATCACAAGTTTACAGGTTGTCTAGGCCATATCTTTTATTCTAGAGGTTCCGGTCCTGTGAGAAGCTAGAGATGCTGGGGATACGGGACCTATCGGGCCAATGGGTTAAAAAGGGAGAAAGGACGGTGACGCCGCCTAGGACTGCGATAGAGGTAAGGACTGCGATAGAGGTGCCAAGATCCCCAAAGGTGTCAAAAAGCAGATAGAAAAATTCAATCTATCAGGGACTTTTCAGTCAGTTCGTAAAGGGCTTTAAAGTCAATAATGCTCACACTCATTGGTCAGACCTAACAACCCTAATTAATATAAATATACCTGATTCATAAAGTCAACAAATTCGAAAGGAATAAAAGTAGTCGGAGTAAAGCCTGGAGGAGCGGATAAAGCTTGCAAAATTTGTGGAGGACCCTGAGCGGTGACAGCTGATGCGGTGGAAGCTGATGACTGTGGTGGAAACTGATGAGCAGCAGAAACAATAACGTTGTTATTATTAGAGCAAACACGCTGTTGACGTTCAATCAAGTCAGAAGACAATCTTTCTTGACTAAAAAAATTTTTTTTAATTAAAAAGAAAAATTATTTAAAAATTAAATACCAGCTATGCAAACGAGTCAAACATCGTCGATAAAGATAAATATGTTTAGATAATTCAATCAGACCTCCTTCACGCGCAAAATGTTCGAGAGTGGAAACAGAAATTGAAGATTTTTCTTCATTTTTCGATTTCTTAGCATTTTTAGAGGCTTTTTGTGAAACTCTTCGCTTTGCTGCTAAAATTTTAAAAATAATTATTTCTGCTTTAGAAAAAATTTTTTAATTACCAGGCGTTGATTCTGGTACATATCTCATACTCAAACATAACATCATATGTTCACCATTTTCAGAATCTCCACTATTATTATTTTTACGTTGTTCAAACAACTCTCCCAATGTAATTCCTTCATCAAAAGGAAGTTGTGTGTTTGCATCAATTAATTGAATTTTTCGTTGATCAGAACTATCGTTTTGAGTTGAAGAAGCAGCTGGCAATTTCGAAGCAAATTTTGGCATTGCGCAATGGCCGCCGGTAATTGACGAAGAATGAGGTCCTGGAGGAGTCCATGGTGCGGTAGAATTGAATTCATCAGACCAGTCATCCTCCTAAAAAAATGAGAAAATTAAAAAAAACTCAAAATTTTAACCATATCCCAATCCCAATCAGGCGGTGGTTCTTGAGGTTGCATTGATTGTTGTTGAAAGATAGACTGCTGTTGTTGCAATCCATCAATAGAAATTGGAGCCGTCGAAGAGTATGAAGGTGGCGGTACAAATCCATGATATTTTAACCAGTGATCTGCTGCCGAATATTTTGTATTCTTTAACGGAGGTTTTTCAGTGGAAGTAGCCGTCTTTGATGAAACTTTCGATGCATATGTTGAGGATTCTTCAACAGTATCAGCACCCGATTGAAGCGAAGAAGGAATAAGTTCAGAACATTTTGTATAAAGACCAAAATTGAGAACACAATCATCAGAAAGACAACCAAAAATTGGATGAACCATTCGTTTATGACTTTCATAAATTGGTAAAATTGTGTTGTGCAAAACAACACCGTCAGGTAATTGTTCTACAACATCAGTGAAATGCACCTAAAAATTGTAAAAATTAAGCAAGATAGGGTAGCAACCCCACACACAAAACCCCGAACCGAACCCCGAAGGTTCTACCCCGGCAACCAGTAAGATGAAGGATCTGGTTGCTACCCTAAAACAAAAAAAAATTAAAAACCTTAATAATTTCATCATCCAAAATTAAACGATGAAGCATTTGTAAAATAAAATCATTTAAAGGTTTTGGTTGGAAAAAACTATTTGAAGAATTCTCATTTTTATCTCGCAATATTTTACAAAGATATTTTGCAATTCTTGCACGATGTTTACCACCAAAAGTTAAACATCTTTATAAAAAATATTTTTTTTTTAATAATTTAAAATTTAAAAAAACCTTCGAGTTAAATTAATAAATGAAGAACGAATACGAGGAACAACTTCATTAACAACATTATTAATCACATCACTATGAAAATATTTCCTTTCACCTTGAGGAATTGCAGTAGAAATACGTTCAGTATTTTTTGTTGCATTAACGAGGAAATTCATAATATTTCGGAAGAAAGCTGGTCCATATTCACTTTGTTCGAGAAATTTACAAACATCGGTCATTATAGTTAATTCTTCAATACATTGAACAATTGCTTGAAGTTCACGCAAATCTTCCTCTTCTTTTTCTGAAAATTAGGTAAATAAATTGATTCTTGTTCAATTTAAGCGTCCAATCGCACCTTTATACGTCCAAACAACCTTTATACGTCCAATGAAACGTTTATACGTCCAAACGAATTTTTTTGCGTCCAACCAACTTTTATGCGTTCAATCACATTTTTTAGTACCCGGTTTTATGTGTTAAAACCTACGGTCTGGCAATATGCGTGTGTATTACAACTCTGGGGGTAAATAAAACTTTCTATTTCCATAGATTTTACGGTAATTTAGTGTAGAACCGGGTACTTAAAAAATGTGATTGGACGCATAAAAATGTGATTGGACGCAAAAATTTGTTGGACGCATAAACTTTTCATTGGACTTATAAAGGTTGTTTGGACGTATCAAAAAATTTGTTTGGTGCGATCGGACGCCTGAACTGGACAAGAGCCAATAAATTTTAAGTTTTCGACACCGCTACTGAATTTTTAAAAAAAGGGGTAAAGAGGAATAGCACAAAACCAACCAGAATATTAAAAAAAGAACCCTCATAATCCCTCAACTAAAAATTTAAAAACTAAAACTAACGATCTTGTTCACAAATTTGCACAGTTTTTTGTATCCAAATCTCGAAACTACAACTATTAAGCAATCTATTAATTGCCGGTTTAGATTGGCAAATATGTGAAAGAGCAGCCAAAATCATTAAATTTTCTGGTATAGGAGATTCATCAAATCCATAAATGTCCAAAAGTTGATCCAAAAGTTCTGGTTGAGCACGGGCTAGCGAGCAAAGCAACCAACGGGAAGCTTTCCAAACATGCTCATAAATTGAATTATTCGAAATAGTTCCAAAATAATTAGTGTCACATAAACTTAAACGAGCTAATTGCCTAAAAAATATTTTCAAAAAAATATCAAATTTAAAAAATACGAAATAATCTTTGGAGAAAGCTCAGAACACATTGCCAAAGTTTGTTTATATTGCGAGCAAGCTGGATCAGAATTACGCCAAATAACACACGAACTTGACCACATTAGCAAAGAAAGGGCCATCTGTTTTTAAAAGAAAAAAAATTTTTAATTAAAGAAAATTAAAAAAAAACCCATTTTGCATCTCTTCTTGACCAATCTTCATTAGAATCAGCCATATAATCAGTAGACTGTACAGTTAAATGTTGCAATAAATCGACAACTCCACGAAACAATTCTTCCTGGCGAGAAAGTAATTGTGACATTCGTTCTTTAGGCATAGTGCTTTTAGAAGAAGAAATTGGTGTTGAACAGAGAGTAAAAAGCAATTCAGCCAAATGCATATTTAATTTGTCAGGAGATGCCATTTCGTGATTAGTTACTAAAAAAATAAAATATTTTTAACACAAAAATTATTAAAAATACATACATAAATGGTCAATAATAATTTTAACAACAGAAATATTTGAAGGCTCATCTCCTAGCAAAACATCTCCTAGCAAAACAGTTTCAGTTTCAATATCAAGCATAATTTTATAAAGTAATTGTAAAACATCATCACCAGGCCAACCATGAATACACAAAAATAATTGAACTAATTGTTGTGCAAGTGAAGGTTCTAACAAAAATTTGTTGTTTGTAGATGATTTATCCTTTCCTCCTCCTTCTTCTTTCGACAAAATAACAATTTGATGAAATAATGTTAACCAAAGATGTAAAAGTTCTAAATGTTGTTTTGTAGTGTTATTATGTTGTAATTCTGCAAGTTGAGTACTTCCATTCAATTGAATTTGCATTAAACCCAAACTATTCGATTCGAGAGGTTTTTTAAGGCGCAAACGAACCTTTAAGAGTAACATCGTGAAATAAAAAAATTAAAAAATAAATACCGCTTTAACAGGGCTTTTGTAATTTGTAGTTGGAATAGTAATTCTAGAACACCCCAAAGTTTGAATTGGAGAACGTACAGCAACCCAATCAATACCAATAGGATCAGAAGAAAGTTCGGCTTGCACGGCAGAAGGTGCAGCTTAAAAAAAAATTTTTTAATAAATTAAAAAAAAAATTAACAAACAAGCAAGTGAAGAAGCATGTGGTTTGATAACAATTTCATTAAGCATAATTGGATAAGGCAAAGTTAAAACAAGATCCAACCATTGCTGATAAATTGGAAAATGATAAGTCCAGTTAGGGTTACGTGAACGTCTATGAGTTGTTCCAGCGGCAACAAGCTGTTGGAGATGATTTGCCATCGCAGAAGAAGAATGGATTGAACCTATAAAATAGTAAAAAATAGAAAACATTCGGTTGAAAAAATCTCACAATTGGGAGCATAATTGTAAATCTGCGGCTCGCGTTGTTCGGGAGCTCCCAAACCACTAGAACCAATACATTTTGACGCAATCTGTTTTTTTGCTGTTCCTGTTGCATTTACACCTCCATTTGTATTTCCAAACGTAACATTTTTATAAATTCCAGCTCCGCCAAATTGTGCGGTTCCAAGCGGTTGTTGTTGATTTGCGGCTTGAGATGCAAGCCACGCATTTTGATGAAAAGTAGAGTTGACAGCAGGTTTATCCAGAGTCGTACTTGGATTATTCACATTAGTATTTTGATAAGGTCCAGAGCCACAAACCTTTAAAAATAAATCAAAAGTCAAAAATTTAAATATTCAAACTATTCTATTTCCATCCAACAATTGGCTCTTTTGTCGATGTTGTTGAGAAATAACAGTTCCACTAATTTGAGATGCAATAATTCGCAATTGTCGCTGAACATCAGTAAAAGCAGCACTGCCTTGTGGCCACGCTGAACTTGACATTTCAGCAAAGGCACGAATACTTTGCTGAAGTTGCTCCGAAATGAAAGCATGTCCACCTAAATAAATTTGTGTTAATGAAAAATACAATGGTAAAGTAAAATTTACCCATTTCAGAAAAAAGTCGTCGTCCAGATGGAACTTTATTTATTTGAAGAAGAATAAGAGCTATCAAAGGAGAAAGTGTCATTGGTTGCTGATTTTTAGAAATTTGATTTCCGTTCCCGTCACTGTTTGTTGATGATGATGGCATGTCAGAATCAATTTGATTATTGTCTTGAGTGTTAGGATCATCAGTTGTCTCCATTCCTAAAATGTTGATATATTTATAGAGTTGAGGGTTCGATTTATCAATTTATAGTAAAACTAAATGGTAATACCAAGGCTGGTCCCCCTTTTTTCCTTTCTATTCTTTTCGATTTTTTGAACTTTTTATGGCAAATCATTTATCATTTGAAAGAGCTCTTCGAGTAGAGTCGAACAGTACTAAATTCATCGAAATCCGACTTAAATAAACATAGTTCTGAGCATTTGTTTTAACCCCTTTCAATATCACAAAAAGCATGTCCATCGAGGATTTATCTTCGTAATTTTGTTCAGAATCGCCAAATCTGACCGATCATAGTATCACTCTACTCAGCTCGAACAGCTTTTTGAATGATATATTGTAAATTATATGTCAAACAAAAAAGCTCAGAATGGTCAGGGGAACAGAAAAAATGAGGGCCAGCTTTGGTTTTACCAACTAAATAACCAAAAAATGTCAATTACCACGTGTCTCCATATTTGAACTTTGGCCTGATGCAGCGTTTGATACCTTCGATTTAACCAAATTTTGAACCAAAAGTTGCATTAAACGACGGGATGACTCATCATCTGTGTCACTCGTAAACATATTAATTTCCATATGTTTAGTGATTGTCAAAACAGAAAACAGAATAGCATCAGCAAGTGAAACAATCTTCCACCTGATTTACAAAAAAATAAAATTTTCTAAAATTAAAAAAAATACTTTTCAACTGAAACGCTATCCAATGTCTGTCCATTATTTAATACACAATATGACAAAAATTCAAAAGAATCGGACAAAAATACATTTAAATCGTCTTCAAGAAGCATTTGAGCTAAATTATGATTATCACGAGCAACAACACAAATCTTAAATAATTTTATTAAAAAATAAAATAAGAAATAAAACTAACTGATTTAAACAAATTACACAAAACAGTCTCAATTTTATTGGCATGCATAACCACAACAGATGGAGATTCCATCCTTTTAGTTCCTTTACGAGTTGAAGACGTTCCTAGAAAAAATAAAATGTATAATCAATAGAAAAAGAAGTTATCATCGAAAACTGTATTAATAGAAAAATTAAAAAAGAATAATATGCCAATAACACAAAATGGAATGGAAAAATGTTCAAAAAATTTAACCTAGAAAAATGTTCTAACTAATCGAAAAACAAAAAATTTTTCAATTTTAATGCTGGGACAAAAGTTAAAATAAATAGGTATTAAAAAATAACAAACCAGTCCATGAATGAAATGGAACTCCATAATGAGGTGGTGGTGGGGGAGGCATCGAACCAGGCCCCACAGTTATCCAAGCAGTTGGGCACATTCCAAAATATGAAGTTGCCAAATCATTTTGATCTATTATTTCAAGATGTTCTTCATCAACAGGCATATTTGAAATAGATCCAATCCCAATCTGTTTTTGCGCCATAGATTTTGTTGTTTTAGGTGTAACTTTTTTCTTAGAAAGTGATGAAGTAATTGGAATACCGCTTGAAGAAAATGTTGAAGAAAACGGAGGAGTAGAAACACCCCAACAACTATTAAACCCTCCATCAATTTTTCCATCCATTTTTTCGTATGAAGATATTGCTGGACCTCCAATATAATCAAGAGGATCATTAGTAATTCCAAAATGATTTTCAGAATCCATATTGCTGAAGCAAATATTTTTTGCTGGTGCATTAATTACAGAAAATGACTGTCCATTTCCATAATGGCTATATATTCCAAACACGTTAGAAGAAACAGAGGAAGTATTCCTTAAAAAAATTTTTTTAAATATCTAACCAAATTAAATTCATACTCCTCCTCTCCTGGCAAAAATTGTCCTGGAGCATCTGGATCAACTGCACGTTGTACCATTTTCTTTGAATAAGCAAGTAATACACAATAGAGACGAGCAACTTTTGGAAGACTACAATTGTTGACATATTTTTGAGTAAATTGAGCTAGAACGCTAGATATTTTGAGAAGAGCACCAAGTGAGAATTTGCTCAAAGTTATGAAATTTCTATTAAAAAATTATTTAAAATAAAATAATTATTTATAAAAACCTTTTAGAAAAAACAGAAATTAAAACATCAAGAAGAATGTCAACAACTAAGGTTACAAGCGAAGAATTACTTTTATTAATAAGTAAATGCACAAAATATTCAAAGACAGAATCCAATGATGGTCCAATTTCCTAAAAAAAATTAAAATTGAGAAAAAATTAATTTTTTTACAGTATTAGGCGGCATATTTGGAACTCGACAGCTTGGCCCAATAAAGCAAAAATATTGGAAAAATCCAAAAAGTTTGCCAGAACCAACAATTGATTCAATTAAATAAGGCTGAAAAAATTGAAAAAAATTTTTTTAATAAAAAATTAAACCATTTTTTGAATTGAAGTATTCAAAGTTGTAAGTACTCGAGTCCAAACAAGTTCAGAAATAAAAGGGTTATCTGCAGCATATGAAATAAGAGAACATGCAGCATTATCGCTCAAAGCTGGGACAGTAAAAAGAGGCGATTTAGCAATAGATAAATTGCTTTTAGAGTTGAGGAAAGCACCAATATTTGATTGATACTTTAAAGAAAAGGATAAATTTTTTAAAATTAAAAAAACACTTTTAAAATAACCTGCCAATAAAAATCTAACAAACGTTCAACAAATGCTGGTCGAACATTGCTATTTTTGTTGTCAGCACGAAGATTAGTAAAAAGTTGATCAATTGCACCCATAATTGTTTGCATACATTGACCTATGGCTTCATCTCTCTTTTCTTCATTCATAACATTTTCATCATTTGAAGAATTACTTGGTGGAAGAGAACGAAGAAGTAAAAGACGACGAAAAGAATTTCTAAAAATATTTTTAAATATATTAAAACTAATTTCAAAAAAACCTTATAAGTGTATCCTGTAAAAATACAGAATCATTACAATTTGTAATTGCTTGTTTTTCAGAAACACAAAAATCATATTGCAAATCAACAGAAAGGGCAATTGGTTGAATATTGATGTTATTAGCTAAATTCAAACGAGAAACATTGAACATTTGAAGAGCAATAAGATCAAATTGCCAAATTTCAGATGAACGATTTGAAGTAGATTCTGTGGCTTTAACTAAAAATTAAATCAGAAAATTTAAAAAAAATCCAAAAACCATTTTGAGAATTTGAAGTAGAGGAAGGAGCCAAATTAGCAGCTGCCATTGTTGTTGCTTCAGAAAGAGTTGTGTCAATTAAATTGTCAAAGAATTGATTATGACCCTCATCAACAATTGGTGCTGTATCATCTGGAATAACATCCTCAGCAATAATTTCATCATCATCATTAAACAAGGTTTCATTTATTGTTTTTTCAATTTGTTGAAGAATTTTCTCAGAAGTACCGTCAGATACTGGCAAATCATTTGTAGTTTGTTCTTCTTTCCGACGTTTTGCATCATCTAATAAAATAAGCATAAATTATCCCTTAATAACTTAAAAAAACAAACTCATTGAAGAAAAGGCACCAGCACAACAACCTTCTGTATCCATTTTCTCGTCGCGTTTTGCCGAATTTCCAGACGAATCCACATTTGTAATACGGCTTAATGAACGAATTTCTGCTTCACTTATATCCAAGAGCATGCTCAACAATGCATGACGTATCCACGGCTCGTCAAAATCATTAAATGCTTAAACAATTTATTTAATCAAAAAATCAGCCAGAAAAATTACCTAGACTAAAAAGTTGCTGTAAATGAGTATCAAAAGCAACAGAAACTGGAATTGGTTGAGCACTACCATGCACACAAATTTTTGCGATGACCTACAAATTTAAAGAAAATTTTTAAAAATTAATAAACCTTAAACACAAGCAACAAAGTTTGTATTTGAAGCTGAGTTGCATCAGTCGAATGTTCACATAAAAGCTGCAATAAGCTTTTAACAAAAAGACGACATAATTGTGGTGACAATCGAAGATGAATACTATATTGACGTGTTTTTGTAGATTTTGTATCAGGAATTACAGCAGAGGTACTAGCCGGTGATTTAGATGTTTTACCAGATTTATCAGGAAATTTGCCAGATTTTTCCTTATCTTCAGCACTCAACTGGTTGAAGTTTGAGTAGAGTGATTGTATATGCATTAGATGAACTTTAAGTTTTTCCAATTTGGCAAGTGAAATCTGTGAATATAAAAATTTTTTAAGATGATAAATTACAAATTAAATATTAAAAAAGAAAAATTATTAACCGTTTCGCTCTGCTTCATTTTCTCCAATTTATCAATCAATGTCTTGTAGTGATTCTTAACAGGAGTAATCATCTTTGACTGTGAACTGCTAGAGGGAGCGACATTTGGAACATTTACAAAGCTTGAAGGGCCCGCAAATTTTGCAGTTCCATATTTCTTTTTAATAGCATAGCCACGTTGAAGAGTTGGACAAGTTGTGGCATTAAATTGGTCTGCGGTGCCAGAATTTGCTGGTCCAAAATCTCCACCCAAAAATAACCAGCGATCATTTTGACGCTTTTCTGAAGTCGAATTATAGAACAATATTTTTTAAAGCTAAAAAACAAACTAGATATAATAATATCAAAAGCAGAAGAGATTAACATAAGCGTCCAAGAAAGAAGTATTTTGAAATTAACACTTCTTGGCTGTTTTAAAGTGCTTAAATTGATGTCAATGTCCGTAGAAGAAACACCCAATTGAGCAAGAACTGAGAGGACCAATTGCTCAATAATGTTAGTCTAAACAAAGTTTTTATGTGAACGAATAAAAGTCTAAAAGGAAAACCTGGAAACGTGGATATTTAACAGTCTCGCTGCACAAATACGACAAGATAATAAAAGCACTAGAAAATATTTAAACAATTATTGAAAAATATTCAATTAAATTCTATACCTATCCAAATTCTTTTGACACATTTTTGAAGCAAAATGTTGATTGAGCACTTCAACAAAAAATTTCCCCCACCAATTCGTATAAACACCATAATGAAAAAGCCAAGAAATACATTCGGCTCTAAGTCTAGGCAAAGAATCCATACAAAAGAGGCCAAAATGTAAAACAGCAGTGTCCAATGAAAGTAAATTATTTTGAGAAATAGAAACAGTTGGTATGGACTGATTTGTAGGTGGAAGCTAAAAAACTGGATTAATAACGAAGAAATTTGAACAAGGTTTGTGATTTGGATTCAAATCAGACCGGGTTGAGAAAAAACTAGGATCGAGTTTTCGAAATTCAATAAGGAAATATAAGGTTACATGTAGATCCAACCCAGACCCAGATCTATCAGTCCTGTTAAAGGATTACTAAAAACTAACCACAATCATTTTACGCGCGTCAGTAAATGCTGAGAATAAATTCAATAAAGCAATTAAACGATGTGCCATTACAGCTAACTGTTCCAAACCGATCATACTCCAACCAGATTGTTGTTGCTTTAATTCCTTCTTTTCATTTTCATCCAATACTTTATTGTCCATTTGAATTCGTGTGATAAGATTTCTCACAATATTATATTCAAGACGAAGAGCAAAGCATTCCCTGTATTGCTGACGAATTGAACGACGCCGAATTTGTTCAAAAGTTGGGTTTCCATCATCACGAAGTATGCCCTTAATAGCATTTGCAGAACACTCGTAAGCAACTTTTAACGAATCACTCAAAAAGATGAGTTCAGAAAGTATCTAAAAATTAAAAACAAATTAGAAAAATAATTTCATAAAAAACCGCACATTGTTCTCCTCCAAATCCTCCTCAAAATCAACCATTTTTGCTCCAAAAAACTGTCCCAAATTAACTGTACAAGGTTCATTATATAACTGACGAACCGTGTAAGTCAACTAAAATTAATTAAAAATGTAAATTTATTACACAAAAACCTTCAAAAATCTGCAAATAATCGGTGGAAGTAAATCACTGATCGTCAAAGATTTTGCCCCAATTTCTGAAGTGCTAGCAACAAAAATACTGTCTGTCTTTTCATCCTTCAACCATGCATCAATACGTAATGAAGACATATATTCTGAAGCAGGCACAATTAAATCACTCAACATAACTCTATATCCGAAATCCAAAACAATAAATTTTTGAGCTCCTGCTGTCATTCTATCAATACATAAAGAAATACGTGGAAGTTGAGTAAAGAAGGAAGAATGTGGAGAAAATTTCCGATTTAATTGTTTAAGTGTTTGAGTGACAGATCCGTTTTGTATTGGAAGAGACTAAAAAATATAAAAGAATAAAATATGGAAGGACAAAAATAGAAAACGAAATGCTCTAATCAAAAGCTAATAGGAAAATAAACGCAGTCTCTAATAAAAGGTCTATTTCTTTAAGCTTACTCAGTGGCCTATAAAAAATAGATGCCTATGACTTGAATTAGAGCATTCACGGTAACTTATCAAATATCCAGAAATTCTAAAGAACTTAAGGATAAGAAACCTCAGATTTTTGATGATTAATATCACTTTCACCAGTCAACATCACTAATTCTTCCAAATCAGCTTCACTACCACCAATTGGCGAAAGTGGAGTTGGTGTCAATTGGAAAGGTGTAGTTTTTGGGGTAGTTGGAACTCCAAAAGTACTCGCAGAGGAAAGTCCAAGAGTTGCTGGAGTATTCTCACCAGAAGGTAATTGTGAATTAACATTAACTTCCGATTGAGTATTTATAACATCTACAACTTCATTTGCAGTATCCAATTCTTTAGTTGATTCATTTTCCTTTTTATTGTCCAAAGTTGAATTTTCTGTAACCGAAGCTGCAGCAAATATATCCATTAAAGCATTATTAGAATTATTATCGTTTACAGAATTTGTAGAAAATTTTTGTTGTTGGCGATTCTTAAGACGATGTTGCTGATATTGAAGCTGGTGTTTGAGTGAATAAATATCAGCAACTTTATCCTGAAATTAGAAAATAATAAACCTCAATATAATGTGGGAAAGGATGATCCATTTAAAAACTAGACTTAAATGTCCCCCTTTTTACAGAATAATTTATGTTAATAAATGGGTTTTAATTATGATAGGGTTTTAACTCCCTAAAATAAAACCAATATTCAATTAAAACTCAAAGCTCGAAAACCGAGTTTTTGAATTTTGGATTAACAGGCAATAACCGGCCGCTAAAATCCCTAGCTTTAAGAAATAAAAAAATCTAAGACTAGAATATAAAAAAACCATTTGTTCTCTTCCATCATCACAAGTTTCACCCTTCTTGTTCAAATCAGAAGAAAACGTAGTAGGAAGATCAAAATTCTCATTTTCCTGTTCATTCAGAACTCGAATGTGGTCTGTACCATAAACACAAGAAAAAATTAAAGGCTCCGTTTCCAACAATCCTGTCAAGTGATTCATTAATAAATGATGGCGATGAAGAGATGAACTAGTGGAAGGATTTCCTGAATTTGTAAATGATGTTAAAACGATAATTTTTACAAACCATTTTTGTTTGTGTCGTTTGTATCCTTCCAAGCAGTTTGATAACCGCTAAGATCTCCATAAGTTGATGGAAGCATATTTCCTGACAGATTTTTAGGCCATTCAGAAGATAATCCGACACTTGAAGAATAAAAAATTTTCAAATTAAAAAGTAAAAAACCTTGGAAAAATATTTTTGTGAGGATTTTTGGCATTATTAGAGCCTTGACCATTTTCATTGTTCAAAATATCACCATAAAATCGAAGATTACAATCTGTACTGTCGTCAATAAAAAACATATCCATCCAATCCATTTCATCCTAGAAATATTTTTATTAAAAAATAAAAAATTATTAAAATTTACAATTGCATAGTCAGAAAGAATCGAAGCTGTTGAGCAAAAAGTCAATGGAAACTTGTTATTTTCTGAATAAACTCTCGATGTATTGGCAGCTGATGACGTTTGATTTTCGACCTAGGTAAATGTGGATCAAAATAAATCACAAAATTTCGAAGACCAAAAAGTTAGAATTGAATCATGACTCCTTCCCTAGCCATTATTTCAACTTATCCGCACCCCGAAACAATTTTTGAAATCCACGTACGCCAACAAAACACCCCATCAGGGTGTAACAACATTTTTAATTAAAAAATAAAATATTCTAAAAATTTCCAAACCATTTGACGGCAAAGTTTAGATTGTTCAAGAGCTAATTTTGTCTGCTCAATTGCAAATTTAGAATCTTCAATTAAATCACTAATCAAGTTAGAATTGCCAAAATCATAAATTGGAGTATTTGTCCATTGCTGGAAAGTGTTTGCTGAGGGAGTTGTTTTCCAAAGATCTAAAAATAAATAAAGAATATAAAACACAAATAAAATAACCTTGATCTACAGAAAAATTTCCAGTAAAACTTGGAGGAGGAATATAAGGAGATCCTGAAAAAACAAATTTTTTCATAAAAAAATGAAAAAAAATACCCGGAGCAGCAAACCAAGGTGAGCTCTTAAAAAAAAAAGAAAATTTAATAACTTTTACAATTTTAAGTCATCGAAAAAACCTGTTGCTTGTCTTCAGTATAAATTTCATCAAATGATGGTTTCGCAGTAGCCCAAACAAGTTTTGGCTGTTGGGAAGTAGTAAACGAAGTTGCATTTTTGGAAGCTTTTTGTTTGCTGAGACATCCCTTCTTCAAATTCGATTGTTGTTGATCTAATTGTGCTGTAGAAGGAGGTTGAAGAACTCCAGAAACAGACGAAAGAACTTTTACAGGAAAATCGAACATTGTCTAAAATTTCAAAAATAAAATAAATCAAAATCTCAATCAAAACCTCATCAAAAATAAATCCAGAAAGTCCATATTCTCTCGATAATTTGCTGTGTAAACTATTTGTCCATTGTTTAGACCAACATCGACCAATAAGTGTCAACACTTCAACGCATTTTAGCATAAATTTATCTGCAGAATCTGCCAACTGAGGAAATTTGGCAGAAAGAGGAGTGATTGTACAATCCTACAAATGAAAAAATTGAAAATTAAACATAGGAACCATATTTCATTTCTTCTCTATTTCCAACAATTTCAACTATGACAACAAATTTTAGGCGTATAAAAGATATAGGAGGTGTGAGAAGATATGAGAAGTATCTTATTCTCAAATTTATCGTAAAACAAGCCCAAATAACAATGATTTCAATAGCTCAAAAGACCCGAATTTGATTGAAAAATGAAGACTAAATGGTAATAGTCGGTTTCGTACCCGCTCTTTTTCTGACCATTTTTTCATTTTTCCTTCTCTATCTCACTTATTTTTCATGAGGAACACGTCGAGCTGAGTCGGATGAACCAAAATCAACGTGATATGACATTATGTAGACCTATCTGAGTTGCCGACTTTTGTCATAACTTTGTTAAAACTTGTCCAATTACGTTGATTTTTGTGTCACCCGACTCATTGTCAGCTCGATGAGTTTCTCATGAAAAATAAGGGAGATAGAGAAGAAAAATGAAAAAATGGCCAGAAAAAGAGGGGGTACGAAACCGACTATTACCGATTAAATTTCTAGGAAAATAGAGAAATGAAAATGAGACCTTTAAAATTCAAAATTCCTAACAAAATTTATTAAAAATAAAAAAACCTCAACAACACAACCAATTAGAACAAAAAGCCAATGCAGAGAACTGGCACGCTGAACTTTAAATAATTCCTCCAATAATTTAGTTAATCCAACAAATAAAGTGTTCATGAATTGAAAAGCTTTGTTTAAAGAAAGTCCAGTCGGTGGCCACTGAATTATTTGAATAAAGTCACACAAAAGAATAGTCCATTTATGAGAAATTGTTCGTGAAGACGAATTGACATAAGCACTTTGTAAAATAGAAGGAATTGAGTCTAACAACAAATCAGAGAAGAGATCGATAGCGTTTCTGAAAAGTGTCAAATTTTATATGAAAATTATTGGTAAAACATGGCACGAGTAGAGAGTGGTTTTTTGTGGTTTTTCCTCTATATATAAATTTTTAGACTCGTTTCAGGTAAATAGAACGATTTAGGTAAATAATTGAGGAGAGAAATTAGGCAATAAACATAAGAGATATGGCGAGAGGCCCTCAGCAAATTGCTTGGCCCTCCTAAGGATTTCAGATATTCAAGATCAGCAACTCGGTCCCTAATTGTAGACCGTGATTCCCCTGATAATTTGACTCGGTTTTCAAGGATCTTTCACATGATACAGGTCCGAAAACAGAAAAAACAACCCAATGTCACCAACAAAGCCTAAAAACAATTAAAATGAAGAACCAGTGGAAAGTAGGGAGAGACTAGACCGGGAGTGTCGTACGAAAATTGAGATAATAACCAAGGTTTCGACCGAGACCTCGCCTCGGTCCAGTCTCTAGTGGAAAGGCCAAACCAATAGTAGTGCCTAAAAAGGTAATAGTAGTTTGGAATTCGCCCCCCTTTTTTCCTTTCTATTTTTTTCCCTAGTTTCTTCATATTTTATGGCAAATTATAGCTTTCTAATTTTTGTAAGAATCATCAGATCTAGCCAATCTTTGTATCATTCGACTAAGCTCGAAGAGCTGTTTCGAATGATATATAATAAACTATATATCATGCAGGAACACGCCCAAGTAGGCACGCGGCCATAAAGGCGCAAAGCCATAACTTGCTGGAAAATTGTCAATTTTGGTACCAATCTCTTTAGCTCGATGATCGGAATCGTTTAATACTAAATTTGGTATGATTCGGAAATCTTGAAGCAAGTTATGGCTTTGCGCCGTTATGGCCGCACGCCTACTTGGTCTGTACCCTATCATTCAACAAGGCTCAAAATGGTCGGGAAAACGGGAAAATGGGGGCGAATGACAAACTACTACCCCCAAATGTTTATATACCGTGTAAGCTTTTGAAGCTCAGAAGAGTGGACATTAGACTTCCATTCCTCCAAAATCCAAATCAAAGTGTCCAAAGCTTTATGTTGACTGCCAATTCTCTGTCCTTCAGTTACTGGCTTCCCATCATCATCTTTAAGTCCATTTATAGCAATCCTAAGAAGTCCTTTATGAGCTCGAGTTTCAATAGTCAAAATTAAACGTTGAATATGAATCATCATTTTATCTCTGAATTTTATATTAAAGTCAAAACAATCTGCCCAAAAATAGGAGAATAGAAAGAAAGGTAGGAACTTTCCGCGCCGGTTGCTATTTTTGTCAAATTACTTACAAAAAATTTTCCATTTTTACCCCTTTTAGAATTTTTTGGACCCCTGTAACTCGGCTCAATGATCTCACGGACCAATTCTAATGTCATTTGTCTCGGAACTTGTTATGGTTTATTTACAAGTTCCGAAACAAACTCAGCTCGATGAGTCATCCTACTCAGTTCTGTCTTAAACAAAAAATTGACCTCAACTGAATTGATTGATGGTTGAGAGGGAAAAAGAGTTCAAGAATAATAATGGAAAAGGAAAAAGGGGCGTGCATAAAAAAGCGTACCTAAACCATACAAGTTCCGGATTTAGAATACGTAAATCGGCTTTATCTTAAAGGAGGTGCGTGATCACATTTTTTCCTTTTTCCTTAAACCGTCAGTTCTTATTAATGTCTCTTATTTGAATTTGCCACAAGGAAAATTAAGGTGAGGTAAAGACTGACCATTTTTTCATTTTAAGGATAATGGAAGGTAGACTGACTATGTAAGGAAGGAGGAAAAAAAGGCGAGCCCGCACCTCCTTTCAGATAGAGCCCGTTCTAATGAAAATTAAAAAATGGAAGCTTTGACTTAATTTTTTTTAAATCCTAGGACCATTCTGAATCGACAATATTGGATCGAGGTTCTACCGGAGAAGATGAGAGAAATAAAAAAAATTACTCATCAAAAATTTTCTTTTCATTTTTTCTCTAATATACACAATATTTCGCTTATCTATTTTTAAACATAACGCCAATCGTGGCTATTTAAAAGATAATATATACTGACAAGGAGAGTTTGCGAGGCGTCCGAGCTAAAAACGGTCGAGACCGGGCTCATTCGATAGAGAATGTGCCCTTTCTAGCAAGGATTTTTTGCCGTTTTTGCCCGTTTTTTGATCTGGCCAAGATATGGCCTTCCAAAGTCCCAAAATTTGGCATATTTTCCCCCCTTCAAATATAAACTTTAAATAATGCATTAATTTTGTTGGCGCTGTGGTGTAATGGTGAGTGTGCTTGCATTACACTTTTTCTCTAAAAAGTTCGATTCTTTACGGGTTTTATTTTTTTATCTAATTGTTTTAAACATTATTTATTCCTTTTTCAACAAAAAAATTTTTTTTGAAAATTTTTTTATTTTTTTTAGATAAAAATAAATTTTTTTTTAAAAATAATTTAAAAAAAATTTCAAAAATTTTTTAACTTTATCCTGACGATTAATGGGTGGAGAGGAGAAGATTCCCCGGGAAAATTCGATCATCCGATCCGTTATTGTTCTCCATTATCGTCCCCTTTTGAATGTAATACATCTAATTGTTTTATTCGACGTGCCAGGTGTAGCAAATTCTAGTTTTATATCTTGTGAGGATAAGCTCAAAATATTACAGGGTATTTCAACTAAGAAATACAGTATAACAGAACACACCCTGTGTAATACAAATACATAATAATGGTCGATAGAGGCAAGGGCTAGGATAAGGTCGATAAGGAGGCCAACTAGGAGGTCTCACTAAGGAATTCTCTCGATAAGTACGGAAAATAAGTTGGGGTTTATATACAAGAGAAAAAGGATAAACAGGTTCAAAATGGTTAACCTAAACCTATGGAGCTTGTTCCTCGGGGGGTCTACGGCCTACGGTTTCTGGGTTCGTAACATAAGGCTGTACTTTAGCCGGTGGCCGGTTCGAAATATTTACCATTAGATTCGACTCAGCGAGCTGAGTCGAATGGTACCGCTCCCAAGGTGCGGCCTGTGGACCGAGATATAAGTCTCCGAAAACCATGGGGGGGGGGGGAGGTATCCGCCTAACCTTATCAAGCAATCTAACAAAAGCTAAAAACTAATTTAAATATAAAAATCACATTTTTAGATTTTATTCCAAACATTTTATCTTTAAAAAAATAACCTTTTCTTATTCAAGAAAAAAAAGAAATGAATTGAAAATTTAACAAAAACCCCCCAAAATCAATTCACATTTTTTCTCTAATTTTTTTTTCAAAATTTATTTTCGTGTAAAGTGTCACATTGAAAAACTCTATCAAATCTTAACAAATTTATCAGAATTTTATTTTCCCTCAAAAATCAACTTTATTTCTGAGGAGAAGTAGCTGTGGACGTCGAATTAACAGTTGATGGCTCTTCCTTCGTTCCTTGCTCCCCTCCATCCTTCTTTGCCTCACCAACGACCTCCTCCTTCTTCTCATCCTCTCCCCCCTTAGTGGAAGTATTAGTGGCGCTCTTGGATTTGTCTGCAACTGGATGACGGTAGTAGCGACGATGGAAACGCTTCTTGTTGGAACGCTAAAAATAGAATTTGAATTTTTTATAAAGGAAAAAGATGGGGAAAAGGGGAAAACTCAAATTACTACAAATTTCCCCCAAAAAAACTGCCCAAAATATGGGTACAGCCCAAGTAGGCGCGGGCCAAGTAGGCGCGACCGAGTAGGCGCGACCGAGTAGGCGCAGGCCAAGTAGGCGCAAGGCCAAGTAGGCGCACGGCCCAAGTAGGCGCAAGGGTAAACTTCTTAATTTTTACCCAAATTTTTTTTATTAATCTTCAACTAATTTTGTTAATTAGTTGGCTGAATAATCAAGCAACTTTATGTGGACACTGGACTTTTTCTAAAACTGCCCTTCTTAGGGAAAAAAATTTATTAAGTGAAGCTCGTTGATGTTTTTATTTTTTGATAAAATTAAAAAAAATCTTTTAATATTTTTCTCATAAAAGCTCCATACTTAGCTGCTGATACGTTTTGGATTATTTGCTAAGTTTGTTAATTAGTGAGAGCCATGCTGCTTTGATAATTCCTGTGGCTTACCAATGTTATGAATACTCTAACTAGTTCAACTAGTTTAAGGGGGACTAACTAGTTAGCCTTTAGGAACTAACCAGTTTAAGGGAACATGAAGTATATACAAAGGTACAATTAACAATCAAGATACGACTATCAAGGCGTTTCACAAAAAAGTCCAGCTACAGTTAGGAGACTTTTGATAATTAAAAGCTTTTGATGTATTAAAAAATAAATATACACTTTTGAACTGCCTAGTTAATGCATACAGTACGAACGTATACTAACAGGGTATCGATATTTAAGGTGTTTTTCTTCTAAAATAGGTACCTTTCTTCTAATTTTTATCAAGAATCTTTCTTCTAACTCATTAACATAAAAATATTTATACTGACTTATTTTTTAATTTGAATATTTTAAGCTAAAAGATTTGCGCCTACTTGGGCCGTGCGCCTACTTGGCCTTGCGCCTACTTGGCCTGCGCCTACTCGGTCGCGCCTACTCGGTCGCGCCTACTTGGCCCGCGCCTACTCGGGCGTGTCCCCCAAAATATATTTGTTAAAAAGGAAATTTCGAACCATTAGGGTCTCGTTTCCATTTCTTATTTGTCCTTTGTTTCAGTTGTTACAACCAAATCAATCGAAGGGATTAAGTCTGAACTTTATAGACAAATATGAGAAATGAAAAAAATTCTCATTCTGATTAGGGAAGGAACAATCTCAAATCTCTTCACGAAAAACTACTTTAGAATAACAAAACATTAGAAGGGTGCCCCGAGAGAATAGACTTGAGGTAAAAATAACGTGCCATAAGTTGTGGAATCAAACAATCACCCTGTCGAATAATTACACAAAATTGAACCGTTTCGATTGATTCAAAAATTTGTCAAAGGTTGAGAAAAAGGTAAAATAGGGAAGAAATGAAAATTACCCAATTATTGCTTGGTGACACTACTTGGAAGGCCCCAAAACCCTTACAATTAGCGAACCCCCCAAAATAAAAATTATAAAAAAAATTAAACCGTTTTTCCTTCAGTAGTCTTTTCATCATGAACGACCGCCTTTCCTTCACCTTCAATAGCCTTTTGATGACGGTTCCCATTCTTTTCACCACCATCCACCTTCTTCCCCATATTGCTATTTTGTTTATGCTCTACAGTGTTGTTGTCATTTCGACGTTGACCAGCAGGATAACGACCAGGCATCATTGGAAGTTGGCGGAAACGAGGATATGTATGGTAGAAAGTACCCTTATACATATAACCAATAGTCTTGCCAACACGAACACCGCCGGGGCCAGAAACGCAAACAGCTTCAGGACCTTTCAGTCCTTCAATTATATCAAACTCGACCTAAAATTGAGAAGAAAATAATATTTCTGGAGTTGTTAAAGTAATAACCTGTTGATTCTCAATCAAAGCAAGAGGCACATTAACTGTACGAAGAATGGCGGAGGCGTGAACGAAGCAGTCCTTTTCCGAACCATCAACACGAATAAAACCATATCCTTAAATTATGAAAGTTGAGAACGTAAACCAAATTGAAAATCTAAATGAGGACCTCTAGGGAATTTATGCTATGTAAGGATAGGACGAAACTATAGGTTTTGTTTGAAACAAGGTTTAGTCTCAATAAGACGAGTTAAAAAATTGAAAAATTCTAAAAGCCCCCATGCCTAAAAAACATTGCAAACAACAAAGTTATTAGACTCGGAACTTGATTAGGAGAAAATCAAACTCCGAAAATATAATGCTTCAGAGAAGTAAAGGCCTCCGATTTCCTTGAAAACCATGCATAGGAAATTACTAAAATCTAAATCGGGACCAAGTTTCTGCCACGAGCCATTTCCAAGAATTTTTTACACAATTCTTTTTTCAAGAATTTCTATTAGAATAGAGTCAAGGAAACCTCTCAACATGCTCAGAATCAAGGACCAAACTCTAAGCTCACCAAAACAATGCCCTGGCCTACCCCACCCCGTTTCAATTCACGAAGCTCATCCAAAAGAAAATCAAACCTTTGGCTACACTAAACCATTTAACAATTCCATGTTGAGCACGCCCAATAACAATCGGACCACGCAACTGACGAACACGCTTCTCCAAACTTTCGCCATTCATAGAGTCAGTAGAAAGTTTCTTGTCCATTTTCTCCGCTACTCCATCCACTCGTTTTTCCAAATTAAGTTCGCCAACTCGCTTAGCCAGATCAGTTTCAACAGTCATTGTTTTTAAACGTCAATAAATTTTTATGAAAATACTGAAAAAATAAACAGAAAATAAATAAGGGTTCTTGCTCAGTTTATGAGTCCAATGACACTTTTATACGTCCAATCGATCTTTAGGTTTACAGGATAAGTTGGCAAATTTATTCATACCATGAAGGTGTCAAAGGTCTGTTTTAAGAGCTAACCTTCCTTCATTAACTGGGCATTAACTAGAGGTCGGCGCAGGACGGGATCCCGCGCGGGTTTTTGCGGGATTAATCCCCCGGGATCCCGTCCCGCAAAGATTTTAAAAAATTATCGGTAATTCCAAGGCTGGTCCCCCCTTTATTTCCTTTCTATTTTTTTTCGATTTTTTAAACTTTTTATAGCAAATTATATATCGTTCGAAAGAGCTCTTCAAGCTGAGTCGAACGGTACTAAATTCATCAAAATCCGACTTAAATAAACATAGTTATGACCATTTGTTTTAACCCCTTTCAACATCACAAAAAGCATGTCCATCGAGGATTTAGCTTCATAATTCTGCTCAGAATCTCCAAATCGAACCGATTATGGTATCATTATACTCAGCTCGAACAGCTCTTTCGAACGATATATTGTAAATTATATGTCAAGCAAAATAGCTCAAAATGGTCAGGCGAACAGAAAAAAGGGGGGGGGGGGGGGACCAGCCTTGGTATTACCAAATTATCCCGCGGGATCCCACAAACACGATTTTGCCGACCTCTAGTATTAACCATCTATAAGACTTGTGTTTAAGTAAAGGAATCGAACTTTATTAACATCATGTTAAAGAAGAGCAAAAACCCCGGCCATGATGCCTCATTTAATTCTCAAAATTGCCTGACTCATAAAAGCTCGATTGGACATGAACAAGACAAGAGACCAAACAAATTCTAAAAGAAATCAGTAAATGAATGAACAAAAACTCCAAATAAAAAACAAAAAAATGTGACAAAATCTTTTTAGGTCAAGTGATTTAAAAATTCGAAAAAATTTCAAAACATCTAAAAATTATTTGGTCACGATGGGTATTTTATGAAATTTCGTCGAATGGGAATTTTGTTATCGATTTTTTGGGCGCTATTTTTTTATTTAAATTTATGTGCACTTAGAGTCTCAACGTTTTACCTTCTTAATACTCGCGGTTTTATTGACTGTTAAATGTAGTGAATAGATTGAGGTTTTTAACCAATTAAAAATTAGTCGATCCTTGACCTTTGTGTCCCTCTTACCGGCCGAGACCAGATTTTTGCCCTTACTTCAGGAAAAATTTAAAATAAAACTTTCAAATGTCTTTACGCGTTTAACTCTGGATTCAACAAAAATCAAGAATTCTTGGATCCACACCAAAAACCGATTTCTAGTTTAAGAAATTTTTCTCTCAATTCCTTCAATCGTTTTAAATTTTGTTTTACATTTTTTCTGCCAACCTATCAATTAGAGATCGGCCTGGGTTTAAGACCAAGGCCTGGGTTTTTCTGTACCCAGAGTTCAGGCTCAGGCGTTTTTTTGACCTTCTTGAGTATTTCCTTGGCCTCAGTTTTTCCTTGACCTGGCCCAGAATCCGGCCCAGGTCCATAAATCAAACCCCCAGGAATATGCCCAGACTTTTCAAAAATACTTAGCTCTGCTATCAATAATCATCTGACATTTCTAATTTATTTTTTATCCTTCCCAGAAAATTTCCTTTTTTTAATTTTCTTCAATTTTCAGTTTAAATAGAGCACCAAAAATGGCATATAGATATCAATATTATAAAAACTTTCAACAATCTCCACAACCTCTCTACAAACAGCAAAGCTTTCGAATGCAGCCTGATCATCTTATTCGAACTGTTACGACATCAAAAATTTTGCAGGAACAGCGAGCTGCTGAGGAAAGGGCTAAAGCAGCAATGCCGCTTTACGGGTTTCTTTTAAATTTTTTCCGACTTTGTTCACTTGAGAAACTCACTTTATAGTTTCTTTTTTGAACTCTTTTACTCCTATTGAGAGAAAATTTAAACTTTTCTGAGGGTTTCATACAAAAAAACACGTTTTTTCTGTACTGTCCCTTTGGGTCAATTTAAAAATTTATTTGGTGAATTCTGAGAATTTTAATGCTTTAATATATCGTAATGTTAATGGTCTTTTTTAATGGGTCTTTTTGAGTGGGAGGAGATTTTAAGGGGAAGAGTTTCTATTAGGGATCTTGTGGCTAGCAAAATCTCGTATTTTCTAGAGCTAATATAGGGGAATTATTAGTAAAAGTTTACAGGAGTAACTCCTCCTGGTTTAAGTTTGCTTTCCAGCCTAAAAATTAGGGTTGTGCCCCGAATCCTGAGGGCACGTTTTTTGGGTGCGTTGGAAGATGACTGACAGAAACACAATTTATTGTCAGTCATACTCCAAAGCACCCCGAAAAACGCGCCCTCAGGATTCGGGCGCAACCCTACTAAAAATGTGGGATTTGATTGGGGTCTTTCAAAACCTCAATTCCTTTTTTGGATTAATTTTAAATTTTTTTAGAAGTGTTCGTATGCGTCCTGAGATTCTAATTCAAGCGGTAACAGAATCAAAATTGGCTCGAAAGCGTGCTGTCACTGCTGCCAGACTTGAGGCGAAGAGAGCTGTTGATTCGGAAAAATTGATGGTCCGTAGGGCTATTACTCCACCAGATTTTGGGTCATTAAAGGATAATTCGATGTTGAAACTTGCTGATTTTGTGCCGGTTTGTTTTTTTTATTTTTGAATTTTTTTTTTAATTTTTGGTTTCTCCTTAAGCGGCTATAACTTTTTTGTTTTAAAAAAAGTCCTCTCCATCCAATTTCGGAAATTAGGCTTAAAGAGACTTTATTAATCCAACTAGCTTTGTAATATTTAAATTTGTATCGTTAGAAGCCTTCGAAAAAACATTTTATGAGTACATTAATTGTAAGGGTTTAGGGTTCCCCTTATTATGTACAGAAGGGCCCGACTTCCGCAATTTCACTATATGTATTTTTAACTATATTTTTTAAATTTCGAAGGCCTTAGGCCAAAAAATTCATTTTTTTTGCCCAAGCCCTTCCCCAAATTTTTCCTTTTCTCCATATGAGGGGGGGGGGTAATTCCTCCTGGCTACGGGTATTTGGTTACGAGATCGGGCAGATGTAATTATGAAGGTATATCCGTAAATAGGCACGTAGCCGTGGAGAAGGGTTCTCAAAATTTCCCAAATTTCCGACAGCTTAATAATCTCCAAATTATTTCATTTATTTTTTGTAGGGAGTACCGCCTAGCTACGAAAAAGAATTTAGCTATAGAGAGTTGACTATGCCTGTTCCGTTGCCATCTGATGGGCTTTATTCGAAAGAGCAAATTTTGATTATTGGAGCACAGGTTGAAATTTCTTGAAAAAAAAATTTTTAGAAAATTTAAAATTTTTTAAAGGTTGTTATTAATGCGCAGAAAGCTGGGGCTTAATTTGGAAGTGATTGACCTTCAACACAAAAAGGAAAATATTTATTTTAGATAATTAAAAGGTATATAAAAGGTGAATTGCTAAAAAATGTGTAGTCGAATCTCACTATAAGATATACCCACTGGGCTGAAAAATGTCTCTTATAATGAGCATATGTTAAATAGAGGGTATCGCTTTGGTAGCTCCCACCCATTGACTAATACAAAGGGTATCTTAAATAGAGGTTTTCCTTGTTTTGGGGTCCCTTATACCAAGGTGTACCTTAAAAATAGAGGTACTCTGTGAGGGTATCTTAAATAGAGTGTATCTCTTAGACAGCTATTCTCCACACCGTTTAAACTAAATTGTATCTTACATGGAGGTTCTATATATTTTTGGGGGAATTTTATAGTGAGGCTGGACTACTATATATTTTATGTTTCTCTCAATTTCTCTCCTTTACTATTTAAATTTTACTCTTCTCCAAAATATGGATATTTTTTTACTAAATATTTAAATTAAATTTTTGTTCCTTTTTTTGTCCATTTATTTTTAAAAGGAATTCTAAAATAAAAATTAATTTGTTGTAAATTGTCAACACGGCTAGTCTCGGTCCGAACATCACAATTATTGTTAGGTTCTCCGAAAGAGGTTCGGTTGGCTTGACTCGAAAAGAGCAACCTTTAAGTACTTCTGATGGATTTTACTAGATTGGAAGGGGTTGTGGGTCGGAACAGTCAGAGGTGTCGGAAATCGGAAGAGCCGGAAATCGGAACTAGCTCAAAAGTCGGAACTCGGAAATCAATTTTTTTTCGGAAATCGGAACTGGCTCAAAAGTCGGAAATCGGAATCAATTTTTTTTTCGGAAATCGGAAATCCGACCCACCTCTGATTGGAAGGAATTTTGGGGGGTGTAAATAAACTCTAAAATTGTCCCAGCCGCCAATTAACCTTTTGCACTAGCTGAAGGAGAGAATTAGCTCTAGCCCGGCTCTGTTTTAATTTAGAATCAATTCATTCTTTGTAACCTAAAAATCCTTTTAAAAACAATTTTTATAACAAATAAATTGGTAGCGGCGTTAAATCAATAAATTAATATATAACAATTTTTGTTGCTGCGCGAATTGAGCATTTTTGCTTTTTCTTTTATTCTATTCTTTTTATTAAAAATAAATTTTTATTTTTAATATTTTTGGGACAACAAAACAATACACTTCCTTTGTTAATTAGTTGATGTTTGTGGAGCAGATAGGGAGAGGACAGGGGTGTAGACCTTTTCTGATAGGATCATATTATTTTACATTCAATCACCACGTTTCCATTTATGGCTTTTTTGCTTAAACTTAATTTACCGTAAATGTTGTAATCGAAGTCCATCTCAAAAAACCACATTTTTAATAACGATACTATAATGAAGGGACACGTCAAAGTAGGCGCGCGGCCAAGCAGGCGCAAGGCCATAACTAACTGGAAAATTTCTGCCCCTTATCAATTTTGGTACCTCTCGTATATTTTTTAATTTTTCAATAAAACATTTAACCGAAATTTTGACCAGAACCGGACACAATTCGAGTTCCGAATCCCGGAACCGGAACTTCCGGTGAAACTCTACTAGGTACTTTTCCGTTATGACGTAATACCCAAAATTAATGTTCAAAATGTCATATATAGGGTAGAAAAAGGTGCTGAGTCGAACGGTACCACTATTTTTTCACGTAGATGCCTGTGGACCGAGATATAGGGCTCGAAATGGTCAAAAACCATAGGAGGAGTGAGCTTTGCCTACGCGGATATAGTGTAGTTCACCGGAGGTAAAAGTTTGGGACTAGACATATGTCATTCGATTCGTCTCGGCGAGCTGAGTCGAACGGTACCACTCCCAGTTTCAGGAAATGATTCTGGACCGAGTTACAGGTCCCGAAAAATCGAAAAACCAAAGGGGGGACCAAGCACTTTTTTGGGGTGAAAAATTCGAATATGCAAATTATACCTCATTCGAAAGAGCTCGTCGAGCTGAGTCGAATGACACCAAAATCAGCTTGATTGTAAAAGTTTGGACAAAGTTACAATAGAAAAACAAACAACATAAACCTATGGGGCGTCGGCGAGGCGCTTGTGCAAAACCCCGCGCTTCGCGCGGGGTTTTGCGGCACGCGCCTCGCGGGGAGTCTACGGGCGGTGGGTCTGGGCTCGTAACATAAACCTATTCCTATCTCCTTGCTCTGGACGTATTTGGGGCCTCCGTAGCAGCAAAAATCTCCACAAATGCCATAGGTAAGGAGCTAAAATAAAGGATCATAACTTTGTCGAATCAAGTCAGATTTCGTTGATTTTGGTGTCATTCGACTCAGCTCGACGAGCTCTTTCGAATGAGGTATAATTTGCATATTCGAATTTTTCACCCCAAAAAAGTGCTTGGTCCCCCCTTTGGTTTTTCGATTTTTCGGGACCTGTAACTCGGTCCAGAATCATTTCCTGAAACTGGGAGTGGTACCGTTCGACTCAGCTCGCCGAGACGAATCGAATGACATATGTCTAGTCCCAAACTTTTACCTCCGGTGAACTACACTACAGCCTCCTACGCTCCATAGGCTTACGTTGACCATTTTGAGCTTGTTCATCTCGTCTCAAAATCAAGATTATGAGCTGATTTTGGTGTCATTCGACTCAGCTCGAGGAGCTCTTTCGAATGAGCTATATTCCAAAAAATCGAATTTTTCACCCCAAAATTGAGCTTAACAGCTCCTATGGTTTTTGACCATTTTGAGCCCTATATCTCGGTCCACAGGCATCTCCGTGAAAAAAGAGTGTTATCGTTCGACTCAGTACGTTTTTCTACCCCATATATGACATTTTGAACATTAATTTAGGGGGTTACGTCATAACGGAAAAGTACCCTCTACTATTTATGGCATTTTTGCTTAGACTTGATTTACCGTAAAATAATGGAAGCCCATCTCTAATAGAACCCAAAAACCCCATTTTTTAACAATGATACTATAAAATAGATTTCCTTACGTTGCATAATATATTATTTTTCATTAAACATTAAAAAAATTTTTTTAGATAATTTTTTAAATGGTAGCTACTTTAATTGTTATATTTTATATCCTTTTTTTAATGAGCTATAGTGGATCTATGTTTGTACAAATTGGTTATTGGTTATTAGAAACATACTTTATCGATGGAATAAATAATATAATGTTTGTAGATTCCCAATTAAATTTAATTAGAAGAAGACAATTAGAAGGGGAAGAAGGAAGGGAAAATTAATTTTTAAAGGAAATTTAATTTTTAAATTGTTTAATTAATTATGCTTATAAACTGATTAAATATTTTTTTAAAAATTATTTTAAATTAAGTAGGGCTCTGATACATAGGAAAAAATGTTATTAAGCTTAACTATGTATATTAAGTATACTTCAAATTATCAAAATTTAAAATATAATAACGGCACTAAAATTATATATGTTCTTAACGCAAGTAAACAAGCAATTCAATCGAGAAATTTTGGAAGGCACATAATTTTTAACCAGAAAAGTCCATTTGTAAGTACGTATTCGCATAAAAATTTTGCATGTAGTGAGGCCGGTTTGTAAGTAAATCAGTCAGCATTCAGTCAGTTAACTAATGATAATAATAATTTTTATTACACAGTCAGCCTGTTGCGTTGTAGTGGTTTACTATAGCATAATAACCATTGTTTAGCGTTGCTATAAATGGATCGTATATGTTTGTAGATCAGTCCCTGATCTCCTTTCGTCTGTTCCAGTCCAACTTCACTTACATTGTACAGGGTGTTTCTCTGCTTTAAATAAACGTTATTCCAGGGCTTGTCGACTTCGGCAAATTTGAAATATTCGAGATCTCAATTTTAGGTATAATCATGAAAATTTTGAGGCCTCTGGAAGGAGGATGTCTACTAACAAAGTGATACCCTCTTTTTAAGATACACCTCATTATAAGGAACGAATTTTATTTACAGGGGTTATCTTATGAGGTTTTAAATTGCGCATTCATCTAGTTTGTCAACCAGGAGGAGTCTGTGTTTAATTTAAAAAAGTATCAGATTGTGATTTTTTGAAGATCCCACAGATCAATAAACGATTAAATAAACATTGGAATAAATTGATTGTAAAAAGTATGAGGGGTGTCAGTTGTTGTCGTTTTTAAACAAATTCTATAATCTAAGAAGAAAGCAAGTGAAATTGAGTGGAATAAGCATAAGAAATATTTAAAGCAAGGTCCATTGTTTCGAGAATAATTAAATATTTTTATAAATTATTTGTTTAATTATTTACATTTTTTGATAATAATTAAATTTATTTACAAATAAATGCTAGCGAATAATAGACGAATTAAGAAGGCTGAGGTTTTTTTTATAAATTCTAAAATTTTCATAATCTTGGGACTGATTGTACTAAGGAAGGAAAATCTTTGTATGCCTCAAGACCTTGCAGACAAAAAGCTTCAAACTTTTTGTATAAAGGACCCCCTTCTCTGTTTAAATTTTTTTTAATTTTGCTGGACGGGTTTGGGAGCTACCCTAAACCTTTTAGTAACTACCTTAGGTAATTATTGTTTCGACCTTCAGCTGGAGGGAGTAATTAATCGAGAGAGGGTAATTATACGAGGTTTGGAATTTGAACGTCTTTTAGGGCATTTGATGGGGGGGTAATTATTTGAGGGAGGGCGATTAATCTAAGCGAGGTACATCTCATTATAAGAACGAATTTTCTGTCTTAAGGGAGTATTTAATAGTTAGGCCTTGTAAAATTACCCCTAACAATTTTTCTATAATAATTTAAATTAGAATCAACAGCACCTATTTGATGACAACAGCCATTTGAGTTTAAATCGTCGATGGAGTGAACAATTGGCTAATTGTGAAAATACTAATAATTTTGTCCAGCCAGAAAATGTTAATTTTAAATTTTTATAAACAGAACATAGGTATTTTGAAAGGGATACTTGTAGGAAAAGTAAATATTTAGAGAGCTACTGTTTAAATTAGAGGGGACTAATAAATGTAGATAAATGTAGAAGAGAATCGAATAAAGGGTCCAGGGCCAATTTTGACAGAAATAGATATTTTTGTATAATATTCGGTTTTGATAATATAAAAACGGACCTCAGTTGTACGTCATACCACGGAAAGAAATATCTGTCATTAAAATCCCACTGGTTAACACACCCGACCTAAACTTTACGGGAGACTCAGGTTCACTGTCTGGGGCAGTTGATGTCCTTGAATAGCATTTACACAGGTAGCACACTTAGAATGGGGAACAATCGGGTTTAACTTTGCTATATCCTTAACACCCCTCCTCCATATGTAAGTGCGTAAACTAACCGTTGTGGTTGATTTAATTACACCAAAAAAGGTGTGAGTAACGTACATAAAATGGGATGACGTACAACTGAATTCCGATTATAATTTAAAGACTGAAGAAGAAAAAGAAGTAGCCAAACCAATAGCTATAGTTGGAGGTATTGGAAGAAATGGAATAAACGAAGAAGAGTTACAGACAACAACAAATAATTTATTAAATGAACAATTATTTGTTTCTTCATTTGTTAGAGCTATAACTATACCGAACAGTCAAAATACTGAATGGACAGATTTGAGAGAATTTCGAGTAAAAGAAATGAATGAAGTAGGTTAACGATAGAATTATTTTGAGGGAAAAATTATTTTCAGAAATTATTTCAACAATCACCCTTCCCCTATTTCACTCGATCTTCATGTAAATTTTTAATGTAAAGCTAGAATTCTCGTAGTGCCGTTCGGTAATTCGGTGAACATTGTTAAGTGGTTTTTTCAAGTAGTTGAGCTTTTTCAAACAAAGTTTTTGATCTAGGATGGAGATTTTAGAATTTCTTATATTCCGAAATGCCCTGAGTTTCTCTATTACATTATCTATTACGTCACCCCTCGTGCCGAATTTTGCCAGCCTAAAAAAAAAGAAACATAGAAGGGATGTAAATTGTTGCGATAATCGAATGTTGGGACCGAAATAATCACTCGTAGGAGGGAAAGCAACGTGGGAGAGGGCGACGTTGTATAGTGGAACTCAAGAATATAATCACACCTCACTATAAAATATCTTCCTTGAGGCTGAAAGAAGCGAGATCCAACTAAATATAAATTTTATAGAATCGTCAAAGAGCCGCACATATGGAGAATACAATGCGTTGGTGGTTACTATCGGCAGAACAATGGCGTCAGAAATGGCTAAATGTTCGAAATGAACGTAATAGACTAAAGGAAGAAAATGTTCGTTTAAAAAAAGAATTGATGGAAATTAAAAATAAAATAAAAGAAAATTAAAAATATTTATTTGATAATAAATTAAAATTTTGTAAAATTGGAGGAGAAAAATTTTTGGGGAAATTTGAATGAAATTTGGCAGATTTTGTAGTTAATTTAATAGGCTTCCAGAAAAGTATAAAATAAAAATTTAATGAAGCCTATTAGGGGTCGAAAATATTTTTTAAAGACATTCATCTCAGACTTTCGTTGATTTTCGGATTTATGGATAAGGATGATGGAAGTATATTAGATCAATCGACATCACTAGATAGGATTACCGGAATTTTTTCGAACAGCTCCTAATGTCGAAACTAAGGGGTGCCTATAATTAGCTGACAGTCGATTTAAATTTCATTTATTTTCCCTACAAACCATATCCAATTATAGAAGTTTGTTTTCTTCCTTTGAATATGAATTAGTGTTGTTAACTGCTTGATGACAGAACTTACGCTCATGAACCACAATGATTCTATATTCTGAGTCTTATGAACTAACCAAATTTTTTGAATGACTGAAGGTCCCATAAGAATGTCCTTCCGGAAGCCGAGGAATAGAATTCAGGCCTTACTTAAGCCTCATAAAAAATACGGGAGAAAGGGAAGTAAAAACGAAGAAATGGTCAGGAAAAGAGGTTTACGAACAAATGAAACCTGGAAGTCCCAACCTTATTTAGATAAAAATATCATTGATGATTCAAAATAGGGTAATTTTTGGCTCTTGTCTTCAATCACTTATAAATTTATTTTCTACATAATCTAACAATATAAAAAAATTATTTATCTAAACATTTTTGTAAAATGTATATAATTGTTTTGTGTATATATTATTTAAGTTTTCTTGTGGTGTTAGGCGGTGGTTTACAATAAAATTTTTTGTTAAGTGTTTTTTAAAATGAATTTAAGGAGAGAAAATAAACAAAAAAAAATAAGTAGAATATAATTGAATAAATCGGGGATAATATTTTTTGTAAAGAATCAGACAAAATTAAAATATCTTTAAATCGCACCGAGTTGATAAAATTCACTTTTTAGATAATTATTTGGAGATAAGTGGATATTTTTTAAATATTTTCTTTTTTGAGTTTAATATTCTGTCTCTAAATATATAATAAAGAGAGCAGCTCAAGCAGTTTGTTGTCATAACTGGTCAATCATGGCACTATCAGCCGCAGCTCGACGAGATACGTCAAGCATATCAATATTGACTAGACCAAACTTTTATAAATCTGATCATCTTGTATGGAATTAGAAGGGGTAAATCAGGGGATGCCTTGTTTTAAATACAATTTTAATGCTAAAATATAGGCCAAAATATCGCCTCGAATTCTAGCTTTTCAAAGGAATGCCAAAGATAATCATTTAAACTCAAAAATTAAATATTTAAAAAATAATAAATTTTGTAATTATAATTTGACTGGAACAATTTTTTAACTAATAAAATGCTCTAAAATGAGGGAAGAAAAGAATTTTTACAAATTCGATACATTTGGAGATTATTGTAAATAAAGGTAAAATATGTAAGTAAAATGCAAAATATTGACATTGTAATTGATTAAAAAATTCTTTTTGATTTTAAAAGTCCAAGAAAATATATCTAAATAAAAAATTCACAAATAATTACAATGCCAAAACACTAGATAAAATTATTGCGGAAATAAAATGTGTGTATTTTTGATGAAAATAAAATAGTATACAGTCGGACCTCATTTGTATATACACTCGATACAACTCAATTTAGAATGAAATTTGGTTGGTCATGGGAGAGCGAGTTAGCTGAACAAGCATCAGCCAATGATTGATACTTGTAAAAAGTAAAACTTTTCTGCGGCGTTTTATAGGCACTGACTACTCAAGAAATTTGAGCAAATACATTTCAGAAGGAATGTCTAAATATTAAGTTAACTACCCTATAAGTATACATGTTTGAAGGAAGATAATTGATAAGTTTTTTGGATGATAAAAAGTTTTTTGTCAATTTTTAAATTATTTCAAAAACATTAAAATTCAAATTTTTCAAAAACAAAAATAATTTAAGAATTATTATTATTACAATAGCCAACAAAACTTTTTATTATGCGAAAAATCCATCAATTAACTTCCTTCAAATATGCTGCTTCTAGGGAAGTTTACTCCATATTTCGACATTCCTTCTGGAATTTACTGAGGATATGCGAATACTTCCTGGATTGTCTGATCAAGAGAGGTTCCTTTTTAATACTCCACAAGGACTTTCAAAATTGGAGTTAGCTGTATGCATATTTGAACAAATTTAATTGACAAACTTTCAATCATTCCGGCAAGTCAAATTTCCCTTAGCCCCAGCAAATGCTTCTCTTACCCCAGAATGCTCATTAAAAATTGCTTAATTTATAATATTCAAACCCGTAAGTGTAGAAGAAGCTGGTCTTATCACTAAGTGGTTTTCCAATATAAGTTGAGTTTCCGCCTACCGCCACCTATTTCTCCATCTTCTGTTTCTTCTTGCGACTCTTGGATTCGAGCCAATTCATATAGCCAGGGAGAGTCGCAATTTGAGCTTTCATGACGTCCACAATATTGAGCTTCTCCTTCATATCATTAGTTAATGAAATTGGCATTATAAATAAACCACAGCAGCACGACTCTTAAGCTCATCATTTTCCGCTTTAAGCTTGACGTTTTCGGCACGAACTTCCTCAAGCAATCCCACAACGTATTCAGAAGATACGGGACTTGCTGTTGATTGACACTTTGGTGAAGCTTTTTTTGGAGAAGCGTTCATTTTTTGGACAATACTTGGGTTGTCATAGATCTCGTTTGACATTTTTAAATCTAAAATAGAATGTTCCGTATTCGAAAATCAATTTTTTACTTGAAATATAATTTCTATTTTATCTAAAGATTCTTTGGAACATTCTATTTTAGATTTAAAAATGTCAAACGAGATCTATGACAACCCAAGTATTGTCCAAAAAATGAACGCTTCTCCAAAAAAAGCTTCACCAAAGGGTCAATCAACAGCAAGTCCCGTATCTTCTGAATACGTTGTGGGATTGCTTGAGGAAGTTCGTGCCGAAAACGTCAAGCTTAAAGCGGAAAATGATGAGCTTAAGAGTCGTGCTGCTGAGGTTTATTTATAATTCCAATTTCATTAACTAATGATATGAAGGAGAAGCTCAATATTGTGGACGTCATGAAAGCTCAAATTGCGACTCTCCCTGGCTATATGAATTGGCTCGAATCCAAGAGTCGCAAGAAGAAACAGAAGATGGAGAAATAGGTGGCGGTAGGCGGAAACTCAACTTATATTGGAAAACCACTTAGTGATAAGACCAGCTTCTTCTACACTTACGGGTTTGAATATTATAAATTAAGCAATTTTTAATGAGCATTCTGGGGTAAGAGAAGCATTTGCTGGGGCTAAGGGAAAGTTGACTTGCCGGAATGATTGAAAGTTTGTCAATTAAATTTGTTCAAATATGCATACAGCTAACTCCAATTTTGAAAGTCCTTGTGGAGTATTAAAAAGGAACCTCTCTTGATCAGACAATCCAGGAAGTATTCGCATATCCTCAGTAAATTCCAGAAGGAATGTCGAAATATGGAGTAAACTGCCCTAGAAGCAGCATATTTGAAGGAAGTTAATTGATGGATTTTTCGCATAATAAAAATTTTTGTTGGCTATTGTAATAATAATAATTCTTAAATTATTTTTGTTTTTGAAAAATTTGAATTTTAATGTTTTTGAAATAATTTAAAAATTGACAAAAAACTTTTTATCATCCAAAAAACTTATCAATTATCTTCCTTCAAACATGTATACTTATAGGGTAGTTAACTTCCGTGTACGGACAATGCGTCAGTGGAAAATGCGTCAGTGGACAATCGGTCAGTATCAATATAAAGTGATTAAAAGTGATGATGCAAGGAGATAAAAATTAACTAATATCACTCCAAATCGTCTGATCTCCATCTTAATCCAACCAAATAACTTAATATCTGTGTTAATCCTCCCAAACCCGAGATATCGGACTTAATCCCAGCAAATCCCTCTATATCTCTTTTAAACCCCAAAATCCCTTTTTAATTTTTATACTTTCCTCATCAATTCTTACCTCATCAATTTTCTCTTTACCCATCAATTTTAATCACTTTATACAATACTGACCGATTGTCCACTGACGCATTTTCCACTGACGCATTGTCCAATGACGCATTGTCCGAGAGCCGTTAACTTCATATCTAGACATTCCTTCTGAAATGTATTTACTCAAATTTCTTGAGTAGTCAGTGCCTATAAAACGCCGCAGAAAAGTTTGACTTTTTACACGTATCAATCATTGGATATCTATTCGCCTATTCCCATTGAAATTTTATTCTATTGTTAAGTGTTTTCTGTAAATACCGGGTTCCTTAATAATGTTTGGACCTATGGAAGGCTTCAAAAAACTATTCGGTATTCATACCAGCCATCGATAGGCGTAAATTAGCTGTTGTTATTCTTTTCATTCTCTCAATAGCCCTATTCTTAGTTTTCCTTTCTACCACAAAAAGCGCGAAAAGTATCTACACTTGAGGTCCGACTATTTTATGTCAAAATAAATTTAAAAATATTTTTTAAATGTCCAATTTTTAAAAATCACTTTAAGTAAAAAAATCGAAAAAAATATTTTTAAATAAATTTTGACATAACTTGAAAAAAAAGTGCCAATAATTTTGTAAATTAAATAAATTTAAAGATACCAAAAAAATAAAATTTTCATAAATTTTTTCATACCATCAGATTTGTTGTTGTTGCTCAATTTCCATATTTTGAGAATAAAGTTCACTTTCATTTCCAACATTATATTCACTAAAATCTTGAGAATTTGTTGTAGAATCGAGAAGAGAATTGTTGCTGCTGTTGTTAGTCCAAGCACAGCTGTTGTTTAAAATATCATGAATTCGATAACGTTCACGGATACGTGGACGGACATCTTGACCCTAAAGAAAATAAAAAGAATAATTTAGTCTAGTTTAGCAAAAAGTTAGTTTAGTACCCCTATTATATTTTTCAATTTTTGAGGCAAAATCTGAGTTTTAAAAAAGTTGTGACCTTTCAATTCCACTAAAAATAAATCGCTCGGTCCTTTTTCCCTATTTTTAATAATCTCCGTGTTTTAAAAATTTGTTGATTGAATTATTACACTTTGTCAAAAAATCTTTTTTAAAAATTTTTGCTAAGAGCCAAAATCTAAACCAGAGATTTTTTAAGATTTTTTTCTGGAAAAATAAGCCTAGTAAATCTTTGGTTTCCTCAAAATTTAGTCTAATTTTTATTCAATTAAAATGTTACATTTATATTACTGTTTGTATTATCCATATCGTTGCTCCCTTGTCATAAAGTCGCCCCTTTTATGATTTATAAAAGAGCAGTGATTGTTCCGCCCCAGAAAATAAATTCGCGATTTCAGGACTACTCCCTCTAAAGGAGTATGAGACCCCCTATTAAGAATTAAGTTTAAACAAACCTCTCTACTTAAAGACTCCAAAAAAGGTATCAGCTTCAACAATTCAGTATCATTCCTCTCAACGAACCAACTCTCAATTGGAATTCCATTATCAATTTGATAGGCAAATGATTGAAGGCAATTGTCAATAATTACAGTTTTTGAAAGATCTCTTCCAAGAATACTCAAATCTTTGATGTAATTGCCAGCAACAAATACACAATGTTCACGGTAGAGACGATGACGAATAAATCGTTTTCCAGGATCAAGTAAATTCTGAAGAAATAATTTCAAAATTGGTAAAAAAATGACAAAATTCAAACCAAAAGTTTCTCTGCATAGACTCTTTTACTCGCAGTAAAAAGAACAATCTCAAAATGGTTTGACAATCGTTCAAGAAATTCGTGAAGATGAGGACGGACTCTGACAAAAACCTTAAAAACGATATTTAAAAAAATTTATTTAAAAGGTTAAAAAGTTATTTTGTCTGATAAGTAGGGCTGTCGGTTCTTTAAAAAGCTGTGGATATACGAAACAAAACCAAAGGACCTAACCGAAAAATTCCCTAATCTTCGATTCGGTGCTGAAACGAGGACACCCTCCAACTACTATATGAGAATCAGCAGTGTATCAGAGGTGGGTCGGAACAGTCAGAGTTGTCGGAAATCGGAAGAGCCGGAAATCGGAACCGGCTTAAAAGTCGGAAATCAAAATTTTTTTCTGAAAACGGACGGAAAAATACGCGGAAATCGGTATTTCGACCCACATCTGCAGTGTAAGCCGACTTTCCGATAGGCCCAGGTTCGGAATCACCAAGGAAAAACATCAATAAAATTAAAAACCTGAAAAACTTGATCTTGAAATTCAACTTCAAAAGTCATTGCAGCATCAGGCAATTCTTCAATACTACAATGAACCAATGTCTCATCCAAATCCAAAACTAGTGAGTAAAGAGGCGTAGATCTTGTCCTTATAGGAAGTGCTGGACTTCGATAACGCATTTCTTCTGTTGGAGGAGGCAAACTTTGAAGTAAAGCAATACTAAAAAAATAAAGAAAATATATAGTAATTTAATTTTAAATTATTTTGGAAATAGCAACGAGTTTCTTGAGATTTTTGTACAGGCACTTTCTAATGTTTCATAAAATTTTTTCAATCTTTCTTTACTCAAAAATATAAAAAAATTCTAGAAGTCCCCGAAAATTTGCTTTATTTGTTTGTTTCACAAAATAATATTTAAAAAACAAATTAGCACAAAAACAGACTCGAAACAGAAACCTCTGATTTGTTACATAAACAATCAGATCTAAAGCTGTCGGAACGGAACCGAACAAAAAAACCGATGATTTTTCGGTTCGTTTCTGGACATCACAAGATTTCCAAGAACCGCCAACCCTAGTCAGATAACATTTTTAGTCAAATCACACTGGCTGGTTACTTCCAATGGGAACCCTCCCTCAATTAAAAAAAATAAACAAAAAAATTTACGATTGATTATCAATTTGTGGAGCAAATGAAGAATCATCAGAACCATCATGAGGCAATTGAATTTCTTGAAGAACAGAAGTAATTAAAGAAGAGTCGTTGTTATTATTTAATTGTTGGGTTGTATAAATTGGTGAAGTAGAATTACTAGTTCCTTCAATTGATCCATCATTATCACTTAAATTTTAGAATATTAGGAAAAGTTGAAGGTTATTGTGGGATATCCTAAAACCAATTCTTGCGGACTTACAAAATGATCACACTCTGATCAACCAAAATTCCCCAAAGATTTGAAAAGTACTTCCATTCACTATTAAATCAGAAAAATGGATGAGTTGTTGGAACATAAAACTGATTTATGCCCCAACTATGTTTGTTCCGAACTGAAAACCTCAGATTTTAGCTTCGTTGGTCAGCCCAGTTAAGATACAAATTTTTTAAACCGATAACCCTAATCCCGAAGATTGAAAGGGGTTAAAGAGGTTTTCTGATCGATTGAAAGTCAAAGAGAAAGTAACGCAAAAAGATCAATAAGGTATTATGCGAGGAAAAGTGTGCAGAAACAGTCCGCAAAATCTTTAAGATTTTTAATTTAAGGCCCCTATAATCCAAAAAATTTTAAAAAACCTAAAATCCTTATTGTCCAATCCATCCAAATCAAGAGCACTGTCGCCATCTTCCTTTGTATTTTTCTGTTGTATTTGTTGACAATTAGATCTACGTGCTCTTGTTGTGAATGAAGTTGAAGGTGTGGATTTTTTAGTAGAATTAGTAACGTTGTTTCTTCCTTAAAAAATTTTAAAATAAATCTTTTAGGAATTAAAAAAGAAGAAAAAAACAGAGTTATCAAAAATTTAAACCCAGGCAGGTTGAACCTGATGAACCTGCTTCTTCCTAGAGTTTCACTATGCATTCTATATACTATTCACTAGGGTTATCGGTTCGAATTTCGGTCAGGTTCTTAGTTCAATTCCGAGTATCCGATAGGATGTTGACCTTTCCCTTCTTATAACTAAAAATTAATTGAAAGTTCAAGTTTGTGATAACGTCCTTTGATTAAAAACATAACTGCTTTTAAACAAAATTCTAAAAATCGAAAATCAGAAGGTCCATAAAACCAAAATCGAATATCTAAATAACCCTGGGTCATTAAATCGCCAAAATTTTTCATTTGTAATTTATATAGACATTTTTTTCACTTATTTTTTTATCACTATAAGTGTAATTTTTTACCTTGTGATTTACTCAATAAATAAATAAAATAAATTTATTTACCACTATTCCTCCTTCGCCTCTCCATTGGTGTTTGTCCATTAGCCAAACCACTAGCTTGTTGTTGTTGCTTCTCAAAATGACTGTTGTTCAAATCCTTCCTCATTTCAAAAGAGCAATATTCAGGTTTTCTAACTTCTACTTGTAAAGACGCCATTCTATTTTTATTGGAAATTTTGCCAGGTTTTAAACAATTTTTCTCAGGAGATTCAAATTTCAGCCGCCAAATTTTTGATGTTTTTTGTTGTTAATTAAAATAATTTATTTTTCCTTATTATCATCTGAAAAATAAATCGTTTTTCGTACCACTTTTTTCCTTCCTCAAAGTATGAAAATGGTCAGATTTGCTTACTTACTAATAAGGAAAAAAACTCCACTCTAGTCTATGCCGTGAGTGACCAGCTCTGCTTTTTGTGAGTTACTTACTAAAGATCGAGATTTTTGAAAACCCTGGGCCTGTTCCTGGGTTTGATTTATTGACCTGGGCCTGTAGTCCAGGAAAAACCCAGGCCCAGGAAAACCAAGGAAGGTCAAAAAATGCCTGGGCCTGGACTCTGGGTACAGAAAAAATCCAGGCCTTGGTCCAGAGTCAGCTTGATCTCTATTACTCACTCAGAGATATGGTACACATACAATACCAAACCATAGGTTCTAAAAAGAGCTGGGTACTTATCGCCATAAAGTTAGCCTGACCATTTCTTGTACTTCAAGGAAAAATAAAAAAAAAGGCGACCACGAAACCACGAAATAGAATATTACCAAATAAACAAAATACTTTTTTCCTACCTTCAACACTCTCGTGTTGTTTTTTCAATTAATAAAATGTTACAAAAATAATTTTTTAAACTCGCTTAAAGCAGCGCAAAAATAGGAAAATAACAAAAAAAAGAAAATTAAAAATTAAAGAAAAATAAAAGAAGAGAGATAACAGGTTAGAGAAAAATACAAAAGAAAAGTTAAGGTAAAGAGAAGAGAAGCCATTTTCTTTTTGTTATAAAAGGGGAGTTAAAAAACAAGCAAAAGAAAGAACAAAATTTAGCGGATGTTTTAGCGGAATATAAGGTGCAAATGGAAAATAATATTAACTTGCAAAAATAAAAATAATAAAGAGGGGAAGGTTGAAGTTTTTTTGTAGAAAAGGAGGAGGAATAAAAATTTTAATTTGTTTACGTACAAGGGGAACCCCGTTTTTAAATAGTACCTAGTAGAGATGGAGCTGGGTCTGGACCAAGGCTTGGGTTTTTCCTGTATACAGAGTCCAGGTCCAGGCATTTTTTTACCTTCCTGGGTTTTCCTGGGTCTAAGTTTTTCCTGGACTACAGGCCGGGATACGGCCCAGGTAAATAAATCAAACCCAGGAACAGGTTCAGGCTTTTCAAAAATCTCGATCTCTAGTACCTAGAGGCTGAGAAACCCAATTTTTATATAATCTCTTGAAGCTGAAGCAATCATACATTAGTGATGCTCGGGTATCCCGATCCCGACTCCCGACTCGGGAAAATTTCCCGAGTTTTTGGCCTCCCGATCCCGATCCCGACTCCCGGTGTCAATTCCCGATTAAGTCGGGAAATTTTTACGCCCCTAAGAATGGATTTTTCTGACAAAATTATATTTTCATTTATAAAAAATGAAGAAATCTGGCCTCATGGTCTTCTAAAATTCCCAAAATTTTCGCCTGCGGCGCTGAAAAGGGAAGATTTTTGGCTTAAGGATCTTCCAAATTCCTCAAAATTTTCGCCTGCGGCGCTGAAAACAGAAGAATCTGTGAAATTGTAGTATAGAAGATTTCGGTGATTTACTAGGATTATGGTGAATTTGAAGAGACAACGAGGGATTTGCAGTAATAAAGAGAGATATCAATGGATGATTAATGTTGCACAGGGGGTGTTAATACTATAGAGGGATATGAAAAGATATGTGGCTAGTTCACCAAAATTCCACCAAAATTGAACGTAAAAATATTTTTCTCCGTTTCACTCTCATTTCCTCTATTTCATTCCAATGGAGAGATTCTAAGGACTTAAGGTCAATGGCAACAATTATAAATCAAAGCTGGGCTCTGGCTCGAAGAAAAAGCCCCCAGCAATACCCAACACTGATTATCTCTGCGGTTACTAGGTTTTTTTGGACAGGCTGTTGGCTTATCTTTCCAAGTAATCGGTGAAATAAACTCTTAAGTTACCCTTAAAGATCGTTCACTATAGAGGGATATGAAGAGATCTTTCACTCCAATGAGAGTCAAAATTTTTGGCTGCGGCGCAAAAAATGGAAGAAATCTAACTTCAAGACCTAAAAATTCTCAAAATTTTCGCCTGCGGCCTAGTAAGGCTTCTTTACCTTCCAAAATTTTCAATATTTTTGCCTATGGTGCAAAAAATCGGAATTTTTGGCGCCGAAGGCGGCAAAAAATTTTTTATTGCTAATTCCCGACTCCCGATCCCGACTCCCGAGGTCATTTCCCGACCCGACTCCCGTTTCCCGATTCCCGGGTTTTTTCTTCTCCCGAGCATCACTATCATACATACCTCATAATGAGGTATTCCTAAATTGGGGGGTGTAGTCTCGGCATCTCCCCTACCTAATGGTCAGCCAACTTTTTAAAGATTGTTTCGTAAATAGATTGGGGGTATTTTTATAAGTAAGATCTTGCTGTATCCACTAAATTTTAATATTTTTGATTGCCAAGTTCCCAACCAGGGCTGATCGAAATAAAAATATTTTTTGTTTCGAATCGAAACGAAATAAAAAAATTCCTATTTCGTTTCGGAGCGAAACGAAACGAAATGAGCTTGTTTCGGACGAAACGAAACGAAATAAACGAAATAAAATAAAAATTAAAAAATATTTATTTTTCAGTTCATAAAGGCTTTTAATCGATATTTAAATCATAGATAAGCACCCCAAGAGCTAGATGCGTACAAAAGCATAACAGAAACAAGAGTGGACTTTACAAATCTGCCGATATCCACCTTAATCCCCTTAAATCGACATAGATCCACCTTGATCTTCCGATATCCTATTAAAATTCCACGATATATCCAAATTTACTTTGGAGTAAATTTGGACCACTTTAGAGATAAAAGAGATATCTTCTATATCCCTTGCGATATCTTCTATATCCCCTTCCAAAACCGGCGATATTCACTTAATCCATAAAATCCAAATAACACAAAATCCCCGATATCCCCTTAATCTCGCCAATAACCTTAATCTTGCCAAATCTCCCTCAATATCACTAATCCCACGAGATCTCTTTTAATAATAATTTTAGTCGGCAGCAGAGGTGGGGCGGAATTCTGATTTCCGACAGAAATTAGCGGGATCCCGCGGGATTTCGGGATTTTATAAAAAAATTTTACGTAATAGATATCAGGGAGATCAGAGGATTTGAAGGGATGAAGGGATTTAGAAGGATATCTGGGGATATTTTTAGTAATATCTGTGTTATAAGAGGATTTTGAGTGATATCGGAGGATTTAAGGAGATTGGAGGCAGAGATGTTTCGAAATTTCGATTTTCGATTTTCGTTTTTCGATTTTCGAGGTTTTTTTCCTTTCGATTTTCGATTTCCGATTTTCGAAATTTTGTGATATTTTCGATTTTCGATTTCCGAATTTTTGAAAAAATTTGAATTTTTGGCGCCAAAAATTAGGAATTCTGGCTTATCGGTTATCATAAATTTAAAAAATTTTCGCCTGCGGCGCAGAAAAAAGAAGATTTTTGGCTTAAGGATCCTCCAAAATTCTCAAAATTTTTGCCTGCGGCGCAGAAAATGGACGAGTTTTGGCTTAAGGATCCTCCAAAATTCTCAAAATTTTCGCCTGCGGCGCTAGTTTGAAGAAGCCCTGATCCATTAACAATATTATGCTTCGGCTCCGGTATATTGGAGGATTTGCTTGAAATAAGGTGGATTTGGAAGCCTCCCCCCATGCCAGAACCCTATGCCAGATACCGCCCAACCATATGAATAAATCGGCCTAGTTCTTTACTATATCAGGGGACTACTACTATATCCCCAATTCCTTAGAGTTCAAGCAAAAGTTCCAACTTAGACCTAACATAACAAAAAATAATTTTCCAATTTTTTATTAAAAAATTTTTTTTCGATTTTCGTTTTTCGATTTTCGTTTTTCGAGGTTATTTTTCTTTCGATTTTCGATTTCGAAGATTTTGAAAAATATTTTCGATTTTCGATTTCGATATTTTTGGATTTCTTTCGATTTTCGATTTCCGATTTTCGAAGATTTTTTTGTTTCGAAACATCTCTGATTGGAGGATAAACTGGAGGATTAAGAGACCAAATTCTTCCTTTTTCAGCGCCGCAGGCGAAAATTTTGAGAATTTTGAAAGACCAATTCACCTGATTTCTTCATTTTTAGCGCCGCAGGCGAAAATTTTTTAATTTTAGGCTGCTCATAAGACAGAAATCACTAAAAAATAGTGATTATTTCCATAAATTCCCGTCATTAGGGGTGCATTTTCTCACTTTTTTTTGTTTCGTTTCGTCCAGAATTTTGGCTATTTCGTTTCGAAACGAAACGAAATAAATTTTTTTCTGTTTCGTTCCGAAACGAAACGAAATGGAAAAAAGGGCACGAAAGAGCGAAACGAAACGAAACGAAACGAAATTTCGATCAGCCCTGTTCCCAACTTGCCAACAATTTATCTTTTATTGGCATGTTTTCCTTTCAGTATTACATTTATTTTGGCTATATTTAAAGAGAGAGAGTTCCTGCGGGTAGAATTAACGGTTATTTTTCTTTTAGTATTTGTGGCTAAAAACAATGGATTAAATGTCGAGTAAAGGCTTTTAACACTTTTAAAGGGGTGATATTTTTTGTTTTACCCCATTTTTAGATACCCCCAATAGTAGATACACTTCTATTTAAGAAACGCTTTTTTTAATTTGATTGACCATTGGGTAACAGGGATGTCACGGGTCACTCGAAGCCCTATACCTGAAACCCGGATTTATTTCTACCAGAAACCCGATCCGAAGAAAATTTGAAAACCAGACCCGAAACCCGGTCCGACTTTCTTTCTCAACCTGTGACACCTTTTGGGTGGAATAGCTTCCCAGTCAATACATTCCTCTTAAGGTAGCTTTCATTATGTACCCAAAGTAGGGTTGGGGTTTTCGAGTCGGGCCGGCGTTCGAGTCATTGTTTCGGGATCGGGCCCCCAACCCTAATCCTAAGAAAATCTCTAAATGAGGATGACGGTACTGAGATAATTAGAATAAACCCCAAAAAAGGATTCCTTCCAGGTATAAAATGCGCATTAAATTGCCGCTATGAGTAGGTAATTTGGCTGCGACATTAAAGAAAAAAAAATAAAAATATTTTAAATGCGGCTGCCAAAAAGAAACATAAAATAAAAATGTGGGTGGAAGGAGAAAAATGACAATACTACATGAAGAAAAAAAACTCTAGGATCCAACGCCAGCCTGAAAGGAACCATTGCACTAAAGGAGATCTCCTTCCTTCTCTTTCTACTATCGTCCCCCCTACTATCGCCCTCCCCCCATCTCCGCAGTATTTTTATTTTTTTTAGAGTTTTGTTGGCGGCTGGCCCGCCGGAGAAAGAAGAAAAAAGAACGCATTTTTCAGCACTCCATTTTGCCCCCTTCATTTTTCCCCCCTTTCCTCCATCATAAAATCGACATTTCAACGTTTACCGCCCAAAAACTCTTTTTTAGAAGGATGAAAAGAAGAAAATATGAGCAGATGATGGTAGGCAAATAGGAAAGGATTGACAAGAAAAATAAAAAGAAAAATAGTATTTTTATATGTATTGAAGACGAAAAAATGACTTTTTAAAGTTGCTGGAAGAAAAAATTGGGAATATAAAGGTACATAACAATAAGCATGCATTTTGAGGGGTTAGGTTAAAATAGAAGAAGAATGATGGCTTTGCGCTCCTTAGTATTGTGACGGAAAAGAGTTAAAAGAAGGGGAAATAATAAGGGTTGGGTTAAATATCAGGGCCGGGCTAATTTCGCGTTTCGCATCTTTCGCATATTTCACATTTTTGGGCGCGAAAAGTTTCGCATTTCGCATTCCGTTTTTTATTTTAGATTTCGCTCAGGCCTGTTAAATATGTATACCTTCACATATTAAAATTAGATTTTCAACATTCTATATTTTGATTTTTAGAACAGAGGATTTAACAGTTTAGATTTTTTAATTAACCATGAGAGAAAATATGCTCAGAATTCAATAAATAGCATCTTGGAAATTTTTATTTACTCAGCCCAAGGTTAAGACCGGGGGTTGATTTTGGTGTCATTCGCACAGCTCGACTAGTTATATAACCTGTTAACAGACTGACCATTTTTAACATATTTAACAAAAAAATTGACTGAGGGAGCCAAATAAGTACTCCCAAGTTTTCTGAGACTAATAGTATGTATCACTTGATTCAGCCTGGCGAGTTATGCCGAATGAGCTACTCAATGTTTTCTCTAGCAGAGCGACTGTCTCTAACTGAAACGACAGCTTTCTTAGAGGTGATTGAAAAATAGAGCAACCGGCTGTTCAGTTAGAGACTACCCTATTTTTCTATTTTCAGTTCCCGTTACAGAGAATTGGACTGTAGGGGATACGATAACGTACTCTCAGTTGCAGGCACTCAATCGACCTTTACCGATAAATTTTTTTGGCGGGCGAATTTTCCAAAAAAATTTTCAAGGATTTTCAATAGCAAGTCTAATGATCGTCAAAAGTGCATTTCCTATATCCTGTAAAGGATTTATTTTCAAAAGTTCCAACGGGAGGGATCCCGAAGGAGTAATCCCGTAAATCCTGGTAGTCCCGTTTATCGCTTAAAACTCAGGATTTCGGAAGGGATCCCGTAAAACCCCTCCAAAAATCCCGTACGGAATCCCTCTCGTGCTGCACTCTAGTTCAAGCCAAGGTGACCCTTTCCAAATCACCATAAGGGGGCATGGCTTCACAAAAAGAGGGATAATGCCCCCTAAAGGTGGTAAAAGGGTCACTCACGTTTAACTTTTAAATTTATTTTTTTTACAGATTAAAAATTGCTTTAATCATTTAAATATTTTTGACTTTCTTTTAAAAAATGGACTCATCTCAACCTAAATTATCTCATTGTTTCTTCCAGGTTTTTTTAGTTTTTAATTTTTTAGTCCCATAATTATTTTTTGTGGGATTTTTTGCCTTTGTCTTTATCTTTCCGGGAATTCCCTCTATTTTCGTTGGCACAAAATCAGCCAAAAAAGATCGGGGAAGTATAGGGTTCGGGTCTCTTTCTGGTCCAGAAAAATGAGTAGAAGTGCTTTTTCTATGTTTTTGAGGTTTGGCAATAGGTGATTAAGTTTGATTTATTCATCGCGACTTCGGGACCCAAATTCGACCAATTCGATTTAATTTCCACTCTGGAAGTCCCAATCTCTTAATATATACGGTCTACCCTTGTAACTTTGGGTGAGTAGGGCTTCTATTCTTATACAAAATTTTGTGGGAATACAGTGAACCTATTGAAAATATTGGGGTTAGGCCCGAAGCCAGGGGGGGGGTTAGTAAAATTCTCAAAATTTTCGCCTCCGGCGCTGAAAATAAAAATTTTCCCCCTTGGCCCCCTCCACCGAAAAAAATCCTGGCTACGGGCCTGATTGGGGCCCTTTGGGAGAGACGAAAATGCGTCAAATAAACGACACTTTAACCCTAACATTTTTTATAGTATTTTTTCGACGACAAAGTGCCTAATGGTTATCAGCCAATCCTTCAAGTTTTGCAAATTCGTCCACTTCAAGGACAGAACCAGTTAAGGGCTAGACTTTCTGACGGAATTTTTGCTTATGCTGGTTGTGTTGTTACAAATCTTATTTCGGCAAGATTTCAAGCTGATCAGCTCTCTACAAATAATGGAATTATTCAAGTTACAAAGTGGAAGAGAACTTTTACATCGTAAATTTTATTTTTTCGTTAAAGTTTGGGCAAAAATTATATTTTTTGACGCTCTAAGGATCGAGTCCGACTTTTGCGGATTTTTTTTGCGGATTTTCTCTTTTTCTTTTTAGGGCGGTTCACGTGCTTATTTTATTCCAGGGCTGGACGCAATTGAAAAAAAATCCGCAATTTCAATTTCAAAATCCGCAACCGCAATCCGCATTCAAAAAAAACACGCAATTTTACGCAATCCGCAACTGTCAGCTTTGTCGGCGTCCCATTTCCCTTGAAATCGACCCCTGGCTACGATCTTGAAGTCTTCACAAATTATCTTGGTTTCTGGCATTTTTTTGAAAGTTGGTGAAGATTATTCCAAACATTTTTGGTAATCAATCCTCAACAATCTTTTGATTTCCCCTTTCTAATACCTTTCAAGGATAAAATCATTTTTGTTTTTTAGAGGCAAGATTGTCTTCAACATGCTCGATTACAATTTAATCTCTTTGGAATTTCCTGTCATCGGTAATCCTCAAGCACATTCTGGCAATCCTGAAGAATATCGAAATTATATGCAGGTATAAATTTTTATTCTCTCACAGTATACAAGGCCATTTCTCTGTATACAAGGGATGGATTATCTCAAACTCCAGACTTACTTTAAAAGATTTTCCCGATTCTGAGAAAATTTGAAATCGGATCTTACCCCAAGCCGACTTTTTCAACTTTTTCTGTCTCTGTTTTGTACTTAAAGTCACGAGTTTTATTAAGTTTTTGAGGTAGAAAAAACTAGAAATAGTCGTATTTGAAAAAATAGGGCCTCAAGGTAGTCGTTGTGCTACGCTAGGAGGAACGGGGTTTAGGAGGAAATTTGGTCATTTTGTGTGAGTCAGAAAATTTTTTTATAGGGAAACTTCTGGGCTCTTTTAAGTACTTTAAAAAGATTTTTATTCATTTTCCTACCCATTTCCTCTTTTTATTTTTTTAATTTTATAAATTGTTTATTTTTAAGAACCAATCCGATTTCTTACAACACACGCCAACAAAAACTGAACCAGAAAACGCATGGGGAACATCTTCAGCAAAAAGAGGACGTAATAACTCTTCTCCAGAGCGTCAGCCTTTGACTAAACGTCAACCAAATGCTTCTGCTATGCCTGGGATTGTTCCAATTGGATTAATTACTCCGTACTGCAACAAGTTTGTTTAAGATTAATTTTGAAAATTTGGTAAAAAAATTTTTTAGATGGCGAATTTGTGGAATTGTTAGTTCAAAAGATCCTCAAATTAAAGAATTTACCAACGCTAAAGGAAAATTTCGAGTTTTTGGTTTTGTTTTAACTGATCAAAGTTCGAGTTCAATTCGAATTTCTGCTTTTTCTGAGGTTGCTGATAAATATTTTCCAATGTTGGAAAATGGACAGGTTCAAATTTTTAAGACTTTTTTGAGTGGGTAGTAGGGAAGAATTTTGACTATAATTTAAAAATTCTATTTCTTGATAAACCTAAATAGTTTTTATGTTTATGGTTGTCCACAAATTTGGATATTATTTTTGTTTTCGATATATTATTGATTAGTGATGATTGTTGGTACGGCTCCGACAATGAGAACGGATCCGGCCATATTATAAGATTTGATAAGATCTTACATGAACCTGATATGAGCCACAAAATGTTTAGTACCTAGCACTAATAGCGACAATTTTTTTGTCCCTTCGAGTTTGTTATACCGAGATAAAGACCATCGGGTTCTCTCAATTCATGTTTAAGAGACCCTGAAAATTTTTAAACAATTTCCTTTTATAGGCTTATTATGTTAGTGGTGGTGCTCGTGCTGGCTCTGTTAAGGCAGCAAATAAGCAATTCAACAACACTGGGCATGATTATGAAATTGTTTTAGATCGGGATTCTGAGGTTTTTTAAGCTTTTTAACTTTTAAAAATTTATTTTTCTTCAGATTGTTTACTGTAATGATAAATTTGAGCCTCCAAAACTTCGTTTGAAGCCCGTCCATTTGGTTAACATTCCACAACATGCTAATGAATGTGTTGATGTTCAAGCAGTTGTTGAACGTGTAGGTGAACCTACTCAAGTTATGAGCCGAAAAGATCAGCGCCTTTTGGATAAACGAGAAGTTTTTTTGGTTGATAAATCTGGAACAGAAATTTGCCTTACTCTTTGGAATGAAATGGTTCAAAGTTTTGAAGTTGAGCCTGGGAAAGTTATTGGAATCAAGGGTGCTGTTGTAAGAGAATTTAACGGTTATTTTTATAATTAGTAAAAATTATTATTCATACATATTTTTGTTTTCTATCCAGTATGACTAGAACTATAGAACTACCCCCCCCCTCCTCCGAAATGGGGAAAAATTGGAAAAGTTTTGTCGCACACCCAATGTCCCCCCCTCCCCGAAACCGACCCCTTGGATACGACCATGATTCCATTTTAACCTGTTGACTAAGTTTCCCATCCTTACTAAAAATCTTATTGTTAGTGTCCAAAATTCTGGAGCTGTTGTTTTTTGCTTGTAACTCACTTTTGCTTGAATAGGGTTGGCGTATCCATGAAATTCCCCGATATCCAGATCTGTTATCTGATTCAAAAAATTGCGTATTTTTGTCCAGGTTTGTTCGTTTCTGGATATTCGCTTTCAGATCCAGATTCACCAACCTAGTTGAACACTAGTCTATTCCAATGTATTTATTCCCTTAAATTATTTTTTAATTTAATAAAAATTTTAATTTTTCAGGTGGCTTTTCACTTTCGAATACTACAGGAACTCAAATAATTGAAGACCCTGAGGGCGATTTTACCCGACAACTCTATCAATGGTATCGTGATCAGAAGCCTTTGCAGGAAATCAAATCTTTAACTATTAAAACTGATTTTGCTACAGTTATTGGTAAAAAATCGTTGCGTTTTATCATTCCTTTTAAAAAATTTTAGAGCGTGATCTTCGTTTGATTGGACCTCTTTTGCAACACGGAATTGACCGAGACAGTGAAAAAGGACAATATCTTTATATTAAAGGGATGGTGAATGCTGTAAAGACTGAACAAGCTATTTATCAGGTTTTTTTAATTTTCAAATAATTTTTATTTTTCCTTCTTCCATTTAAAGGCCTGTCCAGTAAAAGGATGCCGTAAAAAATTGCAAATGGAAGGTAATCAATATCGATGTGAAAAATGCAATCAAACATTTGATAACTACTCAAATATTCTTATGCTTCAACTTGAAGTTGCTGACTTTACTGGGACTGTTTGGATGACTATGTTTGATGAATTGGCTACATGTTTATTTTTTGAAATTTTTTTAAATTTAAAATTTTTTTGTAGCTTTACTTGAGACGTCCGCTGATGAATTGGCTCAATTACAGAGAGATGATGTAATTTTATTTTTTTCGTTATAAGGGTTGGCAGATTATAGGTGACTGAATTTTGAATCCGGCTTTCCTCCACGATCCTCCAATCGTTTGAAGTGACTTTTGTTTTAATGTTTTACATGTAATGATGGCAGATAGGGTTATCATTTGAAGAAAATACGGATATCTGACTCTTGTTTGGATTTTATCCGGATTTCCCACATGACACGCAAATCAGATTCCAACACTCAAATCAGTTTTTTTTAAGTCACTGACATGGGTTTATTTTTTTAATGTGTCAATGATCCTGTTCGCTCTTTCATCCTCAATTATTTTATTAATATTTTTAAATTAATTTTGCAGCATTATCGTTTTGATGCAATTTTCAACAAGATACGATTTCATGATTTTGTGTTTCGTATTCGTGCAAAATATGAGATTTATAATTTAAGTTTTTTTATAATTTAATTTTTTTATCAGGGTACCTAAGGGTTCCTTTTCGAAGGGTTATTCTTTGTCATTTTCCTTTAAATATTTTTTCTTTTTCGGGATGAGGGTTTCTTCATTTTCTTTATTATACTACATCCCTCATAATTTCCCAAGGGCGTTTTTAAGGGGGGGGGGGCTAAAATGGAGTATGCGACAAATCTTTCTTACAATATTTTCTCTTTTTCCCCTTTCCAGGGTGGATATAGCCCCAGAACCCCCCTGGTTGCCTTTATAATTTTCTATATTTTTTTCCAATTTTAGGACCAAGAGAATCTCAAATTGTCTGTTTTTGATGTTAAACCAGTCCAATACGAAAAGCTTAAAACTATTTATTCAAATGCTTTGAAGAATCTCCCATTAGAGGAAGAAATGTCGCATGTTGACGACGACTTTTGAGTATTTTTTTTTGATTTTTAATTTATTTATTTACATAAATAACTGTCACATTTTTTTGAATTTTTAATAATATGACAGACAGTTTTTATGTATTTTTATTTATTCATTTGCGTTACTTGCAGTAATAAAATTGATAAAGAACGAGATTTTAATGTTTGATTCAATAATTGTTTTATTACAATTTTATTTTTTTTTTGACTTTTTTTAATATTTTTATCAGCAATTTATCATTTCAAAAATGTTGATTGGACGTGAAAAAGAATTTGAGTTAATCGAGTCGTTGATCTCAACAGCTTTAAAGGACAAATCTTCACTTTGTGTTTATATCAGTGGTCCTCCAGGGACAGGAAAAACTGCGACAGTCAAGGAGGTGGTTAATCATTTGCAATGGAAAATTGATAAAAATGGACGTCATAAAGAGGTTTAAAATTAACTAGATAAGTGGGGTTTGGAGGGTCTTTCATATTTTTGGGAGTTTTTGAATAATTTTCTTGTAAAGGTAGAGAGGTGATTCTGATATGAATTTATTTTTAATTTGATGAGACAAATTTTAGTAGTCTGAATTTTGATATTCGGAACTCGGATATTATTCTTGGAATTTAACACAAAATATTTTGTTAGATCCCCCAGGATAATTTTGAAAAATCTCATGAAAAATCAGGATTTCGCACAAGCTAATGTATGACTGTTCTCTTGCCGATCACCTATTTTGAAAGAAAATTTCAGTAAATATTCTAGCTCTATTCTAAATGCCAACTTAGCAATGTCATCAAATTTTTTAAATTAACCACCTATTGTGCTATTGTCACATGCCTTTAGACTCTTTATTTTCTCTGAATTTTTCAGTTTCATTTTGTTCCGATTGATTGTTTTGCATCATCTACAACTACTTCTCTTGCTCAACATATTTTGCTTCGACTCGAAGCTCAAACAAAAATATCAAATGGCAAACAAGTTTTGCAAGCTTTGGAAACCAAAATTTCTAAATGCAAAATTCCCATGTTTATTTATTTTTTAAGCTAATTAACAAAAGATTTTTTTGTAGTTTAATTCTGCTTGATGAAGTTGACAACTTAGTTTCGCGCAAAGATGAAATAATCTATGACGCTTTTAATTGGCCTAATAAATTTCCGGGACGTGTTATTGTTATAGGTATATTTTTAAGATTTTTTTATCTAAGTCTTGTGTCGTAGTGGACTTAGATAAACCAACTTTTCCCCAACTTTTCAGTCTCTTTCCCCCAACTTTTCAGTCTCAATTTAATATGAGTGTTGTTTAGGCATGCTTTTTTAAATCACTCTCATACTGACTTGAGGTAAATCTAAACCGCAATTTTTGTCTGGTAGTTGTACTACTTTGCTCACAATATTCAGACCTACTGATTGAGCTTGCATCACCGCTTACGACGTTTTTTTATAAACTCCCTCCAAACAAATTTCTTTTTTGTATCGTTATCTTTGAGCTGGAATCTAGGCGGGCGTCGATTTCAATAATCGGGAATTCCCGCGTATTTTCTTGAGGTACGAAGTCCAATTTCTGAAATCTTGAGGCTAGATCTGTACTTTCAATACTCCGTCACTTTCTACGGTTAATCTAGAAAAATTTAAAAAATGGATTTCATAAAAGGCTTGTTTATAAATAAGTTCCCCTCTCAAAAAATATTTTTTAGATATTTTACTTATCTCTATAAAAATTTAGGCATTTCAAACTCTTTGGACCTTACAGAAAGACAACTATCAAAAATTAAATTTTCTCATCCTCCAAAATCAATTGTTTTTCCTCCTTATACAAGTGAAATGTTAATTTCTATTTTAACTTTATATCTTAATGATATTGGAAACAAATCGAGCATTGATACAAAAGCAATAGAATTATGTGCAAGAAAGGTAGCTTCAATGACTGGGGATGTTAGAAGAGCTTTGGATATTGCCTCACAAATGATAGTTAATTTTGAGTGAGTTGAGATTTTGTAAAGAAATTTTGGGAAAAGCTTTCTGGGTTTTTTTCTTCCAAAATTTTTTCCTTTCTTCCAAAAAAATCTTTGACGCTCAGTTCTAAAGTTTAAATTTTATTCGTATTTTTTTCGGAGAGAGAAGTGAAATACAACCAGCAAGGATGTCGCGGGTTGAGAAAATTGGGTTGGGTTTTCATAATTTTTTTCGATCGGGTTTCTGATCAAAAAAAAGGTTCGGGAATTTGATGGCCTCCCTGATCACCTAAATCTTTTCTGCTATCTAAATCTGTTGCTTCGAGACATAAATTTTTTCATGTAAATTAGAGATTCGCCAAATTTTCCTGAACCAAAAAGTCTGCCAAAAAAAATTTTCGTTTTAATTTAAAATTTTAAGTGAGGAATTGGAAGAGCAAAATTCTCCAAAAAATGATGATAAACTGAAGGAAGTTAACAATAAAATTGTTGATTTGGATAAGAATGAGTTTAAAATTCAACGCAGGAATTCGTTAAAGACGCCTTTAAAAGAAGAAAGCAAAGAAAATGTCCCATCTTTGAAACGGCGTCTTCCACAATCTTTGGCAAAGGGTGACGTGACACCAAAAAAGAATGCTTGCCGTGAAGTTTTGAATGCAATTAATAAGGTTTTTGTTTGAAATTTGGGAGGAATTGAACAAATAAAAGAATAGGGGTTAGGTAACTTGACTAATGGGTGAATGTCCAAATTTATTTTTATTTTTGAGCATCAGTGACTCAAAAATTAAGATATTCTGAGCGAGGTGGATTTCTTTTGAAATTAACTATGTATCCCACTCATTTAGATGCCTGTCTGTCCCTATCGAAATAATTTCCTCTTTTTCCTGAAATGGGAAAATTTTTCATTTTTTCCTCGCAATAATATTCGCAGAAGATCGAATTTTTCGCTTGCGGTCCTTCAAAATCCTATATGCTACCAAGGAACCATATCGAATTTTTGAGCCCTATAACTTTTCGAAATGGGGGTCAGGGCCGAAAAAGAAAATATAGGTAATAGGTTTTCGATCATGCTCTACACGATGGTATAATTTTTATTTGAAAATTTTTGGTGACAGTTTGATATGTTGTAAGAAATTAAATTATGAATACAGAAAATCTTATTACTGAATGCCAAAGGTTTACCACGTATTCCATTATAGCCTCCTCCAAGCCCTACTCCCTGACCTCCTCCTTGTATTTGTACCAATTTAATTTTTTTTATTTTTTAGACAATGGCTTCACCTTGCCAACGTTCCAAACTTCCCCAACATCCACGTATTTTATTGGCTACACTAATGCGATTAATTTCTTCCGATACTGAAAAGGTTCTTGTAGCGGCAGATTCTTCACCTTTTCATACACCCCCGCGAACACCAAAACGATCAGAATTCGCAACACCTACTCGATTGAATCGAACTCCGAAACGTTTATTCTCTACAAATAATGGCAAATCTGTTCAGGTTTTTTTTGTTTTATTTTATTAGATTTTTTAGGGTTGTTGTGTTTTTAACTCAAAGGGGACGGTTCAAAACTGACTATTAACCTTGGTTCTTGAAAATCCAATTTTCGGATTTTACTTTTGATTAGAGCGGTTACAACAATATTTGTTTTAAAATTTGCTACTGAACCATCCTAATTTTTAAATCCTAAATTTTAACAATTACGTCTTGGCATTATGGTTGCTGGTTCGAAACCAAGCCTCGAAGACCCGAGAATTTTTTGGTTCGGTTTCGGTTATCACGATTTTTTCAAGAATGACAACCCTACTTATTGTTCAAATTGTGTCATTAAAAATTTTTTTTTATTTTTTAGAATTCTCAATTTGATTCTTCAAGTGTAACACGCGATCGTCTTTTTCAAGCCTATTTGCTTGTTTGCGAAAAGTTGATGCTTCAACCTTTAGCTACAGATGAATTGGATAATGCTTATGAAGTATTGGAATCTCAGGCTATAATTTCTTTAAGTAAACCAATTAATGGAAAAAATAAACAACAAAGAGTTTGCTTCATGGTATGAAGTTATATTTTAGATTAATTTTTGTTAGCAACTGCAAGTAATGTTGATGGAAATCCCCCCCCCCCCCAGTAAGGTTGATGGAAATCCCAGAAACTGAACTTAATTTTTTATCAAAGTAGTGTGAAGCTTGTTCGGTAACGGGTTTTGGGAATAATTTTTGGGGAGGAAATGTGATTTTGGTGCATTATAAGATTTCGTTTTTTAGTGTTAGGAGAAGTACTCAAGGAAAATTTTACCAAGGAGTTCATTTCAATAAAAAAAAATTTTTTCCGGGAAATTACTAATTAAAATGAACTATAGCAATAATAAAAATCAAAGCCAAAAAAGTTCGAGTAATCCCCTCTCCTCCCCCAAAAAAACAGCTTTTAAAATAATTTTATAACTTTTTTTAAAGGTTGAAATGTCATTAGCGCGACAAGCAATTAATGATAATGAATTGATTGCATCAATTGAAGATATTGAATTATAAAAAGGGAATTATTTTCAAGAAACCAAAACCTTACTAAATTTTATTTTTTTTTATTTTTTAAATATTTTCATCGGAGAAGGAAGAGAACGTGTGACTAGAATAATTTATGGAAATTTTGTCTTAAAAAATTTTTTTAGACAAAATTTCAATTTCAAAATTTTATTCTTTCTCTTTTTCCTATTGGATTATTTTTGGGGTTTACTTTAAATTTTAAAAAAATATCTCACACGTGCCTCACAATTTATTCAAAAAAATTTTTCAAAATTTTTCAGAACTTCACTTACAATTTCTTTCATTTTTTTTGTCTTTCTTTGGCTATTTTTAACATTTTTTTGATTAAATTTTTGAAACAATTTTTTTGGATTATCAAATGTTTTTTAAGCATTTTATTTTTTTTGAAATTTTTTTAAATTTATTTTAAAATTAAAATAGAGAATGAATGCTCGTGTTTTGGCAGGCTCTAATGTTGTTTTAATTCTTTGTGGTTCTTTTAATCCTCCGACTTATTTACATCTTCGAATGTTTGAAAGGGCAAAAGATTTTCTTCAACAGGTTTGTTTTATTTTTTGCTTTTTTATGGTCATAGGTGGGCCTTGTAGTCCGAGGCCTGACGTTTCTCAATTCAAAGTCCGTCCTTCCATAATAGGAAGAAATTTTCATTTATCCAATAGGTTTGTGCACGACTGATTAATTTTCGCCTGTGGAGGCCATTGTCAGATATTAAGAGCATTTGAGCCGTTACTTTCAAATATTAACTGGTCGTGCACAACCCAACTTTCTAAAATCTCTAAAGTTTCGCCTTTTCTCGAAAGTTCTATCTGAATTCAGATTTTTAACTGGTTCAGAACCATTGACTTTTTCGACACGTATCCTGCAAAGAATTTTGAAAACTTAATCAACCTTCTTTGAATCCGGCCCTTTTTTAATCGCAATTTACTCAATTTCTTCCCCAATTCTTCATTTTTTCAAAATTTTTTTTTCAGGAATGTAAATGTAACGTTCTCGATGGAATTATTAGCCCCGTTTCTGACCATTTCAAATCAAAAAAGCCTTCTCTAGCACCATCAATTCATCGTTTACGAATGTCTCAATTGGCTACAAGTTCTAGTGATTGGATTAGAGCAGATGGCTGGGAATGCCAAAGAAAAGAAGGATGGACAAGAACATTGGAAGTTCTTAAATATCATAATATGCAGATGCTTAACAGGTTTTTTTTCTTTAAATTTAAGTGATTTATTAATGACGGGGACCTATTGAATTGTGTGGTAAGTTTTGTGTTTGTGGGGTGTTTTTTGTAAAGTGAGGTTTAGTTTCCTTCGCTAGCTATGTAAATTAAAAGGGTTGGGCGTTTAAAGTAAAAAAGTCCGAGTTTGACTTTGTTGTATTCTCTCATTGATTTGTTGGCAGAGATTTAAAAGTAATTCTATATTGTAAGAAAATCTTGTACATAAAATAATTTCACATATCGATAGGTGCCCTTGTGATTCTAACAATAAGATTTTTTTCTCAACAATGGAGTAAAGTCTATTAGAGATTGGATCTAGATCCTGACCTTGATTTTTCTTTGACCTGGATTCTATCTGACTTGAGATCAAGAATCTGTTTTTTTAATTGCCGATAATTTATATCAGCGATCTAGCCGACATAAAAACGTCGGCTCGGGAATTTCCGGTTCTGGCTTCAGGTCGTCTAAATCTTTGGCCCTATTTTTACTTATAGTTAATTAAAAAATCCATTTTTTAAAGATATTCAAACCTTCAAAAACTTCGTTTAATTCTTCTATGTGGAGCTGATTTGGTCGATTCCTTCACTCGTAAAGACCCAACAAGTTCAACTGGAAGGCTTTGGAGTATTGAACATTTAAAGCAAATTTTAACACAATATGGTCTAATAATTATTGAAAGGCGTGGGGCAACAGCTAACAAAACATTAAAATCTGAAGATTTGGAATTTTTGCATTCACTTTTGGATAACGTGGCTATAATTGAAGAAGACACTTTTCCTAATGAAATCAGCAGTACAAAATTGAGGATAGCTGTGCGGGCTGGACGGTATTTGATTCTTATTGAAAAAAAATTTTTCTTTATGAGGATTGGGTTCATTTTTTTTATCGAGCAGTGCAAGACTCGAGACAATTACTTGGGAGTTTTTTCCATGTGTCTTCACTGCTAATTATAATTTTTATTTTTCGAGGAAGTATTTTTTAAAATCGATTCCGAACAATAAATAGCGTACTTGCACATACCCTATAATTTTAAAAAACAGCCATGGGAATAGAATTGTCTATGCTTTAAATTTTCGGATATCCTAACTCGAGCCAAAAAATTTTCGGTTCGGTTCCGAACCAACAATCCTATTTGGGACTCTATTCAAAAAACATCCATTTTAATGACAAAATAAAAATTATATATATTTTTTAAAGTTCAATTCGTTATTGTACTCCTGATTCTGTTGTGGAATATATTATTGAAAATAAATTGTATACAAATGATTGGGAACAACAACAATTAAATGACTTGATGAAAAGCAACTCAAACGAAGTAATCCAAAATCATAAGACGGATAATAATATTGGTAAAAGCTGATAGGTATTATAGAAAGGTACCATTAACCAGTCTCAAAATAAAATTCCTAGCACGACTTGTTTTTACCAAAATTTTTAAATGGCATTTAACCTACACCAACATCAATTTAACATACCTATTTTTTGTATATTTATGAATGTATTTGATGTGATTTTTTTGACATCACCTAAAATAGAGGAAATATTTTAGAGATTATTCCTTGGAAATTAATTAGAGTCCGACTTGGTTTCGATTTTCTCCCGGCTGGTCTTTATCATATGTTTGTCTTTCCTTTGTGTTCGACTCCATTCAGTTTCCCTTCCATTTAACCGTTGATTTTCCATTCTCTAAAACCAAAATATTTCTATTTTATTCATTTATATGTATTTTATTATTTTTTTCTTTACAACGAACTTTTGTTAAATAAAAAAATAAAATCTTTTTAATTAAAAAAAATTTTTTTTATTGTTTATTTACACATTTAAATTTTCTTTTGATTTTTAAATTATTTTTTAAATTTATTTTAAGCAAGCAAATAATATTTTTGGAAAAATATGCGCCCTCTAACAGGCGAAGAAACTGAAAAATTTTTCAAAAAACTTTCAAATTATATTGGTGACAACATTAAACTTTTATTGGAAAGGGATGATGGAGAATATGTTTTTAGATTACATAAAGATAGAGTTTATTATTGCAGGTTTTTATTTCTTTTGATTTTAAATTAGAGGGACTCGCAAAATAAGGGGGACAGGAAGGATAAAGTGGGGTTACTATTGGATTTTAAGTATGATTCTGTTGTTATATTAAAATCACTTTGCGTTTTGCGACAGAAAATATGCAAATTTTTGAGAGACAAAATCAGGCGAGTCTGTCTCCTTTTTCCATCTTTTCTGTTACAAGACGCGCGCGATTTTTATTTAACCATGTCATAACTAGACTTATTCTATTACAGATAGACAAAGTGTGTAGGATTTTGGATCGTGTATTGTGTAATCCGTGACATTCCTGTTGGGTGGTACTCTTTTTGATTTGTTATTTCCAAAATTAATCATAAAACCAAAAATAAATAAAAATACTAAAAAATTTTATTAATCTATGGTTTTGTTTAAGGGCCCAGTTTCTCTTTTTATTTTTGGTTTTTAGTTAATTTTTGGTTTTTAGTTATTTCTGGTTTGTAGCGGGTCCCCATAACAGATCAAAAAGAGTACCAACAAGCAAATAGATGGGCTTGAACCCAATCGTTTCAAAATCCATCAGTAACCATTTTAACCAAGAATAAACTAAAATTTAGAGAAGAGGGGGTTATTAAATATGCTTGTTTTTGTAAAATAAATAGCAAAAAAGTACAAATACAACAATTTTACTAATTTAATCCAACCAATTGCAACAAAAAAATTTTTTTTCTAGTGAAAAATTAATGAGACAAGCAGCATGTATTGGACGTAAACAATTGGGGTCTTTTGGAACTTGTTTGGGCAAATTTACAAAAGGAGGTTCTTTCTTTCTTCATATAACGGCATTGGATTATTTGGCGCCCTATGCTTTGGCAAAAATTTGGTTGAAGCCACAAGCTGAACAACAATTTTTGTATGGAAATAATATTGTTAAATCTGGTGTTGGAAGGATGAGTGAGGGAATTGAGGAGAAACAGGTTTTTAAAATTTAATACATTTGTAGGAGAATTCGTAAGGGGGTGGGGAGACGACTTTTGCGGACTTTTCCTCTTTAATACTCTATAGAGATCCTACCTCCGTTAGCACTGGCTCCATTGGGATTCGACTCTAAATAGAAATGTGATGATTTTGATGAACTGTTGAATCTCTATGTAACTCATTGTGAATTTAATTTAGCTGACGGAAGAGGGATTAGCCATAGGAGAGAACATCCTACAGAGCTCTAAGTCTATACGTTAAAGGAAAATATTGAAAGGACAAACCGAATGTTGAAAATTCCGCAAAAGAGGGGATCACCCTATGGATTTCTATTTAAATATGTATGACTTAAATAGCGATTTAATGGTTGAGTTCTCTCCGTGATTGTCTAATCTGGATTTCTTTGCAATAAAATACATGATTTTTTGCTTCTATTAGAGAGTGGGTGTTTATTTTCTGATTAGTCTTCTAGAACGGGTTGTTTTAGATATTGTAGGGAGAATAGCTTCAATTAAAGTATCTGCTAGGGATCTAGCTGACATAAAAAATAAATTCCTGTTTTCGGTATTGATTAAAATTTAAAAATTTATTTTCAGGGAATTATTGTCTACAATATGTCAGATTTGCCGTTAGGTTTTGGTGTGGCAGCAAAGGGAACAGTATCTTGTAAGAAAGCAGATCCTACAGCTTTAGTTGTTTTACACCAATCAGATTTGGGTGAATATATTCGGAATGAAGAGGGGTTGATTTAATTAAAGGAAGTATTTTTTGTTATATTTATTTTTGTTGTGATGTTTGATTGCTCTTTGTCTTGGAAGAGTGGATATTGGTGAGGTGATCTATATTTTTAAAGACCTTAAAGGAATTTTAACAGCCTTTGGGTTCTTTTTTCTTCTCTTTGAGTTGATCGTGAACCAACAAATCTACTTAATTAAACCATCAAGTAGATTTGATGGGACCAGTTCTATGTGGATTTTAAAGACCTTAAAGGAAAAAAGGAGTTGAAAAATGGAGAGAGGATTGTGTTAGATTTGAATCTGTAGACTACTCAAAACTCGCCATCTAGTATATGAGAGAAGATTATGCCCCTCTAAACAGTTTTTGTGTGTCTCCACACAGAACTGGGGTCCCAACAAATCTACTTCATCGTTTAATTAACTAGATTTGTTGGTTCATGATCAACTCAAAGAGAAGAAAAAAGCCCCAAGAATGTTTAAATTACTTTAAGGTCTTTAAAATATAGAGTACCAATATCCACTTTTTAAGATAAAAAAACTATTTTTGTGGATTGAAAATTAAAAAATTTGCAATGAAAAAATTTTTCTTTACAATTTTTTAATCATTAAATTAATATTTTATCAATCATCTATCGACATGATTATCAATCTCAATAAACTTTTTTTTGTTATTATAATTTTAATTTTGCTTTTTTGCTGACGTCAATACCCTCTCCCTTTTACCTCTTAAAAATTTACAAAAGAAAAAAGAAAATAAATTTTGTTGTTATCAAAAAAGATGATTATTAATAAATATGTTTAAACTATTTTTGTGACTTTTCCCCTTAAAATCACCCAAATAACAAACAAAGATTTTTACATTAAAAAAAACAGGAAATAAAATTTTTTAAGTAAATAAATAATTAAATTAATTTTATTTTTGCAAAAAAAATGCCTAAGACTCGAAATGATAAAAATGATCAACAAAGTCCTTCGAGAAGAAAAATAAAAAGTGATCTGAAAGAGGTGAGGGTTAATTATTTTATTTGGTTGAGAAAGAAGGGAGGGTTTTTCTGGTTAAGTGGGTAAGAGCGCTGATTACAAACACTTCCATTTAAATTTGGGGAAGGGGTTTGAATATGTTCGAAAAATGGATTGAAGTGTTTGAAAAAAATGTGAATGAATTAGATCGGCGCGTGACCGGGATCCCGACGGGATTTTCCGGACGGGATTTTCCGGGATCCCGAAATCCCGCAGATTTTTTTTGATTTTCGGGATTTTTGAAATTCGGAATTTTTCGGATTTATCCCTCGAGATCCCGGCATCAGTTAAAAAAATCCTGACTCGGGATCCATCCAGGAGCGATTTTGCCGACCTCTAAATAGAAGGAATAACCTTAATTTTTAAAAAATAAAATTAAATAAAAATTTGGCGTTTTGTTTATTTTGTTTTTACATTAGGCAATCCTCAAAATGGTAATAGTAAAAATGATAGAAGACAAAATGGAGCTGGGGGAAAATGGGGCAATCTAACTGGAAAGACGGCTATTTTAGAGATGACTAAAAATTAAAAAACATCCAACATTTGTATCAAATTTATGTGGATCCCATTTTTCGTGATCATTTTTGTCTTATTTTACACAAGATCCATTTTGTCTTAATTTACCAAGAGTACCGTTTTGTCACATTCTACACGTGTGCCATTTTGTCGTGTTTTACACACAGTGTCATTTTGTCGTATTTTACCCTTTGAGCCTTTTTGTCTAGCACCATTTTGTTTCATTCGATTTTAACACTAAAAATTGCCACGACTTTAAAAAATTTTTTTATTTTTTTTCTAAATTTATTTATTTTTAGGGCAAGCCTAGGGAAGAAGGCGTTGTTACTTCAAACAGCAAAAATAATAATTTGAATTCTACACCAAAAAATTTAGAGGAAAAAGTTCATCTTTTAATTGGAAGGAAGCAAAGAACACTTTATAAAAAAGAGAAAATTGCGTCTAAAAAAGAATCGAAAAGTGTTAGTGGACAGGAAATGATTCAGGTTTCGTTAGAATTTTTTTAATTTTATGAGGGACTGGAGGTATCTCTTGAATTTTTCTGTCGTTTTATGGGTAATTTTTGTTCACCTTTAACCCTTAAACGACGGATGGGGTCAAAATGACCCCAAAGCGATTTCTAAGCTCTATATCTCTCTTCGCATATTCACTGCACTCATCACTTTTCGTGACTTTGTTTATATCGTTAGCTAGTATTAAAAAATAAATAAACAATAGAAATACATATCTTGTAAAAATTTTTATGCCATGTAGTCACGTTCTGGTCGGTTGGGGTCATTTTGACCCCAGTTGTGTTAGTGCCTTATAGATCCGAGACCTAGATTCAAATATATATCAATCGATTCCACTCTCTAAGCTGAGTCGAACGGTACCATTGACTAGGTACGGAAATGCCTGTCGATCAAAATATAGACTGAGATATAGATCAAGATATATCACAGTAACCGACCTATAACTCGGTACTATCAAGTCAGATTGGTTTGATTTTGGTGTCTTTCGACTCAGCTTGAAGAGCTCTTTCGAATGAGGTATAATTTGCATATTCGAATTTTTCACCCCCAAAAAGTGCTTGGTCCCCCTTATAGTATTTCGATTTTCGGGGGCCTATATCTCTGCGAGTTTTCGTCACCCGCAAAAAAATTTTTACATATTTGAACTCAGCTCAGCGAGAGGAATTGATTGGTGTAAATTTTGAATCTAGAGCTAGGGTCTAAAATCGATTGGGGTCAAAATGACCCCAAACAGGCTTTAACGTCGTATGTAATTTTCCGTCGTTTAAGTGTTAAGCAAATTTATTTGTGGTGTAGTGGTAGTGTCGTTGGCTACTATTATTTATCTATCGGGGTTCGATTCCTCTCCTAGCCAGGATCTCTGTGGGGTGTTCGGACCACCATAAAAAATACGACTAGTCATCGATGCTACTCCAAACCACAAATAAAATTTTATTTTTTTAATTTTAAAATTTTCTGTGGTAGACCTCACCGAAGCTTAAAAAATAATTCCTTACAAATTTAAGGCTTTAGACGTTTATACAGCATCTAGTAGCAGCACAGAAGAATGCGTAGCAAAATTACGTGCAGACCCAGAGAATGGACTTTCCCAAGCAGAAGCTTCAAGACGACTTGGTTTTAGTGGTTATAATGAATTTGAAGTGAAGAAAAGTGAATCTCTTTTGGGAAAATATTTTGAACAGGTTCGGGGTTTTTGATAGAGTATTTGGTTTAAGGTTAGGTTGAGAGTATTTTTGATTCAGTAATTTTTTTCGATAGGTAAGGAGCCGAAAGTTGGGTGCTTTTTGAATTTTCTCCATTTTTTCATTTCTGCGGGTAAGTGGGGGAAGGACAATGCTTCAGAAATATTTTTTTTATTTTCTATTTTTACTTTTCATGTAGTTTACTTAAATATTGGAGCAGGGCGTATCCATGGTGCCAATCTTGCTTCAAGATCCTTCTCGCCATATCCCCTTAAAAATTGAAAAAAGGAAAAGAAATGTTGGGCGGATAATGATCAAACAATCATAATTCCTTACGATTCTAAAGGACTTTTTCTGCTTCTTGCCCAACCGAAAATAAATTCAAAAATCAAGCCCAACCCTAAAATTTTCTTTTTAATTCACTCTTGCTTCATTCATTTTTTCAGTTTAAAAATCCATTAATTTGTCTACTTCTTTCTTCTGCAATTGTTTCAACTGTTATGAAACAATTTGACGATGCCCTTTCAATTACTGTTGCTGTAATGATTGTTGTTACTGTTGGTTTTGTACAGGAATATAGATCTGAGAAAACATTGGAAAAATTGAATAGGCTTGTGCCTCCAACTGCACATTGGTATTTTTTTATTTTTTGGTGTAAAAGTCGGTAAGAGAGGTAAATGTTTAATGCCGAGTAGGCATTGAGCTAGCGGCCTCTTGGCATTTATTGCTAGGTGATTTCGCTCATAAGATATAGGCTGACAATGAGTATACCGACTGAGTTACCAGAACGCTCTTTTATAGAGCAGCTGAATTTTCTTCCTCATAATCGTCCCTCAGCCCTGTAGTTTAGTTCAGGGATTCTTCCATGATCAATTATGGGTCAGTCGATCCAGCTTGACAGCTCTTGTGATCTACTGACCATTAAGTACATTTTACTAACACGGAGAGGTTGCGAGGTGTCTGAGCTAAAAACGGTCGAGACCTGTGGGAAGTGACACTAATCATCCACGTCCATAATGCTCCTCGGCATCATTTTAAGTAAAACAAAAGAAAATTGGACTCTTTTCAGATTTTTTAAACTATAAATTTTTGTCTTAAATTATTTTTAATTAAGTATCCGTGATGGAAAGAGCGTTACTTTTTATGCAAAAGAGCTTGTTCCAGGTGATCTTGTTTTGCTTAATACGGGTGATAGAGTACCTGCAGATGTTCGTATACTTGAGGTTTTTTGTAAAAAAATTTTTTCTAAAAAATTTTTTTAAAGTCAATTCAACTCCAAATTGATGAATCTTCCTTTACTGGCGAAAACGAAGCGAGATATAAACATTCAAATTTAATCCCAGCAAATTCTAGAACTCCCCATGTAAATGGAATTATAGTTAATGGACATTGTAATATTGAATGTGATGGGGGGATTGAACATTTGGACAATATTGCTTTTATGGGGACTTTGGTTTGCTCTGGAAGAGGAAAGGTTTAATTTTATTTTTTGAAGGAATAACTGGAATTTCACTTTTATGAGCTCCAAGAAGACTCGTAGCCAGGGGGATAAGTGGCTAAAATAAAAATTTTTGACGCATTTGAGACCAAAATTTTGGCGCAGAAAAATTTCCCCCTTTAGCCTTCTAGAAAAATCCGTCCTACGTGCTTGGCTACCCATTTTCATTTATGCCCCCTTGTGTAAGGAACAAAAGGGAGATCTAGCTGGACAGGCCCGTAGCCAGGGGGGGGGTGGGGGGGGGGGAATTCCCCCCCCCCCCCCGAAATGGGAAAATGGAAAAAATTTGGGGAAGGGCTGGGGCAAAAAAAGTGAATTTTTTTGGCCTACGGCCTCTGAAATTTAAAAAATTTTCGCCTGCGGCGCTAAAAAAGGACGAAATCTGGCTTCTTGAGGTCCAAAATTAAAAAAATTTTCGCCTGCGGCGCTGAAAATCAAATTTTTGGCGCCTGCGGCGCCGAAAAAGTGAATTTTTTTGGCCTACGGCCTTCTAAAATTCTCAAAATTTTCGCCTGCGGCGCTGAAAATAAAAATTTTTGGCGCCTTCGGCGCCAAAAATTTGGCGCAAAAAAATTCCCCCCCCCCCCGAAAAAAAATCCTGGCTACGGGCCTGTAGCTGGATAACATTTAAAACACTTATTAGGAAGGGGTGTTTAAGGGTTATTAAGGGGAGAAAGATATCCTTGTCTTACTATCCTCGTGGAATGACTACTCCAAGCTAAACCTTTTTGATTTTTTACTGTTAATGTTCTAATGGAGTTGATTGTCGGTTCTTGAAAAATCTTCGGATATCCGGAACCTAACCAATATCTTAACCGAAAAATCATCGGTTCTCTGGTTCGGTCAACTCTATAATTCGGTCAACCCTATAACCGACAACCCTATAATAGAGCCCTGAGCTTTTATTTTCTAACGTTATTGAGTGGGCTTCTAATAAGTTATGGGTTTCTATCAGGGATGGACTTCTATGTATTAGATAGTTGTCAGATGAAAAGCAAGAATAAATAGAAAACAAATGAAAATAGGACACTACAATAAAATTAGAATTTCTCAAAAATTATTCAATTTTTTAATTAAGGGTGTTGTGATAGGCACAGGAGCTAATTCGGTAAATTTTAAAAATTAAAATATCTTAATCTCTTAATCTTTCAGAAATTTGGTGAAGTCTTTCAATTAATGCAATCTGAGGAATCTCCAAAAACCCCACTTCAAAACAGTATGGATCAATTAGGAAAGCAATTGTCTTTTTATTCTTTGGGTGTTATTGGTCTAATTTTCTTTATTGGATTAATTCAAGGAAGGCCAGCAATGGATATGTTTACAATTGGTGTTAGGTATCTTTTTGATTATTTCTATTGGGAACTAGAGATGGGTTAGGTAAAAGAAAAGGCGGGTCGAGTTTAGGGTTGTGGTTTTGGCTCGAAAAAAGGTCCGGGTTTCGGGTAACTTCGTGAAGTTGATTTCAGAAAGGAATTGCTGATTCTATGCCTCCAACGTAGTCCCTTTTTTTCATAATCCCTTTTGCATAAAATATAAATAGTATGACAGTTTGGAAGCTCGTACCTGTTCACAATTAAGAGGGGAAGATAAGTAAGGTACGAGCAGGGACGTACGAGAAAATAAATTAGCTGTGTTCGAGTACGAGGAGAAAATAAGGTATGTACTAATTGTAAGTACTATTAGGAGCAAATTTTAACTTCCCAATCATTGGGTATAACGTGATTCTAAAACTTGCGGCTTTTGTATGCATAAGGGAAAAGAAGCGATCTTCTTTTTTTATTTTTTAACATAAATTTTCTCTGTTTTCTAGTCTTGCTGTTGCTGCAATTCCTGAAGGTCTTCCAATTGTTGTTGCAGTTACTTTAGCTATTGGTGTTATGAGGATGGGAAATCGAAATGCTGTAGTTAAAAAATTGTCAGCTGTGGAAACCCTTGGATGTGTAACGGTTATTTGTTCTGACAAAACTGGAACTCTCACAAAAAATATGATGACTGCTTGTGTTGTTATTGCAGCAGATGATTGTCAGGCTGAGGTTTTTTTAATATTTAATTTTTTTCTGTTTAAAAAGTCCACAATTTTTGTCCGTATTTTGACCGTTTTTGACCATTTATAAAAAGAAAAATTAGGGTTTTAGAAGGGTGTCGACGGGTTTTTAGAATATTTTAAGAATTATTTAGCAGAATATTCTTTAATAAATCCTTTTTCTCCAACCGACACTGATGGCGTTGGGCCTCTAGAGTTGGTGGTACAATTCATGGGAGGCGCCAAAATACCTTCACAATAAAACCCTCTTTTTAACAAATATATTTATTAAAATATAAGGAAGGGGAAAGAAGACTTTTCCAAATCTTTGGCCGAGAATTTAAACTGAAAATTTTATGAAAAAATTTTGCCTGGTCTCTCTCGCTTTATATAAGGCGCTAAAATTGGCCCTTTTTTCCAACCGAAGCTAATTGCCTTCTATAGCTTGTGTCATTGAAATTGGCTCAATAATCGTCTTTCATGATAAATTAGTATGACTTGCAGATAAAACTTGCTAACTTTTGTTAGCATAAAGGTAAAGGAACCTTAAAATTTATAAATTTTCAAGGTAACGGGTACTGGTTATGACCCTTCAGATGGAGATTGTCGTCTGCAAAACGGAGAATTAGTTTCTGGAAGTGAACGTCACCCTTCCATTGCTTGTGTTATCGAAATTGGCTGTATTTGTAACAATGCACAATTGGCAAATGGGACAGTTATTGGACAACCAACAGAAGGAGCTTTAATGGTTTTGGCGATGAAAGTAAGAAAATATTTTGAAGTTGAAATAAAATTTTAATTTCAAAATTTAGACAAATATGGATACTTTATGCAATAATATTCGACGTCTTCATGAAATTCCTTTCACTTCTGATAGTAAATGGATGGCTGTTCAAGTAGAACAATTAAATAAGGTTTGTCAAAAGTTGTTTCTTAAAGAAAGAAAATAAAATGCCCTCTCTTTTTCCGTGGTAAATTAATATAAACATGAGTGTTTGAAGGGACGTAACTACGAAAAATTTTCTGAACGAGATGGGGAGGGGGTTCTTAGGAAACAACAGCCAATAAGACCCCCTCTATTCAGAAGGGTCTCATGGATATGTGCCTGACACTTTCTCTTGGATACTTGCCTGACGAGGGAACCTCCCGAACTGTCAGTCAAAACTTTGTACTTTTTGGTACCATTCGATAGAGCATCATCGATTTACTCTAGAAAATTTTTGGCTTTTTTTCCTAGGAATATGAAACTAAAAAGTTATAGGCTTTAACGTTTGCGAAAATTCGGATCGCTTGAGACTCCTCTATAAATGAGAGAAATTTCTCTCCTATACCTTGACTCGTAGTAGTATATAAAGTATAAAAGAATAAAGTACGACAATTGGAGAGAACTTGTCTAAAAACTTTAAAATGTCCTGAAATTACCTCTAACTTCTTTTTATATAAATATTAATAAAAAAAATTTTAGCCAGGCGAAGCTGAAACATTGGTAAAAGGAGCAATTGACAGAATTCTAGATATCTGTATTGGCTATTTAGAAAATGGAAATATAAAAATGTTAATGACTAGAGAGAAGTATGATCAAATAATTCAAACAGCTAGTGGCTTGGGTCAATCTGGACTTCGAGGTTTTCTTTGGTAAAAATTTTTTAATCAAAATTTCTAGTAATTGGAATGGCTAGAGGTTCAGATATGCGTTCTCTTTATTATGCTGGACTTGTTGGAATATTGGATCCTCCTAGACCTGGATGTCGTCAATCAATAGAAATTGTTCAGTCAGCTGGAGTTTCTGTAAAAATGGTGACTGGGGATGGGCTGGAAACTGCTACAAGCATTGGTATTTTTTGACTTCGATTCTTTTTGAGTTCTGTTACTTTTTGTGTCAGTAATATACCTACTATACTACATGTGCGTAGCCCGCTGTTTGATTTAGGAGTGCTATATTGGGCGCCTTTGTTCTAATAGAAAGGGTTATTTTATAAAAATTGTTCTTATAGAAGGCTGCTTTTCTTTTGTTTTTCGAAATTAATCTTGCTCGAAGTTTTAACTCTGATTAGCCGTGATTCTTAGTGACAATAAGGAAAAGTTTATATTTGAGTTTTGTTTAATTAAGGCTGCGCCATTTTTTCACCTAAAAGGTATTCAATTGAAGAGACATTATTATTATGTTTTTCTCCTCTTGTTAGCCTACTAAAATTAATAATATTACTTAAACCTTTTCAGGTATTCGTCTTGGACTTCACAAGCAGAACGATAATTGCCTTTCTGGTCCTCAAATTGATGATTTAAAAGATTCAGAATTGGAGCAACTTATTCAAAGTGTTACAATATTTTATAGAGCTTCTCCTAGACATAAGTTACGAATTGTTAAAGCCCTTCAAAATATTGGAGAAGTTGTGGCAATGACTGGGGATGGGGTAAATGATGCTGTTGCTCTTAAAAAATCTGATATTGGAGGTTTCTTTAGAATTTAGTTATGTAATGTGAACATGATTTAATTAGAATTAAGGGGCAAGGTTTCCTTAGAATTAGGATCACGTCCAGGAGAACTAGGAGTTGAACATCTATGTAAATTATACCTTTCACAATCAGATGGCCAGCAAGGGGGGCGTATCTAGGGGAATTGCGTTTGGAGTGCCAAAATTTTGACGTGCACCCCATAGCTCCCAAAATAGGCTCCCTGGATACTCCCTTGCTGGCCAGTAATTTGGGTCGATTTAGAACTTGGGATAAGTTTTTGAAAATTTAGTGGGAAAGGCGTCTAAGCGGGTCTATTTTGAAATGAATTTAAGTTATGGACTCAGAGTTCCTTTTAAATTAGGATGGCGATTGGGGGCGACTAGAGGGATAATTTCAGACTTCGCTTCCTTTTCTTCCCAGCCTTTAATTTTTCTAAAATTTTTTCTAGAATTTTTTATTTTTTCCAGTTGCTATGGGAGAATCAGGAACTGATGTTTGTAAAGAAGCTGCTGATATGGTTTTAATAAATGATGATTTTAGTACAATAAAAGCAGCAATTGAAGAAGGAAAGGGAATATATCATAATATTACAAATTTTGTAAAATTTCAATTGAGCACGTAAGTGAGGGGGGAGGGGTGGAGGGAAGTTAAAATAATTTTTTATTTTTTTTTTGTAGAAGTGTTGCAGCATTATCACTCATTGCAATTTCTACAATTTTTCATTTTGAAAATCCGCTTAATGCAATGCAGATTCTTTGGATTAATATAATTATGGATGGACCTCCAGGTTTTTTTAACTTAATTTTATGCTTATTTTTAAGGGCGTAGCCAGGGGGTTTTGAGGCTATAGCCCCCCCCCCCCTAAAATGGGGAAAACGAAAAAAATTTAGGAGGGAAAGAATAGGAAACGTGTATTTTTTACGCCTACAGCCCCCAAAATTTTCGCCTGCGGCGCTGAAACAAAAATCGATGTACAAAAAATTACGTTCGGACCATTAAAGTAAACGCCAAAATTTTGGCCACGTCCCATTTTTGCCCTCCTTACTGAATTCGACCTTCTGGAAAAGCCCTTGTTCATTTTTGATACCTTTTCGTTAAAACATAAATATTTTACTTCAATTTTGATTATTTTTTCAGAATTAATTCTTTAAAATTAAGCCCAAAGCCTTGGTGTTGAAAATGTTGATGCTGACATAATTAAACAGCCACCACGTAATGTCCGAGAGCCGTTAATCAACCGATCACTCATTATTAGCATAATATCTTCTGCAACAATAATTATATCTGGAACACTTTTTGTATTTTATAAAGAGGTTTTTTTATTTTAAATTTTTTTTATATTGTTCTTGACCTGTATTAAATTGTTTGGGCAAAATCCTAGACTGGGGATGGAGGTGGTTGACAATCTCATTACCCGGTCTAAGGTCCCTTTTTTCCATTTTCCTCAAAATTTCACTTTTTTGACCCTTCCACTGTCGCTTTTTTTCTACTAGTTTTATTTTGATCAATCTTCCTATTTCTAATTCGTGAAGAACTCAATCCCTGCTCTAATTGTGAGTATCACAAGAGTGTGTCTGTGTCAATGATGTCATGGTCTTACTTAGAAGTTAGGATTTCGGGTTGAAAAATTGACCGGGTTTTGGGTATTAGACTTCTAATAAACCGTGGCATTCTTGTAGTTAAGAAAAATTCTTGGCCCTAACCCCTCATATTGCTGAAACAGTCCAGTCCTTGATTAAAAAGTAAACATGTACCGTATTTTCTCTAATTGAGCGGCCGGCCGCTCTATTTTTCAATCTTGTCTCAAAGGGCCGCTCTAATGGAGACGGCCGTTCAACTGAAGACTGTCGCTCAATTAGAGCAAATACGGCATTTTAATATTAAAAATTATTATTTTTAGATGGCAGCAGATAATAAAATAACTCCTCGTGATACAACTATGACATTTACTTGTTTTGTTCTTTTTGATATGTGGAATGCTTTGAGTTGTCGAAGTAGTCGAAAAATGATATGGGAAATTGGACTTTTTGGGTATTTTTTTGAAGAATAATTTTTTTAATTAAATAAAATTTTTTAAGAAATCGAATGTTTTGCCTTGCATTAGTTGGCTCTCTTTTATGTCAATTGGCGGTTATTTACTTTAAACCTTTGCAACATATTTTTCAAACAGAAGCACTCACTATTTTTGGTATTTTATATTAAATTTAAAAAAGTCTGAGAGATAATTTTTGGGGGGAAAGCATTTTAGGGCTATGAGCCATATTTTTCGGCAAAATTTTGTAAGTAACTATGTAAAAACATTTGCTAACCGGGTGTTTTAGCATTCGCGTTTTTGCTAGTCGGCATTTTTAGCGTCTTACGTTTGGTTAAAATTCAATTCTGGTAATATAAGCCAGCTTTAATCTTGCTGACCTTGACCTGGAACTCGGAGTTATGAACATCCGTAGACATGCGGGTTGGAGGATTCGGATATTCCGACAGAGGAGAACCAGATATCCGAAAATTTTTGTTCAGATATCGGATCCGGATATCCTGGGATTTCTCAGAATCCCTTATTCAACCTTATTGAATATACCTGGTTGTAGCTTTAATCCTTTTCAATTTCTTAATTTCTAATCCTAAATTTTATTTGCTTTTTTACAGATTTATTATTTCTTCTACTTCTCTCTTCAACAGTTTTCTTTTTCAATGAAACCAAAAAATTTATTCAACTTCAAAGGCAAAGGCGAAATTTACAAAGAAAACATTCCACATCAGATTGTAATTGTTTGGGAGAAGCTTGTTTGGGGACTCAAACAATTTAGAGAAAATGAAAAGTTTTAATGCTCAAAAGGTGTTTTTAAAAGTTAAAAATAATTTTTGTTGATTTTTAAAATTATATATTAAACAGTCAAACCTCCTTTTTAGATACTCCCTTTGAGGTTGGAAAAATGGTTCTTATAATGAGATGTACATTAAATAGAGGGTATCTTATATTGAGGGGTACATTGAGAGGGGGTTATAGGGAGTGAGGTTTCCTTAACTAGTAGGTGTCTTTTAATGAGGTGTACATTATATAGAGGGGTACCTTGTTGTGTCCGCACTGTTTATTGACATTATTGATGTGTTTTCTCAACAAACATATAAAATGAGAGTCCAGGTCGAAACACAACCGATTGTGCCACCATTCAACACGATGTTGGGTTTTTTCTTATTAATAAATTTTGCACTCTAAATTGGCGTACACAAGGCTTATATAATAGTGTGTGTATCGTAGCTAGAGGGTATCTTAACTAGAGGGTATCTTATAATGAAGTCTTAGCTAAGAGGGTATCTTTTAAGCAGCTACCCCACCCAATGGTCTACCGAATTTTAAAAGCTATATATTAAATAGAAGGGTATTGAGAGGGGTAATTAAAAGTGAGGTTCGAATGTATTTTTTAATTCTGTGCTTATTTTACATTGTTGCCTGACAATTATATATTGTATATCTTATTTCTGTGTAAATTTAATTAAAAAAAATTTAATTGTCTTTAAATGAATCAAAAAATTTTCCGATTTAGTTTTAACTTTTTTTTTCCTTCAGAATTTTTTATTTTAAAAAAATATAGGGCTTCTGTTCACTTTAAAAATTTAAAGTGCCCCCACAATTTTTAATTTAATTAAGCAGTCACATCAAAAAATATTTTTTATAACTTTATCAAGCATAATCATGCATAAATTTTTATATCAAAAAAATTATTTCTTGTTTTGTTTGACGGTTCGATAAATATTTTTAAAAATATTTTTGTTTTCCGATAAAATAAAAAAATACGGCATGAGACTGGTATGTAGTCCATAGAAAGTTTATGGGTCCTAAGAATTTACAAGAATGTGTATAATTCTGTTATAAACGTTTGCACTCGGTGTCGCGCTAGCGCGGGTTCGTCCCCCTCGGATTCGTCCCATAGAATACAACGAACCCGCGCTTTTTACCCTATGGGACGAAACCGCGTTGGGACGAAATTGAGTGGGACGAATCAGCACTTTTTGTACAGTGGGACGTTCTCGCGCTTTTTGTTCAATGGGACGAAACCGAGTGGGACGAATCCACAGTGCGCCGTTATAAACACGTCTTATTATCTAGTTGACAGGCTCTGTACTGCCTCAATATTTAAGATTTACTTTAAAAATTAGGAAAAACGTTGAATAAGCATAATCTTGATTCTTGACTCAAGAAGTGTGTTAATAAAAAGACAAACTGATAAACTTCAATAATTTTTCATTTTATTAAATTTTATACCAAACATGTCATATCCAGCCGGAACTTACGGTAGGGGACATATCAGTCCCGCCATTTCAGTCCCGCCGTTTCAGTCCCGCCATTTCAGTCCTGCCATTTCAGTCCCGTGCCATTTCAGTCCCAGCCATTTCAGTCCCGCCGTTACAGTCCCCCCTATATGGGGACGTTTCAGTCCCCAATGATTTTTATTGTTGTACCAATGATTGTTATTGTTTATTTTTTTGTTTTAAACATTTTCTAAGTTCTTTAGGTGGTCTACAACAACAATTAGCAATAACCAACAACAATTAGTAACGAAAAAAATAATTTCTAATGGAAAATCAAAAAATTTTTTAATTTTTTAAAATTCTTAAATTTCTTCAATTTTTTTAAAATTCCGGACTGCGAGAATTCTACGCTGAATGGAGATGTTTCTACTACTGACACATGGTTTATTTTTTAGCTTTTTGAATTTTTTTTATTCACCCCATTTCAAGAGGGAGCTATAGCATATTTTTAGGGGAGCATATTTTTAAGTTTTTTAATTCAAGGCAATCCAGTCCTGGAATTGTTTTTATGTGTGTCGAGCAGATTGCTGCTGAGGTGATTCTGCTGACGGGGATTTGCTAAGACATCAGGCACAGCCTTCAACAACCTAACCCAAACGGCCCTCTCTAGGGCCACAAATCTAATAAGTGAAACGTGGCAATGACTTCTATTTATTTTTTTTTGATAAATTTTTGTTTATTTGACTCATTTTTTAAAAAATTTTGTTGCTTGGAGAAAAAAAGTCGAGACCAAAACTTCACCCTAAGCCAGAAAAACCCCAAGAAAAGCCTAGAATTAAGACTCGGCAGCTTTTAAGATGTTCTTTGCGTGATAAAATGATTATTTTCTATTTCATTTTCTTATTTTTAAAGAATTTTTATTTATTTTTTCGCATGGGGACTGAAACGTCCCCATATAGGGGGGACTGAAACGGCGGGACTGAAATGGCTGGGACTGAAATGGCACGGGACTGAAATGGCAGGACTGAAATGGCGGGACTGAAACGGCGGGACTGAAATGGCGGGACTGATGTGGGATGTTCCGGGAACTTACGTTCACTGTCTCCGCAACTAATCCCCTTTCACAGGCACTCAACCGACTCTTACACTCAATCGGCTACACTTAACTGGCTTGGCTTCATTGCCCGCTCTCGCCGGGCAACGCTCAACCGACCAAGAGGTTTTGGGCCACTTGGGCGCAGACTCATTTAAAATAGAAAAATTTTCAAGCCTTTGCGCCTAAATAGACATTACCAAGTTTTTTGTCCTCGGTATTTGTTTGGAATTAGCACTTTTGCGTTAAAAAGCTGTTGTTTCTTTTTGATAGATTTTTTTAATTTTTTCATTGTTGTCCGACTTAGTTTCTTTGGCGATGTATATTTGGATGACTCATTTCCTTATTTTTTAGTCACTTTTTCTTTTTCTAATTCAATTTAGAGGTCAGTATGAGAGGGGCCCGAGGGGGATTTTAAGTGATCCTGTCCTGGAATCTCGGGGTTTTAAACGCCAAACGGGATTACCGAGATTTACAAGGATTTAAGGGATTAATCCGGCGGGATCCCCCACACCCTCACGGCATTTTGAAAAAACTCCAGTTAGAGGATCCCGGGAACGCTGCGATTTTACTTGGGAGGGAACGCGAGCTAGATATGGCCACCTTCGAACATTAAAAAAATTTTTTACCGACCTCTAATTTAGTCCTTTATTAAATTTAACATTTTTTTTCAAATTTCAGACAAGACTTAAAAATACTAAATGAATTCAAAATCATCCAATGATACCAATATTTTTGCTAATAGCTTGCCTGCTGTTTCGTGTACCACAGAGTATTTTTTTTGTTTTTAAATAAATTTTGAATTTTTTTCAAGTATTCGTTCCCAACTAAATTGTGAAGAAGAGGATGTTGCGCAACAAGTTATACCTTTGGATGCTATTGGAAATTTTCTTGTACTTCTAAAATCTGGAAAAGTTAAGAAAATTGATGAAAGGATTGATGGGTCTACTTGCACTATTGCTGACTATAAAAGACATGTTAAGGTTTGGTGTTTGTTTTTTTTTGGGTTAGGTTTAGAAAATGTGTTCTGTGGAAATGTAGGGGTCGTTTGAAGTTGTTTATTTTTTCCTAGGGTTCGAAAATGTTTGTTTTGGGTTCTACAATTGATCCTATGGATCTGGATATCTGGTCCGAAAAATGTGGATGACCAGAGATTTTGATTGGAATATTGTATCCATAAATTTCCCAGTATCCACAAACCCTGACCCTCATTATTTGGTAGTGTAGGAGGTCTACGCAAGTTTGTGATAATTTTTTATTTATAAAGAAGGGTTCTTTGAATGTGAAATTTATAACATTAACATTAAGTAAGCTTGGGGAGTGTCCAAGACCTGTCTCGAATACTAAAAATGTTATGGGACATTAAACAAATATTGAAAATCAGAATGCATTCTCAAGTTAAGTCATGGCCAGGGAATCTAGTCAGAAATTTTATTGCCCATAATTTTTATCTAAATTTGACGTTATCTCAAAAGTGGTAGTCGTCTTAACAAGAAGCAAAACTCGGTTTTTAAATTTTTATTTCCAAATTTAGCTTGCCTACAATCAATTTTTTGGGTCAATTATTGCTCTAGACGAACAATTAGTGTGTGCCCGTCGTGAATATAATGGGCAATTCCATATGGCTAATATGCTTACTAGAGTTGTCGATTTAGAAGATGTTTTCCCTGTTGAATTTGCAGTCGGAGAAGAGATGATTTGGCGTTGCTTTCTTTCCTCACAGGATTTGCAACGGGCGCCGGAGATGAAAAAATTCCTTATGGCTTTGAATCAGAGAAGTACTGAAAGTAGAAAATCGGTTGGGTTTTAAATTTTTTTTTCTTTAATTTAGAGTTCAAATTTGAATTTCCATATTTGGATTTGAATTTGTAACTAGGGCTGCATCGGATCTGGCCGGATTCTTCCGGTTAATCAGGTCCAGAAGTAAGCCTCAAAACGCGCATTTGGGACCCGAACTCCACAAAATCCGGCCGGATCCGGTCCTGTGCCGCTTATGTAGTAGGGTGGAATTGAAAAAGCAACCCCTAAACATTTTATTGATTATTTTAAGCGAGAATTAAATTCCCTCCTTTTTCATTTAAGGAAAAGATGGGATTTTCTAAAAACTGTTATCCAAGGCTACTTGCTCCTAAAACATTTTTTTTTATTTTTTCAGGACTTTGCAGCAGCTGTTATTGACATGAATATTATGCAAATGTTTGTTGAATTGAATGTTTTAATTGCTGCAGATAGGAAACGTCCACCTTTAAACAATGATTTTGCTTCATTTTCTTATGCTTATTTGTTGCTAGAACGGCTTCGAGTAATTTTTTTGTATTTTTTTAAATTTAAAAAAAATTTTTTTTTAAGCTTTTGCTTCGTCCACTTAAACCTTATTCGCCCTTTGACGGTCGTCTTTCTGGAAAATTTAGGACAGAAGAAGTTGGTGATTTAATGCATGTTACTTCTTCAATATCTAAAGATGTGATGAATGTTGAATCTGCTAGACGTCTTTCTTTCTACCGATGGCCTCATAAAGACTTTAAGTAAGAGAATTTTTGGAATTTGATTTTAATTGTTTTTAGAGACATTTTGGGAAACATAGAAAAGAATTTTTTATAAAATTTTCCTAAAATTTAGTTTAGGTAGAGGTAATCGGGCTTAGATAATAGCGCTTCTGTATTGTTTTCATTTTTCTGTTTAAAATTTTTTCAAAGCCCGTATGAAAAATTGGGTTGGACTGCTGTCCTTCGATCCAGGGCTCCTTTTTTCGGAACTGCGGCTTAATCTGTCTGGCCATCCAACCACCCATCGGCTGCTGCAAATTTGCTGTTGTTATCTTCAGCCGCTGCGCATTTCCTTGCTCTTTACATTTTTCTTTCCTATCGCTGACTAGTTAGTCGCGACACCCTTTTGCGTTGTAGGTTTAAAACAGAACTGACGAAGCGAAGATTTTTTGTTTAATGAGTTTCGGAGATTTCTTAAGAACTGTCAACCCTTACTTATGGCAATCATAAAAACAAATTTCTTTGCTCGAAGAAAATTAAATAAAAAATTTCTTTTAGATATACATCCTCGTCCAGAATGTCTGAAGCTGGATTTTATCTTCAACCTAGCGGTGATGGTGATGATAAAGTAATGTGCTTTGCCTGCTCTATTTGCCTTATTAGCTGGGAACAGGATGATGACCCTTAGTATTTTTTTTGAATTTTTTTTTCAAATTTTTTTAAAATCAAAAAACAGTCAGGAACACGAGAGACACTCTCCCTCTTGCAAATTTTTGACTGCTCCACTCTCTTCCACTAACATTCCTATCGCTGCTACAATGTCAAGTTTGGCTCCATTAAAATGGAATGACGAAGTTGAATCTCAACAAAAATCTACTATAGAAAATAATTGTGAAAATTTAATTATTGGAACGATGACAACAAAGTCTTTATGGTTTGCTTTTGCTGATCCTTTGAATCTTAAACCGCAAATCAATCTTATACATTTGGATAAAGTTGCACAGGTTGTTATTTTTTGATAATATGTATGTGGGTTTATGTTAGAGTTCGGATCCCGGGAACGAGTAGGGGTTTTTGGATCCTATACCACGGAAATCTTGTTATTTTGATCCGTTTTTAGGGGTTTACCCGTAAAACCCCATCGGTAGTGTAAAAGAAAAAAGCCCCAGATTTGGGCCCGTTTCTTATGGGCTCATTTTAATAAGTTCTCTTTATTTGTCTTTTACATCCTATCAACCAGAAAAGGATTTTGATTCAGTTTTGCTTTAAGCTAGCTTATTGTTAGACCTCTTCGCTCAAATCCTAGCTAAAATCTATGTCCTTTTGGGTCAATGGCAAATAGAATGAATTTTGGGAAAGAAAGAATCCTCTGGGCATAAGCTGAATTATTATCATTTTTATTTTCTTTAAAATTTTTTAAATTCTAGGCTGTTAATACTTTAATTGTTGACACTTTCGACCCTTTTCTTTCCAATGCCATTGGACTTAAACCTCCAAATGTACCGGCACCTCCACAGTCTCTTCCTCCAATTGAAACTCTTACAAATGTAATTGTTGCTGCTGCTCAACAAAGACGAGTAACTTGGAGCGATGAGCCAACAGTAATGACTATAGAACAGCAACAACAACCTTTGGAACGTATTCTTTTACTTGACCAAAATATTGCTGAAGAAGCTTTTGAGGACGAAAGAGAAGAAGAAATGGTCTCTCCTGGATTAATTGAAGACCAAGAAGATGAAGAATTGAAACAACATCAACCAAGTCCTCATGTATCCATTTCTCCTGAAAATTTTGATAATCGAATTGTTAAGGTTTTTTTGCAAGGGTTTTTTGTTTACAAAAAATTTTTTTTTTAAGATCACAGCAATCTGTTCGGCAGGCGTTGGAAACGATCCTAGTGATAATCGTGAAGATTCTAGACAGCATCTATTAGGGGATTCGACCGATGCAATGGATTGTAACGTTGAAATGAATTCTAATTCAAGCAAAATCACTGCTGTCCTTTTTGTTGGAATTTCTGTTGATGAGGTTTCTTTTTTGTTAATTATTATGGTGTGCGGACATATCGGGATGTCTGTGATAAGAATAACCCCTTGTGTGTTTATTTTGATTAGAAACATAAATTTTTTCGTCATTAGGAACCACGTTTACTGGGACTAACTTTGAACGGCCATAACTTGGCCCAAACTAATTTTGCTAGAAAACCCAAATCAACAATAGTGAATCGAGGGTCCTTTATCGAATGGTACTAAAAAATTTATCAAATTTGCAGTCACAGTAGTGATGCTCGGGAGAAGAAAAAACCCGGGAAACGGGAGTCGGGTCGGGAAATGACCTCGGGATTGGGATACCCGAGCGTCACTAAGTCAAAGTAAACGATGGGTCCTAGTCGTTAGGGCAATCTAATAGCCAAGACCCATTGGCCGTATGTCTCAAAACCCGTAGAGTAATTATTAATTCATTTAAATATCCCAATGTCTGCATCCTGATATGTCTGCATTCCCTTAATTATATCAACAACAAATATTTTTTTTCTAAAGACAAAAATCCAATCGAATAATCGAACTTGTATGACAGAAGAAATTAATGCCATGAATGTTATAAACTCCTTAACTGTTGGTGGCGGTGATCAATTTATTGCTAGTAACACAAAAAATGCTGCTCGTTGCCCCTTTTTGCTAGTTTACCATTTGGCTGAAACTTTAATTCCTGATTGTGAACAACAACAAAAACAGTCAATTGATATGGAAGAATCTAAAAATAATAATAAAGATGAAGAACCAATGGAACAAAGTATTATTGAGGATTTAAATGAGGAAAGGAATCAAGACTATTTTTCACAGGAAACTGCAGTTTTATGTAAGTTTTTTGGTTGGTTTATAAAAAGGTTTGGTTTGATAACAATTGTTTTATCATTGAGCTTTTTGCCTTGGAAAGGGCCCGATCTGATGCGACGTTTAATGATATTCATTTTCCTTAATTAGGGTTGGGGTTTTCGAGTCGAGCCGACGTTCGAGTCATTTTTTCGGGCCTCAATTTTATCATGCCGGCTCGACCGAGTCTTTTTCGGGCCAAAATTTAATGTCCGACTCGATCCTTCGGACCGGGCCGGATGGGCCCAACAACCCTATTCTTAATACAGCGTCTGAAGGGGGGTCTAACCCAAACTTTGACATTTAGATTTCAGTAAAGACCCCTTTCCTTTTTTAAACTTCTGGTTTTTGCCATATGTAATCGATCTCTCCAACTTTTTATAAAGCTATTTATTTCAATTTCAGTAGCAGAAACTAAAAAACTTCAAGAAAAAACGGCAGCTTTTAGTGCTGAACTTGCCGAATTTCTCAATTCCGAATACCCATATAAAAAACCAGCTTTAGCTAAATACATAATTGATTCCCAGCTTAAACCCAATGAAAATGTTAGCGATACAGAAAAAATTGACAATACAAATCACGTCGATTCAAGTTATTTTGATGCTCCATTACAACAATCTTTGAGTTCTGAAAATAAGGTTTCTAAAAAATAATGAAATTTTTGAGATTTTCTTTATTTAGGTTAGCATTCTTTACGAACAACATGATGTTAGTACAATTATTATGCAATGTTTTAGACTTCCTGATGAGTTGGACTCTAGCAGTTTTCGGGTAAGAAAACTTTTTCTTTAACTTTTGGGTGCTTTATTAAGAATAATTTTATTTATATCCTTTGAGCGGGAACTGGCCAATCCCCAACAAATTTTTTATGTCCCTTGGAGCGGAAACTGGGCAATCCCCAAGAGTATACTTCGCTCTTTGTTTTAATAATGGGATCTTACCAAATCTTAAGAAAATTTTGGAAACTCGATCCGAAGCTCCACCCGACTGTTTTTCTCAACCCCCGTTTCATACCTTATCTGTCTCTGTTCTGGATTCCAAGGTTTTAAGCAAAATTACATAGTTAATGCGACGGAGTGAGCTCCTGTCAGATCTAGCTGTGTTTTTTTTAATCTTTAACTAAAAAATTTTATTCGTTTTTAGATTGACCACATTGTTGCTACTGAAAATCCAGATGGCTATGTTGTTTTGGGTGTAAACTCTGTTAATGATGGGTGTGCTCTTACAGACAATTCTTCCTCAATAGTAATTTATTCGCGAATGGAAGTTGTTCACATGTTACAAGTATTTTTAAAAATTTTTTATTAAATCCTAAAAAATTTTTTTTTAAAGGAAATTTGTTTGCGTAAATATTTCTTTCAAAACCTAAAAAAGATTGCGCAAATTTTACTTCTTTCAATTGACTATTTTGGAATTTATAGACAACAGAAATTGAATGAAGACAATAAAGGACATAATCGAACATCAAAACATAAAGAAAATAAACAAGTTCTTGGATCAGCTGTTGTTGTAAGATTTTTTTGATAGTCACCCCTCGCTTTTTAATACCCATGACGTAGGAAAATTTGTTATTAAAGGTATCATGTAAAATCGGCTATTCAGGGGGCTGGGGACAATGCTGGAGACCAGGGGCGTGCCGTTTCGTCTTTTACCTTGTTTTCGACTTTTTTGGTGTTTCGCCTTTTCGTCTTTCGTGTTTCGCTTTTTAAAATTTGTTTCGGCACATCCCTGCTGGAGACCTCCTCCCTCCCCTCCTTCCAGAAATAAAGAAAAGTTGTTGGGATAAGTATGTTCGTTAAGGTGAATTTTTTCCGACCACAACACTTAACATATAGGGACCAAAAATGTGCGTTCGTAGCGCCTAAGTAAACTCTGACGAACACCCCATTATTGCCCCAACCCTGAAATCCGACCCCTTGGAAATTCGACCCCTGAAATCCGACCCCTTGGTTCACTTAGGCAAAGTCCCAACCTAGTAGCTAATCTAATTTTTTTAAAGAACGTATCTGAAATTGAGAATTTTTTGTATTTTTTAGCGTTTCTCTTGTGGCGAAGTCATCTTGCTCGACTTAAACAGCGGTTTTTCTATGCCAATTTTTGATCCAAAAGATTCTGAAGATGGACAGATTGCTTCTGACATAGCTTTATGTTCTAGTGAGGGACGATCAGAATTGGATCAAATTGTGGTTTTGACTAGCAAAGGACGAATTTTATGTTTTGATGTGAAGCTTCCTTTCCCTCCTGTTATTGGCGATGAGAGAAACGAAAAGATTTTCTTTGGTATTTTTTTAATTTTTTTGCTAACAATTATTTGAGGGGAACAATTGCGAGGGGAAGGGGCTTACAGAAATTTTTTGGGTAGGAAAACTGAAAGTCGATTCGACCTTTATTTTCATATGGTCAACAAGTCAGAATTCCTTAATTTTTCCACCCTCCTTTGCAAAATCAATCTTTTGGTTTCACCCAATTTCAAGTGGAGATGAAGCCCTTCGAGGGTATACTTAAGGGATCCAGCCGACAAAAAAATTAAATAACTGATTTTTGGGAATCGGATTCCCAGCTCAATAAACGTCAAGGAGTTTGAATCGTGATATGCCCTCTTCTCTATAATTATTTTTTTGTGTTTTTTAGACATATCCCTTTTTTTAAAAATTGTTTTTTGATAATTTTAATTAATTTTCTATCATAATAAGTCAAATAATCTTACTTTTGACTTTTAAATAATTCTATGAAAAAATTTAATTTTTAAGAGATTTCAAATGCGCTCAAAGCAGCTTCATCTAAATCTCCTATTGGCGAGTTTCAACTTCAAAATGAACTCACGGAAGCTTCTTCCTCTTCTTTGGATGGCATGCTTGCTGCTGATGATAAAACTTTTTCATCTTTTGATTCACTTGATAATTTGTGGTCGTTAACAAGACTGCATGGGGCAGCTTCTTTGCCTTCTGCTTTTCAATGTTCTACTGCTTCAACATTTATGGAAACGTTTGTTTTTTTACATTTATTGGACTTTAGTATAATATAGAGATGTTATGGGCTAACCAAAGCACTGTTTTTTTGTAAGAGACGCGACTATGAAAGATTGGGGTCGGTGTGCTGTTCTTCGATCCTGGACCCTTTCTTTCCAAACGCGGCGAATCCGCTAGGACATTACTTACAATTAGCAGCCGATGCCCATTGACTTGCTTTTACTTTTTTCTTCGATAACTAGTGCCGATAAACACATGATAAAACCTATACTTTATAGTCCGATTTAAGATAGTTTTGTATGGGTGCCTCTGGAGGTTGGAGTTAAGGGATTATTAAGGGATTATTTTATAGCTCCAACCGATTCTTTTTTAGTTCTTATAAGGGATTATTTTATAGCTCCAACTGATTCTTTTTTTAGTTCTAGTTGGAACACCCTACTAGCAAATGAAGTTCAAGTCCATGCTCCTTCAAACTGGATTGATACAACAATTGCTCGCCAACGGCGTTCCAGACGTCCAACAACAGCAACCTCCACTTTTACTTGTTCGTCAACATCTTTAATGTCTGACGATAAAAGAGGAGGTGGAGGGGAACAACAAACAACAACAACAAAATTGCAAAATACAAGAACTGTTTGGACATTTTCTCGTATAGAAGAAACTACATTTCCTATAGCTGCTTCTAATATTTTGGATCAAAATTTGGTTTTTGAATTTTCTATGCCGGTAAAAAAATTTTTTTTTGAAATATTCTCGAAAATAATGGGGTAATTTTCTCCCAAGATTTTTATTTTGGGTTGTTTTTGATCGAGTTGGTTCTTGATTCTTGACAAAATTTGTTTTGTTTTTAAGGAAGGAATCTTAATCTTCTTTTAATAAAATGAATGCAAATCGTTATCCATTTCCATTATGTACCGTTAATTTTCTAATAGAAGCCCTTACCTTTTATTTTTCTATGGAAGCCGACTGAAAATCCGAACCGAAAATCTCAGTTCTTCGGTTCGGTCTCGAACCGAAAACCATATTCTAGTTTCGTGAGTAGTTATTTGAGATACTTGGTTCAAGCAGTACAAAGAGCGCTCCTTCCATAAAATTTTAATTTCTTTAACTTTTACCTAATTTCAATTTTTTCTTTCCCCATTTTTAGCCAATAATGCCTGTTAGCCATATAGAAATTTCTTTGGGATCTACCAATTATTCTTCTCCATCTTCTCAATCACAAATTGGAGGATTTTTAAGTATTTGGCTTTTAGACAGTGATGCAATCAAAAGATTATTTGCCAAGATTAGCAGCAGTTCGGGCAGTTTTTCTGCTTCACATAACAAACAAATGCTTCTTTCTTTGTTGGGAGAAAATCCTGAGAATTTTGTTGAGGAAAATGTAAGGATTTTTATCTACAGACCTTACTATAAGTTACATCTTTGGGGATAGAAAAATCCAATTTTATAATGAGGGTATCGCTTAGATAGATTCTCCATGCATTGACCAACCAAATTTTAATAAGAATAACTAGAATAGAGGTCTATTTTGCATTGGGGGTATCTTCTGCCGATGAAACTCACTTAAGCTATATCTAATAAATTCTAGATACACTTCGAATTAACATACGGATTTTAAATTTAGTTGACAAAAGGGTTTAAGAGATGTTTAACTCAACTTATCATACACCCGATAATAAGGTACGATTTTCCATCCCCAACGGTTTATCTTATAGAGATCCTCTTTATATAATCAAACTTTTTTACTTTAACAGGCAAAATGTATTTATGGTCCTATATCAATCGACGAATTGTCTTGTAATTTAAATAGACACTCAAATGTTGTTCGTCTCCGTATTAGTACTAGTGCACTTTTATTGGGCGCTGCAGACTTGTTTAATTGTGACAAAACACAAAAGGGTTGGAGCAATCAGGTAACGAGAAAATTTTTTTTATGATTTTTTGGAAGCTTTTTTAGCCTCTCCACTTCTTCATTCATTACAAACCCCCAGAAAGTGTTGTCAACGAAGGTTTAAACATTTACAAAACGTCAACAGGCAAAAGTCTTTTCCTTCGACAACAACAACAAACAAAGCTTTTGGAACGTTTTGGAATATTCAGAGGTGGAGGAGGAGGTGGGGGAACTTGTAGCGGTGGTAATGATTCAACAACAATAATTACCCCAGCATTAGTTGGTTCCCCTTTAAAACGATCTCATCCTGGAGGAGGCGGGGGAGGAGGAAGCGATTCTTCTTCGAATCAAAATAGCGGTGGAGGAGGCAACAATACAAAATCTTCTCCACCTTTTTATTATCCAGCTTCTTCAGTTAAATCAACAAATTTGGGGTCTACTCAAGTTCCTACTTTGTTTTCGCTTCGAATTCATTTTTGTAGTATTCATGGATTAAAATCGGAAAATTAATTTTTAAACGAAAAATGCTCATTTTTCTGGAGCAATTTAAATTAGCTTTTTTTCTTTTTTATTTTAAATTGTTTTTTTATTTATTTATATATTTACTTCTCTCTGGAATAGGAATCCGATTTTTAATTTTTAGAAACGAAGAAAGAGAAGTAAATATTTATTTAGGTTTTTCTTTGTCTTTGTTGCTGTTTTCGACCTCTTTATTTTGTAAAATTCGAAAGAAGAAAACTTTTATTTTGGAAGGAGGAAGGGAAAGTCCAAGGGTTTTAGGGTAGGAAGTCAAAGGGTTTTTAGACCTTGGACCTTCTTTTTAGATCAGGAGGGTCCAAATGCTCTAAAAAGGTTTACTCTAGTTACAAGGGTCTATGAGTTAGTATTTTAGAGGAGAAGGTAAACCGGAAGCTCCGGTATTTCAGTCGGTAGAGATCTGGTAATGGTAAGCTAAGGCTTTTAGCAATAACTGCCATGAGGTCGCAGGTTCGAGGTTTGACTTCTTGCTTGCCTGCTCCAAAATAAAAATTTCCTTTAATTTTATTTTTCCCTTCCATAAAAGTTTTCTTTCCGGATTTATTATCTACCTACACACATATTTTTTTAAATCCCCCGTTTACCGGTCGATTTTGCTCATATGCTTTTGTATAATTACTATATTTATCTTTTTGCCTTTCATAAATGCAAAAAAAATTTTTTTTCGCAAAAGAATATTTTTTTGATTTTTTATTGGTTTTAGACCAATTTCTATTTTAATCGTTTAAAATTATTTGTTTTTTCGTTTGAATGGGTGTTATGACTAGGGTTGACAGATCTGGACCCGATATACGGATCCGAAAAATATCCCAGATGTCCGGAAAATTTCAGTGCAGATATCATTCCGGATATCAGAGAAATTCACAGGATCTGCCAACCTTAATTATGGCACTCTCGAACGGCATCCTTGGACGACAATTCCAGATATGTAAGACAAATTTTAAAAATAGAGCATTATTGAAGTAACAGTCTGTCTGCTGGAATGCGACACATTTCCGAACGATTTCCGAAAAAGTTTTTTTATTTGTTGCACATATCTGGAATTGCCGTTCGCGTTTGTTAAAATCGTAGCACCAAAGTTTTAATAAATTTAATACAAATTTAGAAAATATTTAACAATTTAATGAACACTAACAACAGCAATAACAATAAAAGAAGCAATTTGAACAACAAAAGACGTGTCAAAGTTTCACTTCAATTTCCAGAAAAATTATTTTATGAGAAAGTATTGAATGAATGGAGAGAAAATATATCTGATCGTAACCATGCTTATGTTGTTAGAAAAGCTTTGAATAATTTAAAATTGTTTCCTTTGGATGTTCATGGACATGGAGAATTGAGGAAAATTAGAGGTTTTTTAAATATAATTTTTGAAGTTAATTTAGGAATAGGATTTGGGTGAGGGAGGGCTGAAATAATATATTTTAGTTTGTGAAGGGTAGGGATTGAACGAGTTGAGAAAAAAGTTTTGTCGGGTTTCAGGTCGGGTTTTAGAAATCTTTTTCAGGTTGAGGTTAGAGTAGAAAAGTCTGAGTTTCTGGTAACCTGGCTTCTCCCTTGTGGATAGCCGGCAAAACATCTTTTGCTAGATCTGGTTTGATGGAGGTCGGAATGGGATCCGACAGTGATTTGGATGGGATGGGGATCCTATCGAAACAAGTTAGACCTCACTGGTTCGACTCCGCTTGCCTTTGACTTAATTATTTTTTAACCTCATTTATAGGTATGCCCTTGAGGTTAAAAAATTGTCTCTTATATTTAGGTGTACATTAAATAGAGGGTTTGGTTTAGATAACTTTCCCGCTTTATGTCTTACCAGATTCTAAAAAACGTCTGTTAAATAGAGGTGGATCTAATATTGGGGGTGTATTATAGAGGGGTTGGACTATTATTGGGGGTCTCTTATAGTGAGCGTCTACTAAAAAATTTTTTGGAGGTAATTGGATTTGGATACCTCCAATTTGGAGGTAACTTGAGGTAAATAGAGGTGGATCTACTATTGGAGGTCTCTTATAGAGAAGGTTTGACTGCTGTCTAATATTGGGGGTGTCTTATAGTGAGCGTCTACTAAAAAGAATTTTTTTCTTTTCAAGGAATTGGCGAAGATATAGCCACACGTTTGGATACTGCCTGGCAAAGAGCTTGTGAAGTTTTATTCCCAGGCATTACCCCTTCAATTAATCAAATAAAAGAATTGGAGCCTGGGCAAGCATTTAAATTTTTGGAAGAAACGGCTAGTGAAGCAAATGCTTTTAATAAAAAAAGAGGAAATTCTTTGCCTTTTATTCACAACAAAAATTCAAAAAATATTAAAGAAAAACCCAAATCATCCCCAATAAAAAGATCACCGGCAAAATTGTTATTGACAAAAAATAATTCGAATGATGATGATTTTTGTGAACCTACAACGTCTACAAAAATGGATAAAATTGAAGGTTTTTTTTAAATTAATTAATATTTAGCCTCCATCCTTATTTGAGTCTCCAAATTTGTCCCTTTACGTATTTGGTGACTTTAGTGCTAAATAAAGATTTCGACTCGCTCTCAGTTGGGATTGTTCTCTAGTGGTTTTTAACCAAGTACCCCTCGATTAATCCTAATTTTTAAGGAGAATTTTTTAAAAAATCAATCAATTTCAAAATACTCTGGTTATTAGAATTTGATAAAAACGGTTACTTTTAGGCAAGAAATGTCAAAATTTTCGGGTTTAAAAGACGGTCGTGAACAATCCCAATTTCAATTTATTTTGTCAAAATTTGGAGATTTAGTCAAATCTTTGGCCAAAAAATTTTTTTCGAATATTATTGATTTTTTAAATATTCTCTATTTTTTCAGTTTCTCATTCATTATCGAATAATTCCAATCAACTCAATCAAAAGGATTCTGATGATGAAAGTATTTCAGAGGAGCACCACCAACAACAACTTTATTATTCTCCTTCAGAAAATGTAGAAAGTTCAATAATTTTAATATCAGATAATCGAGAAGAAATTTCAAAAGGAAATAGAGCTAAAGGAAAAAGTGTTGGAGAATTTTTAATTTGTGGAGGAATTAAATGGGAAAGTCGTAAACTTTCTGTTGGGGATTATCTGTGGATATTACAATGGAAAGATTGGCAGACTGGAAGGTTAAATGAAATTGTTTTGGATTATATTGTTGAAAGAAAAACTTGGGATGATTTGAAGGTTTGCTTTTTAATTTTTTTTTGGATGAATTGTCGTAGAAATTTTTTTGGTACCCTTCGATAGCCCCCAAATTTTTTTGAATTTCTTTCGAAATGACTAGCTTTTAGAGCTGTGTACCGAAACACTGACTTAAAATTTTTGGGATGAATTGTCTTATTAGTATTTAAAAAATTTTTTTTGGTTACCCTTCGATAGGGGGCCCCACAAATTCTTGTTATTTTGAAATGACTAGCTCTTAGAGCTTTGTTCCGAACCAACGACCTTTTTTGAATTCGAGTTGTCGGTTTGGAACCGAATTAAAGGTTTTTGAATGGGGTTCTGAAATGGTTTTTGAAATCTTATCTAGAATAAAAAAACCTGAGGGCAATCTAAAAATCCAAAACTGACTGTCATTAAACTCGAATCAAAATTATTTTGAACGAAAAAGAATAACAATGTTCTTCAATTTAAGGCTCTCCTTTCTCCAACCCCCTTCCCTTACCCAGTTTGGTTGGTATACTGGATGAGTCCACCCCTGAAGACCTACACCCCCAAGACCTACACCCTGAGGACCTATTTACTTTGAAGACCTATAACTTTATAATCAACTCAAATTATTTATTTTTTTGCCTTTACGAGTTTAATAGGTGAGTCTGAGGGATTAAAGGGGATCACTATGGTTCGGTTCAACTCGTCGAGGCGCATCGAACCATACCAAGACGTCCCGCATTCGATAATTTTGAACGAAGTTATTATAGCTCGGCGGTACCACTGTCCTCGCTGTATATTGGTCTAAAAATTTTTTCTTATTTTCCCTGCCAGTCTTCCCTTATCATTAAAAAAATTTTTTTATGTTAAAGAAAAGTATTCGTGAACCTCGTTATTTGGAACAAAAGTCTCGTCTTCAAAAATGTGGAATAAACAATATAGTTTTAATTGTGGAAGGATCAACAAATGTTTGTGACCGTTCTCTTGAACAAGCAATTATTTCAACTTGTGTAGACAACGATTTTTTGGTTCACCGAACTTTGAATAAACAAGGAACGGCCAAATTTCTTCAATTTTTAACAAAACGATTAGAAGAGAAATGCTGTAAAGAAGAGGTTTTTTGACTTTTAAAAATATGGGGAAGGGAGACTGGGAGGTCAGACTTGGGAGTTCGTGGTCATTTATTTCAGACCTGGGCACGGATACTGATTTTTTGTATCCGTATCCGGATATTTACGGCGGATATCCGCAGGCATTTTGGTATTATCTGTATCCGTATCCATGACTAGGTCTGTTTTATCTTGAAAAGAGATGAGGAATTTTTTTTAGGTTTTGTTCGTGCCCATTTTTTATCGTTGAGTCTTAAAATTAGTATTTTTTATATTAGGAACGTCCAGAAATTTTCCTGGGGGTTTTTTCGGTTCTAAAGTCAAATCTTGTTCTTGGCTTTTTTGGAGGTTTTTAGAAAATATACCGATGGAGTAAAGCCAAAGTTTGATAGGGTCTTGCTAACCATGTACCGCCTATCGGTGCTACTGGGTTCGGCTGGGTTCTGTTCTTCCTACTGGTTCATCTTCTCTTTTAGAAGAAAAGATGAATTCAGAAACTTCCCTACCGAGTAAATGTTGGGAAGTTCCTCATTTTCTTATATAACATTATGGTAGGAACCCAGCTTCAATATTATTTTTAAATTAAAATTCCTTTCTTTTAGATAATCGGCCCTTCATTCGAAACTCTTCAAGAAAAATCTAAAAAACCCAAACCAATCTCAATTTCTGATTGTTGGCTACGTCAATTAACAGTCTGCCCAGGAATGAGTTTGGAAAAGGCTAAATTAATTCAACAACGATTCCCCACATTTGGTTCACTTATTAAATTTTATAAAGACGAGGGGGATATAAATGAAGAAATTCCAACATTGCCTGAATCTATAACGAAGACATTAAATGTTTTTATGAAGAATGCATTAAAAAATGATGATTTTTAAAAGGATTTGTAATTTATATATAAACGGACCTTTTATAAAATATACCACTAAATACTAGAGATCGAGATTTTTGAAAAGACTCAGGGTTTGATTTATTGACTTGGCCCTGTAGTTCAAGAAGACCCGGGCCCAGGAAAAATCCAGAAAGGTCAAAAAATGCCTGGGCCGGGACTCTGGGTACAGGAAAAACCCAGGCCTTGGTCCAGACCCAGCTAGATCTCCTAAATACCCTCGATCTCTACCTCAGGAAACGTTTAAACAAAATGGTTGAGGTACGTTTTTTCAGCTCCAAAGGGGTATTTAAAAAAGAGGTTTGAATATACCTAAACTTTAGGACTGGATGGGGGAGGGTGTACTAGAATCAGCATTGCTATCTCAAAAAATCTCAACCTCGATGACCAAAATTTTTATTTGAAATAACGGTTCGATCCTATCTCTACTTAAGAGATTAATACGGAAAACTTTCTAGTGTTTCAGTTTGGATTTTCAGTTCAATATCCAAATTTTCCCACCAATTTTTGTATACATTTAAACTAGAGATCGGCACAGGACAAGACCCTGCACAGGATTTTTCAGGATCCTGTCCGAAATCCTGCCTTTTTTCAGTTTTCAGGATTAATCCTGCAGGATCCTGTCCTGTATGAAATTTTAAAACTCAATCCTGATACAGGATCCTGCAAATGCGATCTTACCGATCTAAAATTTTCGCACCAATTTAGTCTTAAAAGTATCCAATCCATAAATTTTATCGCTTGTAAAAACAAATAACATTATTATAAAATGATGTTTCCATATTATTTATACACAATTTAAAAAAATATTTATTAGAGGGAACGTTATATAAAAATGACTGATTTCGTTATGGACGGTTTGAGAATATATAAAAGTTTATTAAAAACAAGAAAAAGGGTAGCTTGCCCTAATATTAGAAATCTTTGGTGAAAAAATTAAAAGAAAAAATAAGTGAAAAAAATACAAACAAAAATTGAAAATAAAAAACAAAAAAGGGGTAAAACTTGAACTTCGATCCTCCTCCTTTTTTCCTTTCTTAAAATATTAAAATAGCCAGACTTAAAATGAGTCAACAACCTAACAACCACAGGGATATTGCCGACATAAAAACAATTACCAATTTTGGGAATCGGGGTCCCGACTCAATAAACATAGAAACATCTTTATTTTCGGGTACACTGCTATTTCTATTTCCAATGGAATTCATTTTATTCCGAAAATGTTTTAATAGGATAAAAACCCTGCTCACTCAAAGTTATGGTACACATATACGCAGTACTGGGTCATTGTTCTAAAAAGGCAAAACTGATACTTATATCCATTGTTGGTCAAAAATTTTTAAATCAGATCATTTTTAATACCTTGAGGAAAGAAAGGGAGGAAACAAAGTTCAATTTTACCACAAAAGGTAAATTATCATTTTTTGGAAAGAAAAAAAACACTAAATAGCTTTTTAAAAGTTGAGCCTTTCTTGGAAAAAATTTAAAGAAAAATCACAAAACAGAACAACAACCTTGTTTGCGCCTTCTATTAGGTCCAGAACCCATTGCTAATTGTTGTTTTGAAGCTACCCCAAATGTGGCTGTTGGACCGCCATTCATTTCTGGGAAAATAAAAATAAATTTATATGATTTAAAAATTTTTTTTGGGTATTTCAACTAGAAATCAGCAGTTAGTGTTGGAGGACCCACATATAAGGATCCGAAAAATAGTCCGGATATATGGAAATTTTTGAATTTTGATATCAGGGGATTTTTCAGAATTCGCCAAATCTAATTGGGGCGATCGAAATTTTAATGACTATTGGGTAGAGAAGTGTCCAAGCGATACCCTCAATGCAAAATACAACTCAATATAAGGTGCCGAGGGCGTAGAGAGAAGAAATAAAATAAAAAAATCTGGGGAGAATAAATCTGGCTTCTTGTGCTCCAAAGTTCAAAAAAATTTCCCCAGCGGTGTTGCTACGCCCTTGTAAGGTACAATCTTTTCCCAACAAGAGGATATCCTAAAGCGAACCGTTGTAAAATTCAAAAAATATTTTTAAAAATTAAACCTTGTTGTCCTCTCACTCCTCCTCCACCACCCTTTCCTCCTCTTTGCCCTCCTTTAAGTTCAGAATGTAATTCTCCATCTTCCCCATCATTATCTCGAAAACCAGCAGAATCTGCTTCTAATTTTTTCAGCCATTCATCTGGCGACATTTGTTGTTTTTGTTTTTGATGTGAAGCACTTCTGGCCATTAATGCACGTTTAGGGGGAGATTCACGACGTTGTTGTTGGTGTGGGTTTCCGCCGTGTAATGCTGAAGAGGAGGCGCTAGTAGCTGCTGTGGGGTTGTGAAGATATGAAGAACTTCCGGCTGTTAAAGAATCATCCTTAAAAAATATTTAATGTTAAAAATGAGAACAAGACATTTGCGGACCAATGGACTGGGATCCAAAATTCAGACTTTTTTCGACACGGAATCCGAAACGTGATCCGAAAAAATGTTGAAAACACTCAAAAATTAGGCCCGACTTTTTTTCTCACGCTGGCCTATCTCTGGTCCAAGGCTAAAATAAAAAATCAAAAATAGGTTGACTTTAGGATCAATTTGCATCGTTCGAAACGTGTTAAACTAAGGACCACTATTTGGGATCCTATCTAATGCTAATCCTTTTAGAATATGTTGTAGAACTTTTACACACATGTCTTAGACACGCCGAGGAAAATAACGGTCGGACATTGGATCAAAAAAATTCCGGGTACTTATCCCTTATACCACACCCCCTCAAAGTAGTGTCCAAAATGTCATATATGGGGTAATAAAGGGTGCTGATCACGATTATGGTGTTTATTTCTCAATATAAGAACCCCCTTACCTATAAATTGTCATGGTTCATAATTGTCATGGTTCACCCATAATAATAAAATAAATAAAAAATGCCCTATAATTACGACACACTAATGGGGGATGTCCTGATGAATCAAACGCTGCAAAATTTTTTCAAAATTGCGGTTTGCTTCATACTGAACGTTTCTGCCATTGTGGTAGTTAAATGCGTCCAAACTTGAAGTTTGACCATTATGAACCATGACAATTTATAGGTGAGGGGGTTCTTATATTGAGAAATAAACACCATAATCGCGATCAGCACCCTTTATTACCCCATATATGACATTTTGGACACTACTTTGAGGGGGTGTGGTATAAGGGATAAGTACCAAATTCCGAGTTTCGGGCAACTTGTCCTAGCCACAGAGACCGCTGTATCATGTACTCCATTAAAAACAAAAACAAACCGCCGGATTCGAAGAAAGATCCTCTTTACTATTATAACTTCTAATTAAATCAGAACCCTCTCTTTGTGCCTCCAAACGAGCTAAAGACATCCCGCTTCGATCTCGCAATGATTGGCGTCTAATTGCACCTCTAGCAGAGAAAGGGTTTTCTAATGTTGAAGGTGGTTGTTGGGGTGATTCGAATTTTTTTCTTCTAAATTTATTCATTAAAATGAGGAAAAATTCTTTAAAAAATAAACTTTCTGCTTTGTCGTCGAGAATCTCGAACACCAAAGTAACCACCACCTGGACCTCGCCGCCTCCTAGCTTCAGTTTGAGCTATTGTTCTAATTACTTGTTGGGTTGGTTCGTCTTCAGTTAATTCTTAAAAATTAAAAAATATTAGCAAAAAATAGTTAAAATAGGCTTGGCCATGAATACAGATATCTGGAGTTCCGAGGATACGAATTCGTTAACCGGTCGAATTCAGATGAGAACCCTTAGGATCTTTTGTTGATTGTCTAACTATTTAAAAAAGATTATAGACCCAAGAAGTGATTTTCCTCAACTGTGACTTAATAGTCGATGGATTGACCCCACGAGTATACATATTCGGCCCGACTGGAAATATTTTAAAATGGATAGAGATCTGAATAATAGAGGATTATCTTTGACCAAGTCTGCTAAAATTATTAAAAAGGCCAAAGTATTTAGTCAATAACTTATGATTCCCTCCCAATTTATACTCCAAAAAGTTACCTATATTTTAATAAAACCGCTAGTTTACCTAACGGACAGTTTAACAATTTCCCAAAGTTTTTTTTTAAAATCACCAAAAACGAAAAAATGAAAAAAAACCTAAAGGGCTTTCCCCCGCTCCAGTTTTTGCATTTATATCAGCTCCATATTCACACAAAAGTTCAATTAAGTCTGGCTGATTCCAAGAAGCAGCTGCATGAATGGGTTGCCACAAATCGATATCTCTCAAAGCTGGAGAAACATTACAACGAAGAAGGAAAGCTGCAACATCATAATAACCATTAGCTGCTGCTATGTGTAACTACAGAAAATTTTTTAAATTATTTTTCAAATTTTCTGTCATTTTCATACAAATTTTAGGGGTTTCTCAGTTCATGCGCCCGATAATATGCACATTAGATTTCTCTGGTTTTACGGACCTATGGCAAGTTGATTTGGGACTATCCGTTAGCTTATATAAACCTTGGACAGCTAGGAGATTTTTGTAAGTTCTGGAATTTATAAATAAGCTAAAAGACTCTTAATTATAGCCCCGAACCCCAAAAATCTTAAAAACCTCCAAATTTGAAACCAAAGTAAATCATGCTCTGGACTAGCTATGAGTCCAATAAAACTTTATGAGTTCAATGGCCTCACAGTTTCCAATGGATTCATAAAGCTAGACGAAAAATTAGACTAGAGCGGAAAATCACTGTACAACTTGATAGGACAAAGGACAAGTGCCTCTCTCCCAATACCTTATTCCCCCTCCAAAAAAGTTAACTTACAAAGGTAGATTTATCAATAGAATTTCTTTGGTCCAAAGGTAATCCTCTTTGATGTAAAATTTTCATATCATTCAACATTTCCCTTTCTGGCTGTTGCCTCCTTTCATCAATCATTTCCTGTGTAATTCCTCTAGCAGCCATTTCAGACTCAATAAGGTCAAGTGTTTGCTCATCATCACAAATATCATAGGGCATATTTCCATCTGCATTTACTGCTAGTAAATCTGCGTTGCTGAAAAAATATTTTTTTATAGAATGAAACGGAGGTTGTTTAATCGAACACAATTAATAAAAAAAATAGAAAATCCCCTACGGAGTAAGGTTGTCGGATCCGGATCCGAAAAAGGCCGGATATCCGAAGATTTCCAACTATCCGACAACCTTACTACGGAGGTCGAAACATGACCAGAAGGAATAGAATATTCGAACTTTTCAACCCAAAAAGCAACTAGGTCCCCCTACACTTTTTGACCCTTATGAGACCATAACTTGACTTAAAATTGAGGTCCGAGGTAAACTTTGGGTTATAAGACTCCGATTGACCTCTTTCAACCGACATATGTATTGCTTGTTTGAAGCGGATCATGGGAAGCATGACGGGATTTTTCCAAATTTTTCTCTAGAATTCTCCCAAAAAAAATTAAAAAAAAACTAACTGTGCAATAAGTAAACGAACAATATCAATATAAGCACAACATGCTGCTGCATGTAAAGGTGTCCAAAGTTCCGTATCTTTGGCGTTGACACAAGCCCCGTACCTTAGCAAAAGGCGAACAATTCTTTCATTGTTATCGATTGCACACTAAAAATTAAATTTAAAAAAATGATTAAATTTTTTAAACCTGATGTAAAGGTGTCAATCCATCCTCATTGTGCGAATCAGCGTTGACTCCCTCCATTAAAAGACGTTCAACTAAAAAATAAAAAAATTTAACTGAGACTTAATACTCTTGCATTTTTCTGGCTCAATTAAGATGAATGCCCATACCCAAAAAATTAGAAACCAAACCTTCTTGTGTATCCCCCCTAACTGTAGCCTCAAGTAAAGCAACATCTGGAGTAAATCGAAGCCGAGGCCGACGCTGTGCTGGCATAGGCAACTGAGCTTCTCGGGCAGCATTTTGTCTAAGTTGTTCAGCTCGGCGTTCTCTAGCTAGTGCAATGCGTTCTTGAGGGGTTAACTTTTCAATTTCAGGCAATTCCTCCACCAATGCATGATGGTCCATAATTACGGGAATATTTCTTCTTCTAAAAGACAAAAAATAATAAAAACTGATTTTAAAAATTAATTTTGCCCCAAAAACATTTAAAAAATAGTCAAAAAAATTTTATTTTATAATGGGAAGTCAAAAATAATTAATTGCCCCCAAGCGGATTCGAACCATGGTGGGGGGAAAATACAGGATAAACACCAACCAACTACACCACCGGCAACACTTATTCATCCCATTAAAAATTAAATACATAAATTAACTACTTACTTTCAAATTAGTTTGCTCAGTCCAAGACTATCAAAATAGATTAGATATTTGTAGTTTTATTTATTCAACAAAATAAAGCAGCGACAAATTTTCTTTTTTAATATTTTTGTAGTTAATTTGCGTGAATCCAAATAATTTATTTTTTAAGAATTAATTTATAGTATCTAAAATTAAATAATTTTTTTGTAGTTTAATGCATGAATCGGACTCTTATTTTTGATATTTTATTTACAAAATTGAATAAAAATTTAGGAAATTTGCTTTAGTTCATAAAAAATTGGCCATGGATTTGCTAGGCACTCCGTGGAGCCTAATTTCGAGTCTAATTCAGCTTGTAAGTTAAAAGGGGCATAACTTTGTGGGACAGAATTACACGGAGTGTCCCACGGGCAGTGGGAGCCTATTTGGTAGTTAAAATTAAAAGTTAACAAAATGACCCCTAAAAGATAAACAAATGTCCCACGGGCAGTGGAAAAGCCGGAAGGGGTTCCCCTTTGTCTGCTCGACGAACCTTTTCGAATGGTATATCAATTCGACCTAATAGTGTCCTTCTAGCGAATAAATGGGGGTTACGGTAAAGGTAGTGTGTGGGATAGAATCACAAGGGATATCCCGCGGGAAAACCCCGCAAACTAAAAAAGTGCGGGATTGCGAAAGTCCTACGAGCACCGGAAGGGTTCCTCTATCTCCTCGAGGGAACCTGCAACTCCCAGTCCCTCGCTGGTCACTAACACAGATATCAATTTAATCACACAAAAAAATAAAATTTTTATAAAAAATTTTTGTAGCTACATTCGCGCGGAATGCAAGAAGGAATCGATATATAAAAATTGTTAAATAAAGGTGTGCTATATAGAAAACTTGTGTAGTGAAGAAAATGGACAGATGAAATGTCAAGCAAGGAAATGAATAAAAAATGTGAGCGAAATGACACTAAAGGAATGCTGCGCGGTATTGGGTCTTTCTCCCTTTCCTTTCTCTCTCTCACTAAAAATTTTTATTTTAATCTTTTCTCTAAAACTATCGACCGACCACACCGGTTTATACATAAAGAGACATGCAACGACAAAATGGTACTATGGCTAAAACAGGACAAAATGGTACAGAAGGTAAAATAAGACAAAATGGTACCCGACAAAATGGTACAGAGGGTAAAATAAGACAAAATGGTACCCACAAAGTATTACTGCGGCAATTTAAAAATAAAATAATAAAAAATTTCTTATCATTTTACTGATTAGCTGCCTTTAAAAATAAAAATAGAAACATCTTTTTATCAATTTTTTGATTACTCATAGGGTACCCAAATAAATTCACTAGTTGGAGTAATTTTAATTTATTAAAGGGCATATTACCATTTTTACCAAATTTGGCCTATGTACCATTTTGTCGCCTACTATTTTGTTGTGGCGCCAAGAAGCATGAAAAGTGGTCATGGATTCCCTCTTTATTTTTAGAAATTTATTTCTCTAACATGTTCGCTGGCAAATTAAGAGGAACGGGCCGGCTGAGTCCCACCAGTCCACTTTTTAGCTTTGATAAACCTCCTCAAATATAACCGGATAAAATAGCGGGAAAATTGCAGTAAGACAAAATGGGTACAATTCTATTCAATCTCATGTGAAGGAGAGTAGAGATCAGATCGATTATTGTTTAAATTTGTGATTAGGTAAAATTAAAATGGACAAATGTCATTCGAAAGAGCTCGTGGAGCTGATCGTCCAAAATTATGGGGCGAAATGGTCAAAGCCCATAGGGGGCTCGAAATGGTCAACAACCATAAGGGGGGCTCGAAATGGTCAAAGCCCATAGGGGGCTCGAAATGGTCAACAACCATAAGGGGGGCTCGAAATGGTCAGAGCCCATAGGGGGCTCGAAATGGTCAGAGCCCATAGGGGGCTCGAAATGGTCAAAACCATAGGGGGACCAGCTGATTTTTGGGGTCAAAAATCGAATAGTTAATTTATTACCCTCTCTATCGAAAGGTTGAAACAATAATTACCCAGGGTAATTATTCAAGTAAATAGGGTACTTATGTAAAATTAAAATTTTAACAAAAAAATCAATAAAATATTTGATTAATTTTATTTGAAAAAAAATATATAAAATATTTTTGCGGAAAGAAAAAGTGATAGTCTTCTTCCTACTCTCCTTCTCCTTCCTACCACCATTAACTAGCTTTTCATTTTAACTGACTGGTTTGATAAGTGATTTTATTGGGGGGAAGATTCATGTTTAATTTACTTGTAAAAGTATTTTTTGGTAAAAGGGACGGACACTTTCAATCAATTAAAAAATAAAAAGCAGTTGGCTGCTGGTTAAATCAGGCGATTAAAAAAAAGAGAAAGAAAGCAAGTAAACAAAAAATATAAATTTTGGAGAAGGGGGGGGGTGATTAATTAGTTAACTGACAAGGATCCTTCAAGAGATCCTTTTCCTCAATTAAAAGTAGACCAACAAATAAATTAAAAATGTTGGCAAAGGGCAATCCTAATGAGTAAAAGAGAGAGAGGTTAAAAGCTTAGCGAAGGGAAGGTATGAACTTGTGGCCTCGTGGCAGTTATTGCTTTGCTTTACAAACTGAGCTACAAGGCTGATTATCTTAGCCTTTCCAGTATTTTAAGTGTTAGCCAGTTGGATCTTAAAATGACAATACTGAGTTTGATTTCAAGTTTGGTAAGTGATTTTATTCGAAAGGTTTTGCTCGACCCTGTGACAAAAATTCCCCCGAACATTCACACATTACTTAATAGAGCCAATGCTATGCTTAAGTAAAAATCACTTTGCGTCTTGCGACATAAAATAACATTAAAAAAAGACAAGATTGCACGAATGCGATTTCTATGTAAAATTAAAAATGAGAGAATTCTTAGCCTTTTGGAACCCAAGATTTTTGCTTGCAGCACTGAATGCTGATAAAAATTCTTCAGGAGCCGGATGTTCAATGCGTCCAGGATTCGAATTTCTTAACGTAGCAATATAGTCCTGCGGTAGAGGGGACTCGCAGCAGATCATGGCTGTTTTTCACTTTTGTATACCTTAATCAATAAAAGAAAAAAAAAACAAAAAAAAATTTAGGGCAGACGGGGGGAAGGTAATTGGGTTGGTAAAAGGAAGGGGAAGGGGGGGGGGTTATTACGGATGTGAAAATTGTTTTGAAAAAAGGGGGGAATAAGAAGAAAATTGCGATAAAATAAAAATGTGTTTGTGTGTGACGGTTAAAAATGTGAAGAAAAAAAGAGGATGATTAAAAATAATGAAATGGATAGAAAAAGATTATAAAAATATTTTTTAGTAGATGGGGCGCGCAAAAATGTGAACGGGAAAATTAAAAAAAGGGAAATGGAACTAATTAAATAAATAAATTTTTTTAAAAATAATTTTTTGGGACGCTTTCAAACCTCGCTTTTAGGAACCCTTCTGAAAAAATTATCCCTTATAACGAGCTGTATGTTAAATAGAGGGGTTTCTTAAATAGTTGTCCAACTAGTGTTTAGCCGAAACAGATCTTAAGAGAAAATGGTCCCTTATAACGAGCTGTATCTTAAATAGAGGGGTTCTTTAAATCAAGAGGCAGCTTATAATAGAGGGGTGTCTAACAGGGCTGGGCGTAATGAAAAAATAAAAAGCGAAATGCGAAACGCGAAACTTTTCGCGCTAAAAAATGCGAGAATACGAAAGATGCGAAACGCGAAATTGCGAAATAAGCCCAGCCCTGGTGTCTAATAGTGAGGGTACCTTAAATAGAGGTCCAACTATATCCGTGTTTAGCCGCAACAGATTTTAAGAGACGGTAGACAAAAAAATGAAATTGAAAACAAAAGCGAAAGCGAAACACTAAAAAGACGAAAAAAAGCGAAACCCTATGAAATACCCGAAGCCCTCTGTATAAGATAACCTCAATTTAAAATACTAGTTAAAAATTTAGTTGGCCATTGAGGGGAGGAGCTTCCCAAGGGATACCCTCTATTTAATAAACGCTCATTATAAGAGACACCTCATTATAATAGACACCTCATTATAAGAGACGCTCATTATAAGAGGCACTCATTATAAGAGACATCTCATTATAAGAGACGCTCATTATAAGAGACGCTCATTATAATAGACACCTCATCATAAGAGAGACACCTCCTTATAAGAGACGCTCATTATAATAGACACCCTTCTACTTAATAGACGTTCATTATAAGCTAAAATCTTTTCAGCCCTAAAGGGTGTACTTTTAAAGGAGATTTGACTCTATTAAATTAAAATATAGACCTTTAAAAAAAGATTTAATATTTTTAAATATTTACTTTTAATCTCTTTTTTCCTTTTAATCTTCTAATAGCCCATTTTAAATATTAAATCTTTCTCTTTTTTAAATTAAATATGTACACATGTAAAATAAGGCTTTAAAGAAGCCATTAAAAAATATTTAAATACCAAAATTGATTAAAAAATGTTGTCAACAGTTTTAAGAAAAATTGAAAGTCAAAGAGATATAATGGGTGGATTTAGGAGGGGTATAACTAGGAGGAATTTAGAGGAATTTTGTTAAGAAATTTTTTAGAGGGAAATTTCCCAGCAGAAAAGTATCCTACACGATTCGGTAAGGCTAACCTGGATTTTTTAAAAAATTAATTCAATTTGGCCGGTAAAATTGAATTTTGACGGTAATATTTATTTAAAGGGAGATTTTCGAGCTTTTCACATTTCCGGGCTCTGATTGAGAATTTTTATAAGGCCAGAGGTTTCAGAAAGAAAGAGTGTTTTTCAAAAAGTAAAGCAATTTCTCCTTCAGCTTGTGCAAAAGTTTATCCGGCGGCAGCTAGGAACTGCCATGCTTTAAAAAAATACAAGGGTCAGGACCATACCCCTCCCCCCCCCCCCCTTCGGTCAGTGCCCAGCTCCTGTTTAAACAATTCCTTAATTCATTAAATACTTTTTTGTTTGTTTCTTACGTTAAACAACAATCGGAGGATTTAAAAAAAACAGTCAAAGGTAGGGTTGAGGGTCTCGAGTCGGGCCGACGTTCAAGTCATTTTTATCGGGCCGGCCCGGCCGAGTCTTTTTCAGGCCAAAATTCAATGCCCGACTAGATCCTTCGGACCGGGCCGGATCGGGTCCCAACCCTAGTCAAGGGGTGAATATATAAAACAAATGAAACCTTTTTTAAAGAACACAGTGGAAAATAAAATATTTAAAAAAGGAAAAAAATCTATTTCCGGGACTTTTCTAAGTGTCGCCAAAAAATCTTTTAAAAAGGGGACCTTCTTAATTTTTTTGTTTGACTTTTATGTAGCTCTAATTAGCTACTACATATTTAAACTAAAAAGGAATGAAAGAAAATATTTTTTTAAAAGGCTTCTTTCTTTTAAAGGCTTCCAACCAGACCTGGGCGAAACTCAAAATTTTTTTCTGACGAAACGAAACGAAACAAAATTTTTTAAAAATCGTTTCGTTAACGAAACGAAACGAAACAACCAAAATCTTACGAAACGAAACGAAACAAAACGAAACATTTTAATATTCAAAAAATTTTCAAAACTGCATTTATTTCGAAATTATTCGACCTCAAATACGTTATTAGTCGACTATGACTTATAAATGATTTAGTTATTGGTTTATTTACAACAATTGTGTCCCATAAGCCAGGCCCGTAGCAAGGAAAATTTTCGGGGAAGGGGGGGGGGGTCAATCATTTTCGAAGCCAAATTTTTGGCGACGCTTTTTTTTAAATAAAATTGAATATTTTTCAAGTAAAATTTTATTTTAAGCGCCGCAGACGAAAAATTTTAAAATTTTGAAAGGCCGTAGGCCAAAAAATTCACTATCTTGCTCCATTGCCTACCCAAATTGTCTCCATATCTCCATTTCGAGAGGAAGGCGATATAAGCTAGTGCTTCGCCGGAAGTTCCGGTTCCAGTATTTCCGCAACTCGCAATCCGCAATTTTTAAATTATGATGCGAGTCCGGTAATAGAATTTGTCGTCGATTAAGTAATATGTATATGTGGATTAGGGAGTGGAGTATAAACGGATTTGTAGTATATAAGTAATTGCTATCTTCCTTTTTCAGCGCCGCAGGCGAAAATTTTGACAATTTGGGAAAGCCAAGAAGCCG